GCTGTTGATAAATGAGTTTCTCAAGCAGTTTCGATGTAAAAGGCAGGGTAGAGATAGGCCTGTAATTTTCGATCACAGAGACATCAGCACCAGGTTTCTTCAGGGTCGGCCGAACAACTGCCGCTTTCAAAGCAGCTGGGACCACTCCTATACGGAGGCTCCCATTGATAATCTGACCAAGTGATGAGCCAAGACACGGAAAGGCAGCCTTCCAGAGACGAGGCGGCAGAACATCAAGTGGAGTGCCAGATGGCTTCTGCCTTGCAACAAGCTTACTCAGCTCAGAATAAGAAACGGTATTGAGGGAGCTCAGGGTGGGTGGTGATGGAGGAACTGGAACAGGGTCAATAGAGTTACCAGAAATGACTGCTCTATTGCCCGATGCTTTGTGAACAAAGAATTTGTGAAAATCTTCAGAGTTTCCAGCTGCTGTAGTGGACATGAAGCTGGGCTTCTGATAAATCAGAACAGAGTTCAGTGTTTTGTAGAGAATCTTGGGATTCTTGGAGTTTGTTTCAATGATGTCTGCAAAATAGGCAGTTCTAGCAGCCCTCACAGCATCCTGATAAGCAACCAGTGATGCTCTGAACAACTCACACGAGACCACCTGTAGGCCATCCTTTAGCCACTTTCTCTCAGAGGATCTACACGTCCACCTACACGCCCGTGTGACATCAGAGAGCGAAGGCTCCCTCCTAGGCCTAGACTTGCAAAGCTTGAGAGGGGCAACCACGTCCAGGACCTGATTACAAAGTAAATCAAAGTGTTGTGAGTAATGATCAATGTTAGATGGATCTGGGTTGAAGAACTCTAACCTTACAAACGTGCAGTCCACAAACTTTGCAACAGTTTCTGCATCCAGGGCTCTGAACCCAGCAGCTGGAGCTTCACACACAGGGACAGGACATGGCAACGTAACATCACAGAGTACTGGAGAGTGGTCAGAGAACACAGGAGGCAAAGACTCGAGGTTCATGACAGGGAGACCAAAAGAGAGAACCAGGTCCAGGGTGTGACCCCTGGCATGAGTTGGGGACGATACCCATTGAGTTAAATTGAATGAATCCAGCAAATTCAAAAAGCCTTTAGCAAGCACATTGTCAGGACAGCAGATATGGATGTTAAAATCCCCAAGAAATGGGACATAGTCATATTTTAGGATAGTCTGCCACAAGATCATAGAAATCATTTAGTAAGTTAGTCGGTCTTTGGAGGGCAATAAAGCAGCACAACGAGCAGGCGGGGGGAGATGCGCAGTTCAAACAGGCACAGTTCAAAGGAAGAAAATGACATGATGGGTGTAAGCTGTTTACAAGGAAAGCTGTATTTAAAAACAACAACCAGCCCACCACCTCTGCCCTGCGATCTGGGGATATTAAAACAGGAGCAGCCAGGTGGTACCAGCTCCAGCAGGGCGCTTGAGTCACCAAACGGGATCCAGGACTCACAGATGCACAGAAAACTCAAGCCATGTCGAATAAAAAAATCCCAAAGAATAAAAGTTTTTTTCTGCACAGACCTGGCATTGACCAGACCAAACCGGGTCTGAGGCGGGGCCGCAGCACCAGGATCGCGCACGGGCACCGCGAACGGGGCCGCTACACTGGGATCTCGCACGGGCACCATCTCCTCCAGCTCAGAGCCCGTAACCAAGCGCAGATTCTCTCTGCAAACCCCACTCTGGTGAGGTCCTCGAGCTGAATGGCCGTGGCGCGGTGCCAGCTCACTGTCAGAGCTGAACAAGTTCACAAGGCAGGGCGCAGAGTAATCCATCTGACGTCTCGGAGCCACCGGGTCACAAGCTGGGCCGAATCGGATCAGCCGCCTCCTCAGGGATCCAGGAAGTCCAGCCCGACGTCTCACGCGCCGGCTACCTCGCTTTCCCCGTCTTCCACGATGCTTCCTTCTCGAGCTGGGGCGGACAGAAGGCCAACACATCACGGCCGGGGGGGAGAGAGCACACGGGCAGTCCAAGCAACCACGCCATCCGCCATATATATATATATATATATATATATGGATCAAGTTTCCTAGTTCCCACTATCATACCACTTTTACTTCTATAGCATGTTTAAAAACCCAGCATGAGAGCTGACTACCTCTAAACATTTTGTCCCTTCACTTCAAAACAAAGTTTCCTTTCCAATAAATTAAGAATTAATTGGAAAGACATAAAAGCCACACAGGCAGTCAGGCCAGTGTGTCATTTTTGATGTGTCTGAATTAGGGATGTACAATATTATCGGACATTGACATTAAAATGTAATATATGTAACTATCGGCATTGGTTTTTACTCTTTTAATGAAACAACTTTTCTTAACCATACACATATATCAAACTCTTCAGCTACTACTACTCCTCCCACTCAAAATATCAGAATATGACAGATCTGAGGAATAGGTTGAGATATTTTGTTTTTTTTTGGGAACAACATGTGAAGAAGTAGAAATTTGCATTTGTCAGGATTTTCCCAGGAAGAATGTGGTTCAGCCGCTGTTGGAGACAAAATAATTACTTAAATTGAAGTAGTTGTCATATTTTGCAAAGACAATGTTTAAAGTTTAGGTACGATAGGAGATATGTGATGTTGGCTACCTAAAACTGATACGTTTTTCTGTTCTTAATGAGTGGGGACTCTGCATTAGGGCCTGACCGATATATTGGCCGATATTGGGGTCATTAACAGTATCGGCTATCGGCCAAAAAGACGGCCGATATTGCGCTCCCTATCCAGCAGATGGATAGGTAGATAATTTAGGACTAACTACCAGATTCCCAAAAAGAAAAACACCATTTGAAGTTGCATGAAACAAAAGACATTTGGACTTAGAAAACAATTAATGGTGTTTAGCGCTCTCTCGTTTACTGTGGAAATGTGCGTTCCCATATCAGGAGGGCATGGACTAAGGATGACAGCCAACAGGAGGGGTGAGACTTCTGTTACTCTATTTATGTTTAAAAGCTAGCTTGTTATTTTCCTTTGCAGCTTCAAGAGTTAGACAATAAAAAAGCCAATATCAAACAAGCCTTGATCTTTGGCATCAAATAGTAAGAATAATGTTTTTGTAGTATGTATTGGCAAGAATCTGGCAATGTGATATTTATCACAATACAGCAGAGACAATATGAAATACTGTTATAATAAATGTCAGATGATAGTTGCAATTTTTAAGACTGAATTTAATTTTAAAGTCAGGCCAGATGCTTCCGAGACACATCCAGTGCAATGGGCTCGACACACGGGAAGGGACATCACCTCTCGTCCATTCATTTTCTACAAGACACGCGATTATCGCAGGTCTTCCGCCTCCTAAGCGACATGCATATGAAATTCCCAGAATGTTGAGAAAATATCAAATTTTCATCACTGTTGCTCAAACAAGGACCAATCAGCGGAGTTTCACTGGCAGATGCTTCTCAGTACATCTCTGGACAAACATGGAGGAAAAGTTAATACTTGCCATGTCAGATTTCCCAGAGCTTTACAACATTTTCTACAAAAGAATATAGAGATCTTCACAAAAAGGCAGCGGCATGGTGGGTTGGTTGTTGGTGTGGTCTCATATTCGCAGTTTTTTTATCTGGTTTGTAATTTGGGATGAACCCATTCACATATTTTTTATATAGTAAAGTCAGAAGTAGGACTGTGCAATAAATCAAAAATTTATCGTTATTGGAATTTTTGACTCTTATCGGGATCTTTTTTCCCACATCAATAAATTTGATAATAAAAAAATGAAAATAGGTGTGTAGGTTGGCCTTCGCTGCCAGCCGTTTCCTGATCAGAAAAGCCATTCGCTGTCAGCGATTCTCACCGTTTTTTTAAGAGTCACAGAACGTTGCGCGCTAGGATGATGTCGACAACAAAACAACCAAAACAAAGCGGAGACTCACCTCTTACATCAGGAAGAATCCGCGCGTTTCGAGCATTATCCGTTCTTTAATAATCCGTTGTTGAATTGTGATCGGCAGAAGCTTTTCTGGTTCGCTCCTCACTTTTTTTACAGCAGCGGCCCAAAACGATCTCCTAACACATGGATGTTCTGCTTCCTGATCCTGTGACGTATGCGGATGAAGATCGGCTTTAGAGCTAAGATATTTGTTCTCACGGTGCGGGGGCTCATTCCGATGCCCACACAGTAAAAAAACACAAATGCTTTAGTCGTCAACGGCAGTGAATGAGTTAAGAAGCTGTACCACCTTGAGTCACGTAATAATGTGACTCAATGTAATACATGTGACAGCCCCATCTAGTGGACAACTGCGCATACCTATGATTATTGTCCATTCGAGGTGAAATCCTCATTATATTGTGATATTGATTTTGGGCCATATCGCCTAGCGCTAGTCAGAAGTAAGACTTCACTCGACTGCTTTTTCGACTCTGAACCGCTTTAACAACCCAACATTCCCTCCAATCTGACGGCCGATCAAAATAACGGGGGACTTGCTTTACGCCCTGGAGCAGAGCGCGTAGTTGGCTTTTGTCGCTGGCTGCTGCTGCATGTCGCCTTTATTTTATTTAATCTTTATTTAACCAGATGAGTCGATTGAGAACTCATTCTCATTTACGATAATCTGGACAAAAGGCAGCAACTGTGTGTCAGGTGATAATGAAAGTTTTGCTGATAGCAGTCGTTTGTCGAGCCCATTATTTGTTCGGTCAGAATGAAGACAGTAAAAGCTACTGCCACCTAGCAGTTGAAGTTTGAAAAGCAACACACAAAAGAAACAGCAAATGTTTGCATGTAATTAAAAAGATACACCTTTCAAATTTGATTTGTGAAATACTGCGATATTTCAGTGTACCAATATTTACTTTTATCCCCAATTATTGGATATACAATAATATTTAAATATGGGGATAGTGTTTTTTCTCATCAATCCCAATAAATACTGCTTTCATGTATAACCAACCATCCTGTAATGGTACGTCCCACATCTCAATACATCCTAATTTTCCAATTGTACAAAATATAAATAAATGAGTGTATCCTACCATCCCAGGCAAACCCTGACCAGGAGGTCCCTTCTTATCCATGCTGAACTGGGTGGGCATGTTGTTTGGTAGGCCTGGTTTATTCTGGATCTGTGGGCCCAGCCCTTCTCCAGGCAGCCCCTGGCCAGCAGACTGGCCATACAGACCACCATAGGGGCCTGCGTTGGCCATCATACTCATCTGGAGGAAAGGACGAGAAGAATCAAACAAGGCAAAGGTGGTAAAAGGAAAAGTGGGTGAGGTCCAGAAGAGGAGAGATCGCAAAAACAAAAGAAAATGAGTTAGAAAGATCTCCTTTACTTTTGACATATTTATTAGTGGCGTACAAGATAGCATGTTATTTTGTTCACTTCCAACTTTACTTAGTGCCAACAGTAAATTAACTCATTCGCTGCCAGCCATTTCCTGATCGCTAAAGCCCTTCACTGTCACCGTTTCTCACCTTTTTTTTTAAGAGTCACAGAACGTTGCACACTAGGATGATGTTGATGCCAAAACAACCAAAAGAAAGCGGAAACTCACCTCTTACATCAGGAAGAATCTGTGCGTTTCGAGCGTTATCCGTTCTTTCATAATCCGTTGTTGAATTGTGATCGGCAGAAGCTTTTCTGGTTCGCGCCTCACTTCTTTTACAGCAGCGGCCCAAAACGATCTCCTAACACATGGATGTTCTGCTCCCTGATCACGTGACGTGTGACGTATGCGGATGAAGATCCGCTTTAGAGCTGAGATGTTTGTTCTCACGGAATGGGGGCTCGTTCCGATGCCCACACAGTAAAAAAAATGCAAATGACGACTTTAGTCGTCAATGGCATTGAATGAGTTAAGGGCAATAAAGTGCACTCTTTAGAGCTTGAATAAGGGCTTCATCATCTGAAAAACTCTAGTCTGTTTGGTGAAAGACCATAGAATCAACTAAACTCCCTTTTTTAAATCAAAAATAGCTACTATTAGCAACTTTGCAAAGAAGCCTCATCAAACCAATCTGTCTAAAATGACAGTTAAAAATATGGAAAAACGCCAGATTAGTTGGAACAATTAGAACAGCAGGACTTGACCATCCAACATCGTGTACTACTGCATCACTAATGCGCCTTAGCAGCAGGAAAATGGTTCTATCCAGACATTCAGCGATGATCTGCATAAACTCCTTCAAACATCCTATGGAAGAATCACAACCGTCGTGTGGCTTATTGACTAGCAAGCTGGTTAACCAACGGCACCACAGTGACGCAGCTGCAAGTCCAACACTTAACCACACACCTCCTGCACCTGCTGAGGAATTCAGAGCAGCGACTATTCCAACTTACAATTTCAGTGACTCGGTTTAGAAAAAAATGAACATCCCAACCGATCGAGGTAACAATATTATATATTTGTAACTTTAAATCGTTCTGTTTAGGTTTCATAACAGACACAAAGAGTTTTAATGACATTTTCGTATTTGAAATAATAAAATATGCCTACCTGGTTTAAACTGCCAGGCTGTTGTGGTCTCATCCCCACCTGACCCCCGACTCCCATTGGCTGACCGCCCTTCTGCTGCTGTAAGGTCTCAGCCAAAATATTGCTATTGTTGCCCATTCCAGCACTCCCAGGGAAACCCATCCTAGGTGGTCCATTTACAACCTGCCCTCCCATCAGCCCTTGCTGCTGCTGTCTTGTAGGGCCCTTTTGGGCTCCCATCATGGCTGCTGTCCGACCGAGTGGCGTCCCGCCTCCAACCATTCCAACCTGCTGCATTAATCCAGGTTGCTGCTGCTGCCCCTGTAGGTGCATGCCCTGAGGCCCAGTAGGGGAGACACCGATGCCACCCAACATTCCCATGGAAGTCCCAGATGGAGCACTGTTTGATGTGGGGCCCCCCACCTGAACTGGTGCTCCTGCACGTAACAGCTCAGATAGCTGTTTGTGTTTTGTAGCTGCATCCTGGCCACCTGCACCAACCCCACCTCCGAAGCCCGGGAGGCTGGTGTGGAACGAACTGGCATCGCCTCCATTGGTAAGGGCCAGTTCTGAAGAATTGATGAGCTCATCAGGGAGGTCATGTTCCAGATCAAAGAGTGAACCGAAATCTAAGCATGAAGAAAAAGAAACCAGAGCATTAGCATTAGTATACTTTAGCACTTCTATTGCCTGTATCTCCACTGTGATCACAGCAGTAAGAGCATCTCGCAACCTAGTCTCTTTTCCCGGGCATCAGTTTGTGGTTTGGTGGGATTCCACATATGAGGAGCTGATGCAGCATGGACAAGGTGTGAAGCCACAGAAGGTAAACATTACAGTATGCGGCAGGTTTGTAAACCTCTGGAGCAGTTTTACTATTACAGGGAATAGAAAAGCAGGAATGACAGGGACTGTGCTGAAAATTATCAATAAATATGATAAAATTATCTATATAATAAAATTCATTAAAACTTCTTTCACATATTTCCAAATGTTAAAGAAAATCATGCTTTGATTTATAAAAACCATTTTCGTGACTTCCTGAAAATCAGCTTCACTTTTAACCTTAATTCAAGAGAAGCCCGTAGAAAATGTAGGGAATAAAGGATTTTTAACTTTTCGTTTGAGATGCAAGAAATTAATCTACGTGCATTACTAATTCACCAAGTTTTAATAACAATTAAAAGCGTTAAAATCGTCAAATGTGATGCGTTTTACTGTCAGCGCTTCAGAAGTGAGCAGCAGAAAGTGTAGCTCTGTCAGCGCAACCAGACAATGGAGGACGAAAAGAATTAGCTCCGTTCTCGTTGGTTCAGGACAAAAATTATATTTTTAAACAAAGAAAATAAAAACATGTTCAACTAAACTCGTTTATTATCCAAAGACGGTGATTTTTTACACCTACACAGCTTTAACATCAGCGGAACGACGCTTCGCCTAACTTAATGGTGTCGAACAATAGCTAGCTTAACAATAGTTGTGTAAAAACATGACTACCCGCGTCAAAGAGCTAAACTCTCGACACAAACGTGTTTTTCCTGCTACGAGATGTATTAGCTCTCCATTTAAACTGTTATAGCAATAAAATTTTAAAACTAATTGTAAACTACTTGTTTTACGGAGCGCAGCTGAACCGCTCCAGTGTTATGCTGAAAATGGGACCCCATGAAAAGCTAACCCTTCGCAAGAAGCCTCTTTTAAACACGCCGTATTCTTATTAAAGTCAAATTTTGCCAAACCAATGCTAAAGGTGATCTAGACTATTAAAGGGCGTTATTCGGATATTAAACTTAAACTTACCACTCTTAAAACAACAAACATGTGCTTGCTTTATATATTCTTTTGTGATTATCGGTGTAAAAAACGTGTTTTTTCTGTATTTAAATGGGCTGCCTTAATGTGAACTCCAAATTTTTGCCAGAAGAAAATATAAGAAATCTTTATTCCGTCTAGCACTGCCATACTTCCGTAAATATTTTGTGCTGAGGAATACTTGCGATTTCTTAAGAGTTACTGATTTTTCTGTAAGCTAAACTTAACAGAAAATAGTTTATCGCAGATACATTTGTTTTCCATGTGTATTTAAGACACTACCCCATTCGTCACTTTTCATTTTGTGAGTAAACAAACTACCATCAAACGTGCTTCGTGTGGAGAGGGTGCATTTTTCGGCACAACACCAGTGGGGGTTGGCTTTCTAGCTAGTTAGCTAGCTTGCTCGGTGGCAGCAACTTTCTCTTCCAGCTTGTTTGGGAACGGATATTTACCTCAATGGCTGCCCAAATATCTGTGGACCCTAATAATCATCACATACACGCACTAGAACATCACTTAAACAACTTTTAAAGTCACAAAAGAAGTTAAAGGCAGCCTGGGTGTTTCGAGACCTCCATTGTTTGGAAGAGGTTTCAGGCTAACGCATCAAAACAAAACTACTAGAAAGTTGTTCGTGCTTCACATCTGCGCGGTTTTCTTCCGAAAACGATCAGAATAGTCAAGACTGTCACTTTCCAGTCCAACTTGCGAATACATTCATGCATTGGAGCGTCATTAAAGTGTCTTTGCAGCTTTACTGAGACTCATATCGCTGACCTAAGCGCCTACACACGCTGATTCCTGTTTTACTCATTTCAGCAATGCATGCAATATATTTACCATTTCCATCACTGGCAGACAATGAGAGAGTTGGAGAGGACAGCTTGGGCCTCTTGGCTGAAGGCGGACCGGACTCCAGGACATTATCGGCCATATTTTTGACGAATTGAGAAAAAAAATGCAGTATTTCCTTTATTTCCGCCTCCAACTCCCTTTAAAAAAAACAACGTCTTCGATCGTTCCCCCACCGCTCGGGGGACGGTAGGGGAGAGGACAGCGATGGTAAACTCTTCAGCGCTGCTCGGTCTGTGCCCCTCTGCAGATACCAGTCCCCCTCCCCTGTCGGAGTTTGTTTCTTCACAGAATTAAACAGGAGGAGGTGGGAAGGTGGAGTCGGTGAAAAGGCAAAGCCCACGTACAACCTCATGTAGACTCCTCTGTGACAGACAGAGAAACTGTCCCAGGATCAGTTCAGTCCACTCGCACGATCCTCCGCTTCAGAAACCAAATGCTCTAAAGACGAGGGGAGTTTCTGTAATGGCAGAGGAACCGGAAAGTCCAAACAGTGGAGTTTTTTTCTTCCTCTGTTTACTCCAGTTGGCCTCATGCAACAGTTAGGAGACCCGCAGCTGGATTCCCCTCACCTGAACAGACTCCACCGACTTCATTTCCAAAGCAGTGAGCTCGATCTGCGGCAGTGGTTGCCAGATAGTAAAACCTTCAGCAGTTGCAACACTGGGAACTGTAAAAACTGTGCACTGTTTCATCACATGGAATTAAATTTGTGCGAAATGTTTATTTTGCATGTGCATGCTGACTGAATTGTGCACTTTTAGCGCTTGACCATGCAAGGCACTGGGTCAGAACTCAATAACGAAATGGTGCTGAACATTTACCGGATGCAACACCCCTAAAACGTCTCATGCAATCTTTTGGAATGTGTTTTATAAATCACTGCTATTGAGCAAACAGTTTGCATGCATTTCTTTTATTTCTTTGATCGATCAAAGTGTTAAATGCCAATCAACGGGGCAGTCAGATTTATCCATTTAAGTTTTATTTCGTAGAGGAGGGGTTACTTATCTTGAGCTCTTGCAAAGGTTTCCTCCTCTGGGTCTTGCTCGGATCAAACAACTGGAATCTCAAAATTATGCAAGCTTTGTTAAAATGCCTCTCTTTTAAAATCTGCTTTTAAAATTCTTGGCCATGCATGAAGAAAAACCATAATAAAAAAGAAATATTTGAACCAAAAGCAGAAACAAGGCTTCTAAGAGAGGCGCAGATGTGATTATTAGGAAAAAAATGGCAAATCGCTGAGAAATTATGGCTATATTATAAGCAGGCTGCTTCAGGTCGGCACAATAATCTTTAACACCCCCCAAAAATATGTTTGGGCTAACAAAATCCTCTCATTGACTCTTTGTGATGGTGAATGCCCCCCTTCGTGTTGGTCCCCTTCTCTTTAAACCCGTTTTTCTTTCCACCTCTCCCTTCTGCCCGGTAGCAATTTATTTATATAATTGTCTATGCGGGTTCGTTCCTTCCTTCGCGACGGACACATAGTGATTTATCATGTTTTCCCTCTTTTTTTGCAGGTTTTTCCTCCTTCCTTGTGATGTGTTGTAGCGCTCTTCCGCCTCTCCTCCCCGTCGCCGCTCCGCAAAACACCCCCTTCCTTGGATTTTTCAGAGTATTTCCTTCTCATGCATACATATTATATTTATATAAATATATATGGCACTGAATTGGTTTTCCTTCCACTAACGTCTTTTCTGCGCTGTTTCCTCGGTCTGGATGGCGCGGTCAGGTTTCGGCTACTCTGACATCCCCGCGGTTCCTGGAGCGGCTGCCGGAGTCGCTCCTGCTATCGGTTATCTCCTGTTTCTGACGCTCTGTCCGCCAAACAAAATGGCGGCTTGTTGTTTCTACTCCTCTGATACGGGGGAGGAGGGTTAGAGGTACAGCAACATCAGGCGTGAAGAGGACGAGAAGGGAGGGAGGAAAGGAACAAGAGGAGAGGTTGTCTTCGCTAATGTTCGGGAGTGTCCGGAAACCTGCCGCGGGCCCCCCTCCCCCCGACACCACTCATCGATTCTAATTTGCACTGTAAAACGGGGTTTGCTCGTTTGTTGTTTCTGTAGCCGCTTCATATGAGTTGGCTGAGATATAATGACATTATTAGCTCAAAAATACCAATTTTTCAGAGCTAATGTCACAAGAGTTCAACAAGCTCGGCTGGGAGAAAAGATTAATTGGTTTTGATTGAACTAATGGCTAGCCCAAGAGGGTTAAGGCCAAAGTAACCATCTTAAAATTAATCTAATCTCAAAAACTTTATTTTTTAGACCTTCATAGTTTTGAACTACATTATTATATAGTCAAAATTGATTATTTATCCCATAGCCCAGGAATCTAGACAAACCATTGCAGTTGCAAAATATTTTGCTCTACAGGTTGGTCTAGCCACGTTCCATTGTAGCCACATTAAGAAAGAAGAAAGAAAACTATGTTTAATGTATCTCAGTAGGTCTTCGTCCATCCATTCCCTTCCACTTAACCGGAGTCAGGTTGTGGGGGCAGTAGCCTAAGCAGCAGGGAGGCACAGAGTTCCCTCTCCCCATCCACTTGGAGCATCTCCTCCAGGGCAATCCCAAAGGGTTCCCTGGCCAGCAGGAGAAATAGCCCCTCCAGTGTGTCCTGGGTCTTCCTTTGGGTCTCCTCCTGGTTGGACGAGCCCGGAAAACCTAACCAGGGAGGCGTCCTAACTAGATGTCTGAGCCAACTCAAGTGACTCCTCTCGATTTGGAGGAGCAGCAGACCTACTCCAAGCCCCTCCCAGATGACCAAGCTTCTCACCCTATAGCTCTACAGGAGAGCCCAGACACTAGGGCTGGGCTATATTGATATTTTTTAAATTTCGATACAAATTTTAAACAAGAAACAAGATGACTTTATATCAACATAACTGGTCAAACTGCTATGCTAGCAATTAGCTGCTATGCTAGCGACTAGTTGCTCCGTCTCTAAGCAGTTATTACATGTATTCTCACAAGTTTGCTCAATCTGAAAGCCTCTGGGTAAATGTGCTGCTCTAGACTTTGCATTTGGCTTCATGGTTTTCAATTATTTGGGGATGTTCAATGCCAACGGACTTCTGTTTTTCCATCCTGCGTGTGTGGAGAGACCAAGCCCCCATAATTCGGGCCTGAAAATGAAGCCAACACGGTAGTGACAAAAATTGCATTTCCACCCTCATCCACTAGGGGCTGGTGTCAGAAGCGAGCAAATCCTCATTGACTCCCATGTTAAAAATACCAATTTCACAGCAGAAATAAACATGATTACAGCCTGGTTCCAAAATACGTTTTAAGTTTAATAGATCTAGTTTACACTCATGACAACTGGGGGGGGGGGGGGGGGGGGGGATTTTTTTGTCACTCTTCTGTTTGAGTGTATTAAATGCCTAAAAATCGGAATAATTAATGAGCATCAGACCCACGTGACTGCAGAGCTAGCTCAGGGGAAAGGCCTCAGCTTGAGCCTCGGCCTCTCCTGAAAACTTCCGCGATTTTTAGTCTCTCAACTTAGACCATTAGTTGTAGCGTTTGTGCATTCTTTTTGGATATTATTTGTGCAATTGTTGGACAAAATGACTTGCTGTGGTATGAATTGCACCAATGGAGCGTCCAAGGAGTCTCCACTTTATTTTTTTCGGTAAGTAAAATGATATTTATGTATTTTAGGTCACTGCCGCTCTTGCGCTAGCTGAGCTTAGATGTTAACATGTACTGTTTAACCATGAAATTTAAAATTAATAGGGTAAAACCCAGTGCATTTAACATAACGTTGCGTTTTTGAAAATGGGTTGAAATATAACATGTTGGTGGAGCTGGGTTCCGACTATCGGTATGGTCCCTTCCCCTCAGCGGCAGCTCGGCGCATCTCAGATTGCAGCGGCGCTTGTCTGCTGTGCGGCTGCCGGCTTGTGGAGCTCTCGGGAAACCTTTGTGTTCCACCCGGTTTTACCTAGCGGTCAGCCCGGCGTATCTCTGACTCAGAAGCTCCGGTGTTGTGCACAGTTAACTCCGGTTGTAGCTACGTAGCTACCTCCGTTAGCTTAGCTCCCACCTCCGCGTTAGCTCTGCGTTAGCTTGTAGCTACATCACTTCAGTTTGACGGGTGTCGTCATTTGATACCAGCCTTACAGCACCACCCTCTGCTCCACCTCTCTTTCCTTTTGTGGAATTGTCTGGACTTGACGGAACCTGTGACTGTTAAAATGGCGGTGGTGGCCACCTCCCATTTTGGCTTAAAAACTTATTATTGGAGCCTATGGAAACGAATTGTCCAGTATATATGTCGATGGGAGAGACGAGCCAAATCCCTCCCTTCCCTGGGTAATCAGGAAACATCTACGGATAGCCGGAGTGGCCAAATTACCTCAAACATCTTTGGTATGTTCTTGCCATGTCTGATTTCTAATTCCATTTTTGGTTATTTTTTAAAACACAGAAAATGTTTCTTTTTACCTTGCCTGCTGACAGTTTCGTTCGCGGCTACAGACTTCCTCAGAGCTGACGCTCATGGAGGCGTCACTTCCTACTCCGTTTATCTGCGGGCAGCAGAGGACAGTCTTGTGTCTTGCCAAAGGCAGCGCTCCATCGGTTTGGTGGGCGGGATAATGCAGTGGCTCGTTTGAAATGGCTTTGGCATCAACTTTGGACTATTTAGACTTGGGCTTCTCTTTAAGTCAAGAGCAGATATAGCCGTTCATCTTCAAGATCTTTGAAAAGGTTGTAGCTACAACTCACAGCTGCTCTTGATGAACATAATATCTATGATAGTTTCCAGTCAGGTTTTCATAGAGCTCATTCTACTAAAACAGCTCTTAAGCCTAATTTATACTTCTACGTCTGCGTCAGGACAGAGACACGCTACGCCATTATCCGTCCTTGCGAGCCTGCTAGAGAGCCCTCGCAAAGATGGACGGAGTTGAGCTCTCTTTTCTAAACGCTTGTCTGAGGAGACGGAGAACGCCAGCTTGTGATTGGTCAGGATGCCGCTTCCTGTGAATTCCTCACCAGCACCACCATTACCCAGTTAAAAAGTAAAAAGATATTTAGCAGCTGACCCAGAACAGATCGAAGAACACATCACGGAAAAAGTTTTGAAATAAGAAAGTTTATTCACCCGTGAGTGAACGAGTACAAAATACAGAGCAAACAAGGACGAAAACGATGGGAAAAGTGGGTTTAGAAGTGGCGTCCGCATGAAGAGGTGGAGGAGAATGAAGGACAAATTTGTCCGTGTTATAAAGTCTCTGAAATATATAAACACATTAGTATAAATATACTAACGTGAGTGTTATGGTGGCATACCACAGAAAGATGCTACACCCTCTGTTGTCCTGGCGGGAAACAACTTTGCAACACTCCGCTGCCTGAACAGAAGTTTGAATGTGAAAACCTTTCTGATACTCCATGTGCGACTCTCTGTTGCGGAGCTCACAGAGAAGTATAAACCAGGCTTTAGAGTCTCTAATGACCTTCTTACTCACAGTGATGCAGGGGAATGTTCTGTTGGGGTTCTGCTGGAGCTGACTAGCCTGGCCTGCCAGACTCCTCCTCTGTTTAATTTTGCACAGAAGTCCTGGGAACTCTCCTATTCAAATGACCCCACCCCGTGAGAGTTCTAACCGAGCCAATCAGCGCTGCGTAGCGTACGTCACACACCATAACGCCGTGTTTGTCGAACATGGCGACTGTAGCGGAGTTTGCTGTGGCTCTTTCCTCTGTTCTAAATGACTTGGACATGTCTTTAAAACAGCAACAAGTAGAAGTGCTAAAAGCCTTTCTTCTAAAGAAAGATGTTTGCACTGTTGCCAGACGCCATTTTTGACTACAGCTAAAAAACTACAACGTCGCGGACGTCACACATGCTCAGTTTCTCATAAACAACGAAGACAGCGGCGGAGTTTGCTGTGGCTCTTTCCTCCGTTCTAAATGACTTGGATGTCTTTAAAACCACAAGTAGACGCGCTAAAAGCATTTCTTAAAAAAAAAAAGATGTTTGCACCATTGCCAGATGTCTTTTTTTACTACAGCTAATAACTACAGCGTCACGCGGTACAGTCGGCATTTGAGCTGCCTTGTCCTGCCCCTCAAGTGCCTCTCTGCATGTGAGTTACCAGACTCTTTCTCTGTGCAGAATTAAGCAGAGGACAAGTCTGGCAGGCCAGGCTTGGACCTGACTGCAGCCGTTGACACTGTTGATCATCACCTGCTACTGGAGAGGCTGAGAGACTGGGTAGGACTATCAGGAACTGCTCTGGAGTGGTTCTCCTCTTATCTGTCTGAGCGTTTCTTGTTTGTGGCCGTCTCCATGTTTGGGTCTTCCTCCACCTCCCATGGTATCCCACAAGGTTCTCAGGAACGTAGAAATCAGTGAGCATGTGGGTGGGACAAAAGGCGTGTAGGCGTGTCTATGGTGTCTCCCTCAAACAAAGGCAGCCGTGAGCAGTGTTGCTATTGGAGACTCTGACAGCTGTGTCTGTCCTCGCACAGGGCAGCTCAAGCCTCGGCAGCGCTGTCTCTGTGTGTGTGCTTCTCACAGCACATCTCAGTGACCGAGACTGAGAGACGGCTTTATTCAGTATCCAGAATAATGAATAGAGCTCCGGACCCCAGTTAGTAGATGCCATATTGGCAGGTAAAAGAAGCTAAACAAACACGGATGTAAACATGAACGTGAACGGGATCAGCTTGGATTTTACTTCGTCAGAGTCTACTTCACACTTCAAAACCGAAGAAATCGTTTTATATAGTCAGAAATTAAATAGACTAAACATCTCTGACCCTTACCGTGCCCCTGGGATACTTTTTAAAAACGCCAGAAGCTGTCGGAGCGGACTTCTTACCGGACCTAGCCGGGGAACCCCTTGGGATTCCCCCGGAGGAGGAGGCGGCTGGGGAGAGGGAAGTCTGGGCCTCTCAACGCTACATGCCCCCGCAACCCGACTCCGGATACGCGGATGAAAATGGATGGATGGACAAATAACAGATTTACACGTAAGTAGTTTAAATAGAGTGCTGTGCTGTTTGAATGTATAAACTGAACTCCAAGAGAAATCACTAGTTTGATTTTTTTCCGTGAATAAAATAAAAATGTCAGGCAGGAGCGTCTCAGGATCTGTCTGAGATCTGTCTCGGTGAGACAGATAATAGCAATCCAAAGTGCTTTTTATGTGTGATCTGACAATTGATCAACCATTGCTTAAAAATTAAACACAGCTTAGCCGGTTAATTGCTGAGATCATAAAACACGGAAACGGCAGCACGCAGAAATCACGAGGCAACGTTTTACGTGATGTTTACTTGCTGCTCTGAGTAATAAGACAGAAAAGCCACGCCAAAATAAGTTTAGGAAGCCCACTAAGAATCGTAATAAAAGCATTTATAATAAATACCATACACAGTTGAGGAAACGTTGGTTTAAGTACCTGATATGAAGTTGTCGCTGCATAAGCGAAAACCTTTACTCTCGGGATCCCACAGCTTCATTTTAGCCCGGTCACTAGCGCGTCTTATTACAATGATCCAACGTTTGCGGCGTTGCAGATCTTGGGGAATCCTGTAGATGGCTTATTCCTTATGTCGTCCGTGTCTGTTCTGCATCCTGGGGCACAACAGGAATCTACCATATTTCCTGTCTGATTTAGTTTTCTGACAATAACAAATAGTCCAGCTGCCGGCTTCTACCTGCCAAGATGGCGCCGTTTCGATTTGAACTGTTGCATGCCGGGAGAAGTGACGTCAACTCCCGGAGCTCTATAGTGCAATGCGAGCAGCCACTGCTGGCTTATTCTCCCCGCCAATCAGAGGCTCCCCCTAATGGTAGGCATGAATTTGAACTGGCCAATCAGTTGGCAATGGGTGTGTTGGGTCAGTTCAGCACGAAGCAGCCCGACTTGGAAAGAGGGCTGTCAAAACATCCGATTGAGCAAAGAAAAAAAAACAGGCCACTCAGATATGAACTCTTTATACCAGGGGCCTTCAATTCCGGGCCTTGAGGGCCGGTAACCAACATGTTTTAGTGGTTTCTCTGCTCCAACACACTTCACAGATTCAGTGTTTGAATCACTTGTGCAGAAGCTCATCAGGCTCTTCAGAAGCCTGTTAATTACCTGCTGAGTGAAATCAGGTGTGCTGTAACGGAGTTAAAACTGAAACGTGGTGGATACCAACCCTCCAGGCCCGGAATAGAATACCCCTGCTTTGTACCAAATCTGGGTGGGGGTAAGTTGGCCCTAATGTGAAAGTAGGTTAGGTTCCCTGGACCAATAAAAGTCATTTTCTGATACCATTTGATATGTGCTATTGATTCAACATATGGGAATTTTAAAGACACATTTTGATGCCAAGAAAGCAGGCGGCAACAGTTACTGTGAAAACACGTAGAGGACTCTTAACTGCTTGTCTTTACGCAATCAAACCAGACAATAAAAAGAAGTAAATTGCTGTGAATTTAGTGAGATTTTCATCCTTCCAGGATGAAAGGTGTCATTTAATAACCAATTTTTACAAGCTAGTAAATCTCAAATTAAATGACATAGTTGAAACAAATACTTATTTTTCATTTAGTACAACATATGTGATTCAGTGTATAGGAAAAGTGGACCAGAAAATAACTTATAGCCTCGTTAACTTACCTTTTTTTTTTGTTTTGTTCAGCAGACCCATGAGCTGACAGGACAGTTAACTTTTACAGGGGCTTAGCAGTTTAAAACGCCATTAAAACATTGCCTCATCATTTAAGCAATCACACCTGGGATTTAATGATTTGGCAACCATTTACACAAGTAATTATTGTTGAGCTATTCACTGGTGTTGCTGAAAATGTTGCATAAGTACATGATACAAATCCCTGAGGCTGATATTCTGCCATTTTGTCCTCCATACATTTTCAGCCGCTTATCCGGGGTCGGGTCGCGGGGGCAGCAGCCTAAGCAGGGAGGCCCAGACTTCCCTTTCCCCAGCCACTTGGGCCAGCTTTCCATCACTTGTGAACAAGACCCCGAGTTTCTTAAACTCCTCCACTTGAAGCAGGACCTCATCCCTGACCCGGAAAAGGCATTCTACCCTTTTTATGTGCTATGCTTTGAATGAATGAAGCCAACAGGACCACTACATCTGCAAAAACCAAAAACTCAATCCTTAGGCCACCAAAATGGATCCCCTCAACACTTTGGCTGTGCCTAAAAATCCTGTCCATAAAAGTAATGAACAAAATCAGTAATAAAGGGCAGCCTTAGTGGAGTCCAACTCACACCGGAAACGAGCCCGACTTGCTGTCGGCAATGGTAAAATGGTAAATGGCCTGTATTTGATATAGCGCCTTCTAGAGTCATGGAACCCCCCAAGGCGCTTTACAACACAATCAGTCATTCACCCATTCACACACCCATTCACACACTGGTGGGGATGAGCTACAATGTAGCCACAGCTGCCCTGGGGCGCACTGACAGAGGCAAGGCTGCCGAGCACAGGCGCCACCGGTCCCTCCGACCACCACCAGCAGGCAATGTGGGTTAAGTGTCTTGCCCAAGGACACAATGACAGCGACAGACTGAGCGGGGCTCGAACCTGCAACCTTTCGATCACCGGGCGAGCACTTAACTCCTGTGCCACAGTCACCCCTACAATGTGGATCAAGCGCTGACACTGATCATATAGGGACCTAACAGCCCATATCAGAGGGCTTGGTACACATACACCCTAAATACCCCCCCCCCCGAAAGGGCCCCCGAGGGACGCCGTCGAACGCCTTCTCCAAATCGACCAAACACGTATATTGGTGGAACAAACGCCCTCCTGGACCCTGTCAGTTTTACCTAATGAAAATTAATATTGTGTCTTTTGCATTTATGAACATGAATATTCAGTGCCATTGTTAAAATTATATATTTACTCATTTACCCAGCCCTTGGTGCAAAAAGCCACCACTTGTGCTGAAAATGGACCTTTCCTTGGATCAGCCAATGCTTCAGAGATGATGTTTCTCATCTGATGTCACCATATGACCTTATTATATTTGTCCTTTTGCCACAGCAGAAATAAACTGTGAATAAAATTAAAATCTTTTTATTACATATAAACTGCTTTCTTTAAGGGTTCAGAAAACACTCAAACTCAGTAACAGTGTACATTTCACATGTAAAACCCAAACATGTCACATGTTTCTCTCCTCCGTGATGCTGCAGAGACATGGTCTGATGTATATATGTAGTATACTACAGCCAAGTAATTTAACATGTTTTGATCAAGTGTGGGATAAAATGAGTAGAGATTATTAGTTGTCAAATCAACTTGTAATTTATGCATGTTATACCTGGAAATGTAGTTTTATTTTTAAATCAGAGCACAATCAGGATTGTTCTCCATGTTGTATCATTGTAGCTCTGAGGAGAAAATCCCTAAACACTCAGCTGAATTTGCTTAAAGTCTCTTTAATAATAGCTGAAGGCACACTTGTGCTTGACTGGTCTTGTTTTCTTCATGCACCAACCAAATTTATAATCTTTAGCATTAGATTCTCAACATTCCCACATTCCTGATATCCCTGATCTTTTTGATGGTGTCACCATAGAAATGAGTGAAAAGTACAGCAGCCTTTGAAGATTGTTCTGTCCTATCTCATGGCACAGGCCTTCTCTATATCAGCAATGGTCTTTGGTGCACCAGAGGACAGAATCAGAGGTCCTCCCGTGTCTTGGATTACAATATCATCCTCAATCCTGATGCCAAGGCCACGGAACTGCTCTGGAGCCTGGTCGTTGTCTTCACCAATGTATATACCTGTAAGAAAGATGAGAAAATTGGAAAAATGATGTAGGAACAGCCTAAACTGTTATGGAAAATGAAGGTATAGAAACTAGATCTTTGGTATTTCAGGTATAAATTACCTGGTTCAATTGTGATTACCATTCCTGGCTGGAGAGGTTGTGAGCGGGATAATTCAGGAGTATCGTGGACATCCATGCCCAGGTAATGCCCTACATGGTGCGGGCAGTACCGCCGTGCAGCCTGAAATCAACGATCAAAGTGACAAAAACATAGTTTGAACTCTTGTTCTGATGATGCCTCTTTCATCACAAATCTTCAGCTTGGAGGTTGAGAAGTTGTCATAGCTACGCTTCATCAGATTTGTCATGTCATGTCTTGTCGTTAAATCAGCCCCTGTAATTTCTTCGTGTTACATATTACTTTCGTTTGCATTAATATGATTATTGAGGTCGTAGGGGTTGTATGAACTAGTCGACTTCACTGCTCTGTAGTGACTTTTTATGCCTTTCAGCGATTAGTCGCTGTCACGTGATAATGAGCGACAAGATGCAGTCCTCGGAAAAGACAGCAGGTGATGAGCCCCTGCGCGTCGGGAGGCAACGCGCTGTGCCAGAGCGTCGGTACTGACGCCCGCCATAAAACGGACATTTAACCAAATTGTGACGTTTACCCTCTTGCAATTTAACCTTCCCCTCACCCCCATCCTAATCTTAACCAGCGTGCGCATGCAAAGCTCTGATCGTTGACGCACTCCAGACATCTGCGTCCTGAGCACGGCCACAGTAACATCAAATTAGTTGTCGCCACCTCAAAAACCAATTTAACACGCAATCGTTCATGTCGGCTCATTTCCTTTCAATCAATCAATCAATCAAATTTTATTTCTAAAGCGCTTTTCAAACAAAGTGTTATTCAAAGTGCTTTACAAAATGACCCCAGATTCCCATAACAGGTTAAAAACATTAACAAACATATGCAATCACACGCACACACACACAGACTCACACACACACACACAAGTAAAAATTATATTAGGCTGAGTCCAGATGAGCCAAGTATGGTAACGCAAGGAAACGCCTTCAGAGGAGCCGTCTGTCCCGGCAGCATCAGGTCTTCCACACTAAGTCAGGGCGCTCAGTGGAGGGGGAGCATAGACCCCCACCTGTAGAGCGCCCAGGAAGCTACAGTCGACCACCGCTCCCGGGGCAGAGGGCCCCCACAGAGGAAACACTGGATTAAAATGAGTAAAAATGTAATAAAAGAGCTAATATAAATGACAACAATTAGAAAATAAGTAATAAATAAGATCATAGACAGTAAAATAATAATTTAAATAATAAAACTGTGCTAAAATATAATCATATAGAACATGCAAAGCAAGTAATAAAATATAATCATGTAAAACGAGAAATAAAAAAGTTTTCTGTCTTTTATTTTGTGCCTGATGCTTTTCGCTGCTGTGGAGCGGGGCGTATCACCTGTTTTGTCCTCCAATAACTTCACCTCACTGATGCAGTCGGCGAGCAGCGCGCACTCCGCTGTTTTTGCGGTCGGTAGATCTTTTAGAACTGCAGTTCAAAGGTAACTCATAAGGTGAATATATATGAACCCAGGTAGCAGTTTCTCTTTAGGATTGAGAGGAGATGCAGGAAGATAATAAACAGACAGGACAGAAAAATAGTCAAATAAAAACAAGCTAGTTTTTGTACCTGGTGGTTGCAACAAACAGACGCCACTGAAGGTAATCAGAAGTGAGGAACAGAAAATGAAATAATTATTTTAATGTTTAGAGCAGCAGGAACTCTGAGAGGCTGCAGGCGCACTACGCATGGGGAGGGGGGAGAGAGCTGTAGTGGAGCAGTATAGATGATGCAGAAACTACCGTTGTTAAAAGAGATGTGTTTAACTTGGAAAATGTGGGCGCAATTTTAATTGTCAAAAACTCCAGCGAACCCCCCCCCCCCCCACCCTTCCCCCGGCGCCGCTTCAGGTGTATGACGTCATCAACGACTAGTGAAAGTTGACTCGATTTTCATTACTTGACAGTCGTGCATCCCCTATGAGGTCGCCAAGAAATATTTGGATCATTATCGTATAATTTTCATGACTTTTTCCACATGAAATGCTAGTTACCAATCACTTATGTTGTTTATGCTAAGCTAAAGGTAAGCTTAAGTTATAACTTGTAAAGGTTAACTATATGTGTTTCTTCAGTTTAAGTTCAAAAGCCTTTATTTTGGTAACTTCGCTTTAGTTTTGGTAACTTCTTAGTAAATCGGAAATATAGTAACAGTTTAGGGAAGTACATAAACGTAAACTTGAGCAAAGAAGGCCGGAGTTAGCCTAGGACCAGACCCGTATATTATGTCGATGGACCCACCATATGAGCAACCCCTGTCCCAAGCATGAGGATATTTTTACAGCTGCAGACACTGTAACTGCCAACAGATCGGTCCTTTTAGCAGAAAACATGGTTAAATTAATATTTCTAGCAAAAATATGAACATTAAATGAACCTGAACAAGGGTACATGCTGGAACTCTTAATGTTGCACTTAAGGAAGTACAGAAAGTTTATTTCCTAAGGACTTTTAAACCGTTCATCTTGTTTTTTTGGCTGAGAAAGCCAACATATTTATCTGTTTCCTCAATTTCAAACCAAGAAAAGTACCGAACCAGGATCTTAGGCGTACCATTACACCCATAGTTTCTGTGGTGCCACATTAGACAGAAAATCCATGTTAGAAGTTCAAGTCCAGTCTTCTAGGACACGACTGCAACAGACTGAGCATAGCAAGGAACCTGCAACCCTCCAGTTGCAGGGTGGGCACTCATCTGTCATGTCACCCAAGGTGTGTATTTTATTAATGATGCAAAACACCAGTGAATATGGTCCCCTGCTGTTATTCCAGTGATTACCTTTAGCACATCAGCATCACTGGTACCAGCTTTGAGGATGCCGAGCCGCTTCAGCTGCCGACCCAACAGAGCCAGCATGGTGCTGTAGATGTGATCGAGACTGATGCCCGGGGAGCACAACGACAAACAGGACAGCTGAACCTCCAGGACAGCCTGGTAAAGATCGGCCTGTGCAGGGCTGAATCTGCCAAGAGAGAGAGGAGGAGAGCAGACTTCAGTGTTGACTCTTAAAACAATGGCGAATGGCCCTAAATATTTAAAAAAACTTTCATTTTATTTAAATTTCCCAAAAATTTTTATTAGAATACAGATCAGATCAAATTAGTAAAATAACCAATCTACTCTGACTTGAAGAGCTTCAGAAAGTCAACAGATTAATCAGGATTATTTTATTTATTTTTTGGCGAAGCAGGTGCATCTGATAGCAGCACAGTGTTGTTCCACGTCACGTTACACCCACTGGCAGGCACGCTGCTGCAGAGTCACTTCAAAATGATCTCCACAGCCAATAATCTGTCTTAATTTAGTCTCATCTTCTGCGTCCTCTACCCTCATACCAAGTAACTTCATGTCCCCTTTCACCAGACCCATAAATCTCCTTTTTGGTCCTCCTCTCCGCCTCATTGCTGGTGACTCCAACCTCAGCATCCTTCTACTTATGTCATCATATTCTCGCCAGAGCCGTGCTATGGATATGTAAAGGATGGGTCGTTTACATCTTACTTATGAACCATAAAATGTGAGATTCCATAGAAATATGAAATATCAATCTGATGGATCTTTGAATATTTTAACCAGAAGACCAGAACTTTTTATTGCAGGGATTAAGCGACACTTCGTATTAACTCCAAGGAAAGAGAAAGAGTCAGGTTTATAATAGTTAAGAAATTTATTTCTACACAATTTAAACAAGACTAACTTAAACACTCGGTGTACTGATGGACTGGGTGGAGTGAGACGTGAGAGGATGGTGTATGTGTGTGGAATGTTGTTATCAGAACCAGCGGATCCGGAGAAGCGGTTAGTTCTGAGTGGGAGTGAATGTTTCGCTCTAAACTTTAGTAGGAGATTTATAACACACATGAAACACCATCTGTCGGTCTACGTAGCCCAGGGGAAGCCTCCGTTAGATCCAGAATGCCGAGGTCCTCTTGGACCCTCCTTGGAACCGAAGCCGGTAGAAAAGCAGCGGTGCCGACCAAACTAGTCTTGGAATGCTTCCAGGTCACGACAGGTTATCACTGGCGTCTCCGAGACCCTGAAGGGGTCGTGAGGTTCAGCTTTTATTCTGAAGGAACCGTTGCGGTCAGGTGTAACTTGCAACAGATTTTATCCAGCTTGCCGAGGTTCTTTTTGGCTGAAGAGGAAGTCCGGATGGCCTGTCCGAGACTTCTCCAGAACACTTGAACTAAAGAAAAGGTTGTGTGGAATAGTTTTTATAATTGTCATATTTTGGTTTACTGGCGAATCAGAATTTGACATGTAAAAGAGGCTTTATACAAACACCACAGATAACCACACCTAGCCATAAACAAAGGTTCTGATTGGATCAGACAAAAGGAAATGTGTCGTGTGGCTTTAGCATTACGTGTCATTAGTGTCTAGTGCAAATGTCCAGGATTATAATAACTTGTAAAATACTACTGATCACAGGATTATAATATCAAGTACTAACATTGTCATTTCACAGATTGAACATTGGGCTCACATTATTATTGGTAATAACAAAGTTGTTGATTATGTATTAATCAAAAGAGTTCTTTGTCTTGAGCTGTAACAGAGGTGAAGCAGTTCAGATGAGCAGAGTGCATGAAAGACCTTGGCCACTATCTCATGTAGATTAGGCTGTCAGACTTTATGTCTCTGCTCGAGCAGACGCAGATCATGACCTTTAGGTCAAAAACAGGACATTCATGACGCTACAGATATTTCATTTAAGAAGTAGTTTAACATGTTTTTCTTCTGTTCTGAGCTGAACGAAGAGAGGGTGGTGATGAAGGTCACACAAAAACCAGCTTGAACAGGTGAGTTTTCAGCTGCTTTTTGAAGGAGTCCACTGATCTCAGGCTCAAGGGGAGAGAGTTCCAGAGTCTGGAGGCCACAGCAGCAAATGATCTGTCATCTTTGGTCTTTAGCCTGGTGCTGCACAACCAGTAGGCTTTTGTCACTTGAACTCAGGGACCTGCTGGGGGTGTAGGGACTGAGAAGATCACCAGTGTATGATGGTGCTTGTCCATGTAAGGCCCTCAAGACCAGAACCAGGATATTGAAATGAACCCTGAAATTGACTGGCAGCCAGTGAATCTGGAGGAGAAGCGAGGTGATGTGGGTGTACTTTGACCACACTGTTGTCATGAGCCGGGGTGAGTACTCTTCACATCATTCACCATCTCTGAGTGTTCTGATTGCAGAAGAGGGAGCAACAGCTGATCCTGATCAGCGTGATGAGCGGGTCGGCTTTAAAAGAAGGATGGTGATCATGATTCGACGCCGGAGTTGTTTGCCAACCGCCAATAAAACACCAAAAGAAGAAGAAGAAGAAGATTCAACGCCGGATGATTACTACAGCTTGGTAGTTTCCTGCCCTCTTGCGACTCTTGGATTTTGTGCTCTAGTGTTTCTAGGATTTTTTTGTGAACCTTTGGATCTTTTCCCTGTGCTTACCCGTTACCAGGTTTTGGAAAGTTTTTGGACTTCTGCGACTTCTCTGGATTACGTCTTTGGATTTCTGTGACTCCTCGGGATTACTCACCTGTGCCCCATAAGATTTCCGGATGCAGCTCTCACCGTTCTCCATTCCTCCCGGCTGGCCCGCTCTCCTGCTCTCCTCTCGGTCCCTCTCCTGGACACCCCACTTGGATTCACCCCGGCACCCAACCTGCCCTCCTTCATTCCTACGCTCCCCTACTCCCAAGTAAGTCTATTCTCTGCACCCACCAAATTTAGACTTACCTTCCTGGACTCACCTGCATCTGCGCTCCCGTTCTCAATCTCCACTGGGCTTTTCCAGTTTACCTTCAGTTCCCGTTTTAAAATAAAGATTATTTTTTTACCATAAGATCTGTGAGTGTGTGATTCTGCATGTCTTGGGTTAAACGCATTCCCCAAACCATGTCATGTTTAGATTAGATTAGATGTCACCTCGTTTAATTCACATGCCTCCGACACCGCAACTGGACCTATGACGTGGCAGTTATGCACTTGTACATTGCAATGTCAGTGCTTAAATGTAACATTGAGCAGCTCTTGTTTGCAGGACTTGTAAAACACGGTTTTATACTGTTTGCATGTAAAGTTCAAACATCAACTGCTACTTTTGCCGCCAAGTAGCTACTAAATGTATGCATTTTATTTGTATCAACATTTTTGGTCCTTTGACAAGTTCAACATCCAATTTACCGTCCATTTACTGGCCAAGTTCGAGTGATGTCACTGACGTAACCAAAGTACTCACAGCCACCATCAAGCAGAACCATTTCACCATCCTACAACAAGGAGCAAAAATGTAGGATTAATATTTTAAAATACTCGATTTATGACTTCTTGCATGTGTTATTTACCTTGATAATCTGGTTGTTATTTATATAGTGCAGGGTGTTAGCCCGATTCCCTCCAGCTACCACAGGAGGATATGCCAGGAAGTTGGCACCGTGAATTCGATTCTCAAAATCAAACTGGAAAAAGAATAAAATATTTTAAGGTCATAAATTCTGAAAGCCATATAAACAATTTAAAAACTCCTTAAAACTAATATTTTTACCACTATCTTGTTTTTCAAACTCACACTTGAGTTTTCCAACATCTAAAGAGACTATTTTGCAAAATCCACTTTTTGAAGCTTTTGACCACGATATATTGTTATTTCCTCATTAGAAACATCACTAAAGCGTTTTTGGCTTCACACAAACATTTTTCTGTCTCAGCTGCTTCATTCCTTCAACAGGCAGTGCACTAGTATGTTCTGCTCCTCCCCATCAAAGTGGTCTGTCAAGTCTGGATCCCCGGACTGTAATTACTAACATCCAGCCTCTCCCTGTAGTTAGCAGTTGTGAAGAAGTGATTTTTTTCTCATCTAGTCTGCACTTTAAATAATGCCTAGAACCCAAAAATGAAATGTCTGCAAGAGGAACAGTATCCCTGTCCAGTCTTCTTGAATAATCAGCAGCAATGGTTGGATTTTATCTTTAGGAGCTCTAAAAAACTGATCCAGAATGTGATTGTGATTTCAGACTGCTTGTTGAACCTCTGCCAGTGCCAAGGTTGGTTGTCAGACAGATTACTTCAAACCAGCGCCATTCCAATGTGGAATCAATGGACAGGCCAGAGTGGAGAGTACAACCAAAATGCCAGCTGCTAGCTGAGTGGTTATAGGTCTCCTCCCATTCCGGTCGGCTCATGGGTCCCGGAAAAACGAAAAAATGAATGCATGTCAACGGGGCTAAAAGAGCAATTTTTTAATTCGCTTTGCCTTATGCCTTGGATCACACATACGTTGTACTGCAATTTAAATGAAAACTAATGATGGGTGTTTTGACTACGCCAGTCACGTACTTTGAGATTTATCAGCTTGTAAATGTTCGTAATCATCATGACTACAAATTAAATATCAGCACATCACCCGTCACCAAATAATCTCTTTTCCTCTAGCGTAGCTGCTACTTACCAAATGGCCAGATTTATGATGTATTTTCCTCCGAAAGGAAGGATTTTAAGTTAGCAAAACTTTCAGCCATTTTCCCTCTGTTTTTCTCTGTGTCTGGTTCGATGATGTCACTTTTGTGATGCTCATTTGTAGTCCTGGACTTATTTTCACACAAAACCTAACACCCCCCCACCCCCCCAGAAAATAAGTGCATTCTTGGTATCGAAATGCATATTTATCCATGGCAAATAACAAGCAGAATTAGAAATTAGTGTTTTTAGCCCCATTAACTTGGATTCATTTTTTCGTTCTTCCGGGGACCCATGGTCCAGAAGCAGATGGACGTGACTTAGGGTTAGGGAAGGACAATATATCGGCATCAATATCGGTATCGGCCGATTTTAGTTATTTTTTAACATATCGGTATCGGTCCGAAAAATAAAACTGGGCCTATATTAACAACCGATAATTTTTCCATCTTGTCTCCATTTGTTTGTTTCAGAGGGTGAGGGGGGGTGATGTTTATTTATTTGGTCATGTGACAGTGATTGTAATCATCTTAGAAGTGTAAATGTGTGTGTTTATTTCTCGTTTTACATGATTACATTTTAGCATTGTTTCATTATTTAATATTATTATTTTACTGTCTATATGATTTTATTTATAATCTATTTTCTTACTTTTGCCATTTATATTAGGTCTTTTATTTTCATATTTTTACTCATTTTAATCCAGTGTTTTCTCTGTAGGGGCCCTCTGCCCCAGGAGCGGTGGTTGACTGTTGCTTCCTGGGCGCTCTATAGGTAGTGTTTAAGTGGAGGTGGGGTCCATGCTCCCCCTCCTCTGAACGCCCTGACTTAGTGTGGAAGACCTGATGCTGCTGGGGTTGACGGCTCCTCGGATGGTGTTTCCTTGCATTAGCTTACTTGGCTCATCTGGACTCAGCCGAATATAAATTTTTACTGATGTGTGTTTGTGTCTGTGTGACACACCCTGTCCTGTCTCCCCGTTTTGGTTCAGCCTTGTGTCTCGTTAATTGCTCCCACCTGCCTCTCATTTCCCAATCACCTTAGCTCCCTGCCCTTGTGTATTTAAGCCCTTTCTGTTCTGTGTCTTGTGTCGGTCCATTGTTTCAGTGTATTGCATGTTTTTCATTAAAGTTTATGACAAAACGTTCTTCCTGTCTGCCTGTCTTCCTCCCCGCGTGTGGATCCTCGCCTCACCTCGCCCACACGCCGTGACACTGTGCATATGTTATGCATCTGTTTTTAAACTGTTATGGGAATTTTGGGTCATTTTGTAAAGCACTTTGAGTAGCACTTTGCTTGAAAAGCGCATTATAAATAAAATCTGATTGATTGATTGATTGACTGATTGACTGATAGTTGTGTGTACATAATAATGTAAATTCAGCTTTAAAAATGTTCATTTCATACAAAATCTGCTGATTTTAGAAGCATTAATGTCAGTATATCTGTATCGGCAAATATCGGTTATCGGCCATAACAGTGACCCTGATATCGGCATCGGCCCAAAAATGTCATATTGGTGCATCACTATTTAGGGTCCCTATAAACTTTGGTGGATGAGTGTCAGAGATGGACTGGGGCAATAATTCAGGCCGGGAATTTGCTACCATCTCAGCTGCCTATGTAAGTTGTGTGTGTGTGTGTGTGTGTGTGTGTGTGTGTGTGTGTGTGTGTGTGTGTGTGTGTGTGTGTGTGTGTGTGTGTGTGTGTGTGTGTGTTACAGATGGTGATGGTGTTAGCAGCTCAACACCCTTCCAGGCAAAGAGAGTTGTTGTGGGGGAGAGGAGTTGTGGGTCGTTGAGTCGTCTCAAGGCAGTAAACATACAGTAAACATTACAGTACAAGTCAGTTCATGAAGCCAATCAGTAAAAAGTTTTCTATACAAGGAACCCAGCAGGTTGCATCGAATCACTGACTAGTGTCAGAGTCTTTACACCAATCCTCATACTAAGCAAGCATGGAGCAACAGTGGAGAGGAAAACTCTCTTTTAACAGGAAGAAACCTCCAGAGGATCCTGGCTCAGTGTAAGCAGCCATCCACCACGACTCACTGGTGATGGAGAAGACAGTGCACACACACAACCAACACCCACCGACACACACACACACAAGCACACACACCCACACCTCCACACATACAGACACACCTCCTCAATAAAAACATGGGACAACACATTAAGAAGACCCTTCTTTTCCAGTTCTGAAGATCCATTTTTGAGCTAAAATATTAGCTGAGCTCACATAAATAAAGATGTAGAGTCACAGATAGGTCATTAGTTTTATTAATTACCTTGGCAAACAGCACAGCTTCATCTACATCTCCCTGAGACAGTGCCATCGTTCTTCTAAAAGCCTGAAAGACAAAAAATTTAGATGGATTATTTTGCAGTTCAAAAGCTTGAATCTAATTAGCTTACACAGCAGGACAGGAAAACATTGATGAACCTGTGCTGTTATCCGGCCTGCCTCTTGCATGAGGGACACCTCTGCAGAGCTCTTCAGGGCCCTGAGGGACTGCACGAGGGGTCTGAGTGAGTGTGGAGTTGGCCCTGCTTCCAGCACGGGCAGCATGTGATTCTGATGGAGACGAGGGTGAGCGGGTTGTGGGGTGTCGTACCAGAGCTGAGTGCCTAAAGACAGAGCAGAAAGAGCAACGATTTTATACTATGCAACCCGGTAACGACCTTGGATCAGTTCTGCTGATGTTATTTTCAACTCAGGTGGACAGCATTCTTATCCAGAAGGTCATTTTGATCTAGTTCAGGGATGTCCAGACTTCAAGATGAGGCCCAATAGTCCTCGTGGCCCAAACTTTTTTATTTTTGTTTAGAATTAACACACATAATGTTGACCAAGTTTATTTTTTCCCATCATTGGTGTGAGAAGAGCATGAATATATTTTCAGTTGTATTTATGTTTCTTTGTTATCCATGAATACCCCTCCTCCCATCCCCCAGAAAAGTCATTACACAATAGGGCCTAACGACATAAATGTATCATCTGGGGCGTAGGGAGGAGGGGTATTCATAGGTAGTTTCTGGTTGTTAAGCAGCAACAGACAGCTACAGTTTATAAGCTTGACTCTCCTTTAATCCAGTCAGAACTGACAAAGCTCATCAGATGAGAGTAACCAAAGATGTCTAGTTGCCTTCATTCGAACCCTTTTGGATGACCATGACCAGGTTGTTGTCTGTAGTCTATATATGATATGGCACACTGACTCCTGAGGAAATTTCAGAAGTACCCATCATCAGAAAGCTTGTGACCCGTGGAAAACATCTCAATGGTACTGATGGCTTCATTTTATGCATGTAGACATTTAGGACCTATTACACAAAATTTTACAATAAACTACAGTATACATATGCACCATTTCAGCTAAAAACATCAGCAAACGTTTGAAGCAGACTTTAGTTTTCCTTAAAAACTGAAACAAGTCTTCCACCATTGCACGTCCACTTGGTCCACCCACCTTTGAGACTCTTGAGTATCAGACACAGCTCCTCTGTGTTATGAACCCTCTCGATGCCGGTCAACGCTGCAGCCCCGTCCCTTCCTGATCGAGGTCCATCCCACAGTTCCCTCCCTGGATCTCTGCGAGGAACGAATAAGATGGCCTGGTCTGGTCGTCCCCTCCCGTGAAGAACCAAGGCACTGTCTGGTTCTAGGAAGCCACTAAGATACAGGAAATCCTGGGGAACATTTAGATTCAAGTTATCAGCAAATATGTGCTTTGTTTGAGATCAAAAGGTAGGATGTAAATCATGTTTCTACAGATAAAATTCACCTGGTTCTGGTGGAAGGGGTAAGGTATGTCATTGGTCATGTAGCTTGTAGGATGGGACAAGACTATGGCCACGTGGTTAATGGAGGAGGCAGAAGGTCCCATCTTCTCTGACTGAGCCTCGATAAGTGAGGCCAGCTTGTGCCTACGAAGCTCATATTCTGTTTGGGTTATACCTGGGGTCACTTCACCTGAGGAGCAGAGAGAGCACCAGTTCAAACTCCCTGGGGCAATGTTTTCTGACATGGCTGAACATCACATGCCACAAGCTGTAAAAAGCGCTCACCATGTTTGATGAGGTGAGGATGAGTGAAAGGACTGGGCTGACCAAGGTACCGACATGGGACTGTCTTTGGCTTCACATCTCCTGGTTTCACAGAAATACATCTGCATGGGCACCAAGTGGATCCTAACACAACAGCAAAACACACACCAACAACTTAAAAATGTCCCAAGCTCCATTTGGTAAAGTCTTACAAGGTTTTTAGAGCAGATCAACTGGAAGTCTGCAGTGGCAAGAAAGCAGCCTAAAAGACAAAAAAAAAAAAAAAAAAAAAAACAGGAAGTGCACTTTTATCATTTTGAAGGGTGACAACTTTGTTTAGCTTCTGTTGCAAAAACCAGAGAAAAATAAAAAATAAAACAATGACGTTGGTTCCAACCATCGACATATATACTGGACAATTCGTGCCCATAGGCTCCAATTATAAGTTTTTGTGCCAAAATGGGAGTTTCCCACCACCGCCATTTTGACCGTGTCACAGGTTCCGTCAAGCCCAGACAATTCCATAAAAGGGATGAGAGGTGGAGCTGAAGGTGGGGCTGTAAGGCTGGGATCAAATGACGACACCCGTCGAACTGAAGCGATGTAGCTACAAGCTAACCCAAAGCTAGCGCGGAGGTGGGAGCCATGCTAACGGAGGTAGCTACCTAGCTACAACCGGAGTTAACTGCACAACACCAGAGCTTCTGAGTCAGAGATGCGCCGGGCTGACCGCTGGGTAAAACCGGGTGGAACACAGAGATCTCCCAAGAGCTCCACGAGCTGGCAGCCGCACAGCAGACAAGCGCCGCGGCAATCAGAGATGTGTTGAGATGCCGCTGAGGGGAGGGGACCATACAGATAGTTGGAACCCAGCTCCACCAACATGTTATATTTCAACCCGTTTTCAAAAATGCAGGGTTATGTTAAATGCACTGGGTTTTACCCTATTACATTTAAATTTCATGGTTAAACGGTACATGTTAAAATCTAAGCTCAGCTAGCACAAGAGCGGCAGTGACCTAAAATACATAAATGTAATTTTACTTACTGAAAAAAATGGAGACTCCTTGGATGCTCTATTAGTGCAATTAATGCCACAGCAAGTCACTTTGTCTAACAATTGCACAAATAATATCCAAAAAGAACGCACAAACAACTAATGGTCTAAGTTGAGAGACTGAAAATGGCAGAACAGTTTTCAGGTGAGGCCGAGGCTCAGGCTGAGGCCTTTCCCCGGAGCTTTTTTATTTATTTATTTTTTAATTGAACATCTATCACATTACACTTTAATAAAAAACAATACAACTCAGTAGGTAACCAACAACTTTTATCAAATACAATTGGAAAAAAGTCTAAGCAGCAGAAATAACCAGATTTATAAATAATAAAGTATAAGGTAAAGTAAAGTAACAGACAGAGGACTTCAGTTCAAAAGATCTTCAATAAAACTGACAAGTTTAACAGCCTGTATATTATTTACCTTTTTAAGGGATTTGCAAAAAAGAATAAAATCATTTTTGAAAAAAGGCAGGCTTGGCTTCACTTTCATAAAACAGCATTTGTGAATAAAGAATTTCCCAAAAATTATCAAATTGTTAACAACGAATTGAATCGGTTAATTTTTTTCTATACAACCAAACTGAATAAAATATGTGAATAAGGGGATATTGTAACTCTTTTCGGATATTAGCCAATTGTATAAATCTGACCAAAGGGTATTTACTGAGCTGCAATCATAGAAAAGGTGTTTCTGAGTTTCAATATCACTATTACATAAGACACATAAATTATCTTGTATATTAAATCTGATATTTAAGAATTCTTTACACCTTCATTCTTCTCAAACAGAAATGAAGGAATTCTGAGCCAGATAGAATTGTTCTTAATTAGAAAATTTTTAAGCCATTGTAATTTAATGACCCCATTCATTACTTCAAAGTCAATGACATTCAGACCTCCTTCTTCAATAGGTTTTACTAGATCGTTTTTCCTAATCAAATGTTGCTTATTATTCCAAATAAAGTCATATTGTGTTTTATTTATTTTCTTATATTGGTCAGGGATAGCTACTGAAAGCGATGCACCGTCGTCAGGCAAAAACTCTGCACTGCATTCGAATTTAAATCTGCCATCGCTATTGGCTAAGAGCTACACTATGATGCTAGATGGTACATTATGATGTCACAATGTTGTGAGTGTGTGTATTTGTTAGCGGCTCCGCCCTCTCGGCCTGCTAGGCAACAGCATTTGTTGCATTTTTCAAACAGGAAGTGGGAGTTGAGTAAGAATCTGATAGGGGGTGACTTGCTCATTAATTATACAGAATTTTAAGCATTTAATACACTTAAACAGAAGAGTGACAAAAAAATTCACCCCCCTCAGAGTTGTCATGAGTGTAAACTAGATCTATTAAACCTAAAACGTGTTTGGAACCAGGCTATAAACATGTTTATTTCTGCTGTGAAATTGGTATTTTTAACATGGGAGTCAATGAGGATTTGCTCGCTTCTGACACCAGCCCCTAGTGGATGAGGGTGGAACTGCAATTTTGTCACTTCCTGTTTTGCTTCATTTCCAGACCCGAATTATGGGGGCTTGGTTCCAACAGAAGGTATGTCTAATCAAAGTGTTTTTGAAATGGAACATGGGTCTGAGTACAAATGCAGATTCTTATTCTGTGGAATCAGAAGACATTCTCAAACTGGGAGATAAAGAGTTAATTTTAAATCATTGATCGAAAATAATAAACTATATGCTTCACCATTAGCAGACCCGCCAAACACGACTAGTTACAATACAACCTAATCATTTAGTAGTTCCAGTCTTTTTACCCGCAGAACCACTTTAAATCATCATGACTGATTTCAAAAGGTGTTGGAAAGATCCTTCAGAGGTTCTGGTCCATAATGACATGACATCATCACTCAGCTCCATCCATGATGAGAAGCTCTTGTTCCTCCACATCCCAAAGGTTCATGACTGTGGAGGCAGTTGGAGTCCACTGAACTCATGGTCATGTTCTAGAAACCAGTTAGAGATGATCTGAGCTTTGTGACATTATGCATGACCTTGTTGGAAGTAGCATCAGAAGATGGGTCCATGTGGTCATAAAGGGATGGACGTGGTCAGCAGCAATACTCAGGTAGGCTGTGGTGTTTAAACCAGGCTCAGGTGAGACTAACGGGTCCAACGGGGGGATCAGAACACCCCACCACCTTTACACCAGCAGCAGCAGCAGCAGCCTGAAGCATAAAGCAGGATGGATCCATGCTTCCATGCTGGTGACACCAAATTCTGACCCAACTATCTGAATGTTGCTGTTAAAATCCAGACTCATCAGACCAGGAAATATTCTTCCATTCTCTCCTGGCCCAGTTCTGGTTTCAAGGTCAAGGTCGAGGTAACTTTATTAATACCCGCAGGTAAATTTGATTTGCCATGTGACACGAGAATTAGCGCCCAGTTACACACACAGTCACAAAAAATACACACATCAATAAAAATATAAAAACAATACATGAATAAATAAAAATAAAGTAAAGTAAAATAGCCACGCCAGACTCATTTCTCATTGAGAATCGTTACTGCCTCAGGAATAAAGCTCCTTTTATACCTCTTGGTCCTGCACTTAGGCACAATAAATCTCCGTCCTGATGGCAGGAGAGCAAACTGGGCATGCAGTGGGTCGCCCGTGTCCCTAACAATAGCTTTGGCAATTCTCTCTACCTGCCCACTGTACAGTTGTGCCACACTTTTCACTTGTTTTCCAAGCAGACGACCCGACCACTTTACTATCCTGTTCAGCGTTTCCTTTTGTTTAAGATTTGCCTGGCCAAACCATGAGGCTAAGGAAAAGGATAAAACACTTTCAATAAAAGAACAATAAAACATGGACATTATAGTCCTGTCCACATGGAATGAGGCCAGTTTTCCAAGGCAGTACAAACGCTGCTGGCCTTTCTTACCCACAGCATCACAGTTTTCCTCAAAATTCAGCTCCCTGTAAATGATTGTCCCCAGATATTTATATGATTTCACCTGGTGTTCCTGTGTGAACTGTAGCCTCAATTTCCTGTTCTTAGCTGACAGGGAAGAAACCTGGTGTGGTCTTCTGCTGCTGGAGACCATCTGCTGATGGTGTTCTGCAGGCCTTGATAGCAGCCAGTGTTTATCTCAACTACTGTTGCCTTTCTAGTATCTAGAACCAGTCTGACCAGTCTCATCTGACCTCAAGGAGACATTTTCATCCACACAACTGAGGCTCACTGGATAATTTTTGTTTTTACAACATTCTCTATAAACCATAGAAATGGTTGTGGGTGAAAATCCAAGTTGATCAGCTGTTTCTGAATCACTACTGGCCTGTCTGGCACCAACAACCATGTCAAAGCCATTCAATACCATTTCTTCTTTATTCTGATGCTCAATTCTAGAACACTGAGTTGCTTTTGTGTAATTGGTTGGGTGATAGTCCGATGACAGTTTAATGGGATGGTGCTTACTGTAGTGTGGCTGTAGGACAGCAGACTTCTCACCTCCAGCTCTGATCTGCCGTGGCAGCAGTTGGACAGCAGCAGTCCTCAGCGAGCTGCTGACCGGGGACAACATGTTAGAGCAGCTGAAGACGATCAGTCACCACATGTCGACCACCTGCAGACACAAAGTGACACCCACAGACCTTTACTAATGCTGACATCTACCCACACAACAATCACCTACAAATTTTACATTTTCCTAAGTACTTATTAATTTTTCCTGGTTAACAGATACCTTTGATAGCTCACTGCTTTTAGGTCTTTCATTCAGAGCGACGGTTAAAATGCTTCCCTGAGTTTGGTTTGTCAGGCAAAGAAACGGTAATGTAACCCCGCCCCTTTTAAAAATCTCCTACTGTGTTAAAAGTTTAAAAAATATATTTTATGGTGCTTCTCGTTTAAGATCCTAGGTGTTTTCTGGTGATGTTTATGAAACCAAAGGTCACACCTCTGCTTTTTTGTAGATGGCTTTGTTTGGTGGCTGCGCAGTGGTGCAGTGGTTAAGCTGTTGCCTTGCAGCAAGATGGTCCTGGGTTCGCTTCCCAACCTGGGATCTTTCTGCATGGAGTTTGCATGTTCTCCCTGTGCCTGCGTGGGTTCTCTCCGGGTGCTCCGGCTTCCTCCCACAGTCCGAAAACATGACTGTTAGTTTGATTGGTCTGTCTTAATTGTCCTTGGGTGTGAGTGTGTGTGTGTGCCATAAACTGTATATACAGTATATACAGGTGTGTGCATGATTGTTTGTCCTGTGTGTCTCTGTGTTGTCACTGTCCTGGGTGTACCCCGCCTGATTGCCCATTGACTGCTGGAGATAGGCACCAGCCCCCCCTACATTGTCCTACATGGACAAGCGGGTTCAGACAATGGATGGATGGACTTTGTTTGGTTTTCCAGCATTCACTTCCAAAAATTAGGTGATTCTGGGAGTCAGAAGTTCAAGCTTGATGTGGACCAAGCTTAGTCGTGGAACTTTACTTTAATTTTAGTACATACATTTGCACATTTGGACTCGGATTCTGACTGTGTCCTTTGATTTCAGCAGCTCTTGGGTGAAAGATGGGAGAAATTAGTTCACATATCTGAGTCCACACAAATGTAAAATTTCCATCGCCCTGGTTCCTGATCTGGCTCACATCATCGGTTAAAACATTTGTCTTCATTCGTTCACCTTTATTGGATCTGAACCTAACTAAAATTCCAGCATAACTTGTTTTGTCCAAACAAGATTGTTGCCTCTTCTCTGAATCACACCTTTATCCTGACATCAGTCCCAAATCTTTAACACAATCAAACCATTGTATTTTGTTTAACGTGAATGATGTTTAATTGTAAACATTTTTGTATTTAAATCTCCTTTTGTTTTGGCTAAATTTGTAAAAACTGCTCACAAACATTGATTTATGTTCTTTTCAGTAACCAGTTAGGATTTTTTGGCATTTTATAATTTTTAAATATATCTTTCAAACTCAACACTATCTTTCTATGTAATTCTTTTCAATAGGTCTACATTCACAATTTTGCATGTTGAACATATCTGACTTAGAACATGTTTTGACACTTAAAATTTAAGGAATTGTAAAAAATAATTTTATTATTGCACATTTAGGTTCTCATCTGGGCAATGTTGTGTGTCAGGCATAAGGTGCATCAGCCCTTTCATTATAGGTTCATTAGCTATTATGTCAGACTTTTACACGTCTTAGAAATAATGCAAATTACACATTGTGACTCCATAATTGATTTCTCAGTTAAATCAGGTAGTTATGTGTTTTACAAAGGCAGAAAATTCCATTTTCAGTTTTACATCATTGACATATCAAAATGGTTTTGAAAAGTGGCATTTTTATACTTAACTTTCTTTTATTTTCTTCGGTAGAAAACAAGAAAGGCCCCTATTTGCCTTCCTGCCACCATAATACATGTTTAAAATGAATAATATATTCATAAAGTTCTTGTTGCTCACGATTCTCAAAGCTCATCCCACTGCTGACGTTGCTGCCTGACAGGCTGAGCGGAGGGCATCAATTTACCCACATGTTTGGGTCTGTCCGATATTTTGCCTGAATGAAAACCAGAAGCGACGCCACCTCCAGGGAAGCGGTGTTGTTGTGGCAGTAAATTCGACTGCAACCTTTCTCTACGGCGTTTTCCTCCCTACACAGTGTATTTCTAACCAGGTAAGTGCAATTTTATTTACACTAAAACAAACACAAACCGTGTTTCAACTGCGGTTCGTGTTTACGGCGTCTGTGTTATCATGCGTCAAACAGTCCGCGCGTCACGCATTGATTCTCATTTCCAGAAACTTCTGGCTTTCAACCACTAAACTACTCATTTGCTAGTTTTATTTGTATTTCGTTTTTTTAAAGCTTTAATAGCTTTTCGTTATTTAAAAATTTTAACGAACAAAGTGTGGAGCTCGTAGCGCACGTTCGCCTTATCAAGCTTATCACAGAGGGTATTAGCAGCTCACAAACAAAGCCCGTCTTGGTGATGTTGTTACCTCTTTTTGCTCTAATTTCCACCCGCCTGCAGAGCTTCGTGTGCTGGACGTGACACACCACCATGGACCCACGAAAAGTGGCGGAACTGAAGGGCTTCGTGCAGCTATGCGAGTCCAATCCGGGGATCCTGCACCTTCCAGAGATGAGCTTCTTCCGCTCCTGGCTACAGAGGTCAGAGCTGCTGCTCACGCGCCTGTTCGCTCACTGTTAACGGAAGATACACTCGTGGTGTAATTTTCCTATTTAAAAAAATATTACTTATTTCTTTCCACAAATGGTGGGCTCACCACGTGTTCTGACCCGCCCACCGTCCAGTAAAAATCACAACCCCCATAGCGCGCGTGCACGCGCCTTGTGTCACAAATTATAATAATAACTTTAGTCGCAAGTTGTCAAATTCAGGGGTTAATATAAAATCATTCCTCGGGAAATGAATGATTTTTTTTTACTAATGCATCATCCATTGGCTGTATCAATGGGTACACCTGTTCAGGTACTTGCAAGCACAAATCATCCAATCACATGGCAGCAACGCGATGCATTCAGGCATCATGAATTAAAACCACAACCAAGAACAACCTGTGAAAGGCTTACTCAGCATTACTAATTGACAAGTAATTTCCAGGTGTAGCTCTGGATGAACTTCAGTAAACGTAGTAATTTTCAAAAGAAGTTGAAAGTTTTTATAATCCTTAAAGGCGTTAAACACTTCAAAACATTTTTAATAATAATTTCTGATTGTAATTGGTCAGTCTTGGTTTTTAATGTAGGCTGAGCATAGTCTCCTACACCTTTCTCCTGCTTTAGCTTCTGATAGAAAACAGACGGTGAAAGTCTGGGATTAGAAAATCCTGACAGATCTACGTCACACTGTCACTTAACATTCATGGACTCACCCATCTTGGCCCACAACGGGGAAGGCTGTTGGTTTAGTGTCCAGGAAACCGCAGAGAATATCTCAGCTAGTAGAAGCTAACCCTTAGCATTAGCAACTCCACCACACAGCAGAACTCCGCCAGACTTGTGTTATTCGTGGGATGAAACATCAACGTTGCAGAGCAAACGGAGTCAGTGTTAGTCGTGTTGCTGTTAGCAAGTCAGAGGAAAGAAGTCCAAATATCAGGAAGTGAGACTCAAAATCCTGACGTCTGAAGCTACTTTCTAATCCAGCGGAAATCTCCATGCTGGTACAGGCGCTTTTGGGCCTTTTTCTTTCTCAGAATATGACTTGGAAGGCATTCATTCCTCCTAGAGACTGCTGCAAATGTATTGATTAACATCAACACCTTTTAAGGTTAATATTCCGAAACTGCGCTGCTCTGGGCGGCTGCATGTTGGAGTAGCTCTGTTGACTGTATGTAAGTTTTGCCTTTTCTTGGGCATTTTTCTTCTAGTTTCTCAAGAAAAACTGCATTTTGTGGACACTCTACTTTTCTGTTTCTGATGCTGTGAAGCTTGGAGGATTTTTACTGCTGGTTTTTTTTTTTAGCTTTTTTCACTTTTTGAGCATTTGTTATGATGTGTAACCATGGCAACAAGCCGGTTTACAGTCAGGAGCAGCTGATTAACATTGGAAAGGTTGAAATAATACCTCAACTGAAGCCACAAATCCCAAATGAGCTAAAACGCAAGAAGCATGGAGGCAGAGCGGGAGCAAAACGGAGACAGAGAAAGAGGAAATTCAAACCATCTCTTCCATCGATCATAATGGGCAACGTGAGATCACTGGCCAACAAGATGGAGGAACTCCAAGCCCTTTCAAGGACTCAGACAGAGTTTCGGCAGTTTCGGAACCGCTGGAGGAGATAATGCAGAGAAGGATTCTCCAGAGAATCAAGAAAATGATGGACAACCCTGAGCATTCTCTTCACAAGACTGTCCGACAACGGAAGAGTGTCTTCAGTCAGAGGCTTCTTCAGTTTGGCTGCAACACTGACCGCTACTGGAGATCCTTCCTGCCAACAGCCATTGTAATATACAACAACTCTTTGATGACTTGATTATTATTATTATTCTGAGCTACTACAGCAATCAATTTCCCTCTGGGATTAATAAAGTATTTTTGAATTGAAATGAATTGAATAAGGGAAGATTTGGAAAGATCGATAGCACTTGTTCAGTTTTATCCAATCAAAATAATTTAGGAGAGCAGTAGATGACCACGGGAATGCAGCTTCCTCAGAAAAATGTTAAAGATAGAATGTCCGAGGAGAAAAAGCCACAAACATCTTCTATTTGTTTTGTTCAGCAATGTTAAAACCTTTGAAAATCAGACTTTTTTTCCTAACAGTTCTCCATATTTTTACCTGCAGCATGGGAGCTACACTTCCTCCCCAAGAGATGAAACGGGAGTCGTGTCAGGTGGAGAGCAGACATGTGTTTTCATTGTTCAGCTAGTCTTATTTTTAGATTTTAAAAGAAAAAGAAGACCCTGACAGAATTTTTTATTCTTCTTCTTCAGACTGGCTGTCCTTGCGGTCCATCTCCGTCAGCAGCTTCGCCTCCTGAACCAGAACCTCCAGTTCAGTCTGAGAGCGAGGAGAGTGAAATAGGTATCGCATCGTCCCTGATGTTTTTTAGTTAATCAGGATTTTAAAAAAACTTTCTGGGTTTGTTTTTGTGGATTAAACTGAATGACTTATATTACAGAATTATTTTGAAGTTAGTTTTTATTTCAGTCTGATTTTGATTTAAAGTATTTTAATTGTAATCGAAGACGAATCTACAAATTTTCATAACATTTATAGTCTAGGTCGACTGATATTGTTTTTTTCTATTGCCAATACCAGTGCCGATATGTAGCAGACATGGTCAGCCAATGGCGCGTGTGCACTGCTAATTTTTATGGGCTGATTTTCATGATGAAATCCAGATGTTTTCCACCTTATTTTCATGTTAAAATGTCACTAATTACAAATTGATGCACACAGTTTCTGCAGCTGAATCAGCGTTTGAACTCTGAATTTACCCAGCTGTTAAATCTTAACTTTGTGTGGCTAGACACCTAAATAAAGTTAGAGTATTTTACGCCGATGTTATTGGTGAACATAAAAATGCATTTAAAGAGCAAGTCACCCCAAATCAACTTTTTTCTGATAAACTACATAAATGCGTGTCTAATCGTGCTGCAGACACGTGTAGTCAGTAGTTTTGCGCTTTAGTGCATTTTAGTTAAAATTAAAATTTTCTGCCTAAAACTGTCAGTGTTGTCGGGTAAAAACTCTGCACTGCATTTGAATTTAAATCTGCCATCGCTATTGGCTAAGAGGTACCCTAGAACGTTAGCTGGTACCATATGATGTCACAATGTCGTTGTGAGCCTGTGTGTGTATTTGTTAGTGGCTCCGCCTCTCGGTCTGCTAGGGAACAGCATTTGTTGCATTTTTCAAACAGGAAGTGGGAGTTGAGTAAGAATCTGGTAGGAGGTGACTTGCTCTTTAATTTAAATTCTGCAACAGCCCCGGGTGACCGAGGATGCGCCTGACTTCAAATCAGCTTTACTAAGGACAAATATTGGAAGATGTATTAAACGTAAATATCGGCCCGATATATCGGTCTACCTCTTATTCATAACCTTAATATCTAAAGCAGCAATATAGAGTTTTCCCCCTTCCAGGAAAAGTGAGGCTCTCATCCTGGTCGGTGATGTAATTTAGGAAATGCGTTGCTTTTTGCTAAGCCCGCCCGATGTCCCACCGAGCCCCATGCAGTTCGGATTGAGCGCTGCTCAGCATCGGCCAATAGCGTTAGACATCTGCTTATGACATCAGTAGCTCGGGAGGTAGAGCGTGTTGTCCAGTAATCGGAAGGTTACAGGTTCGATCCTGGCTCCGACCAGAGAATGCTGCTGTTGTGTCCTTGGGCAAGACACTTAACCCGCCTTGCCTGCTGGTGGTGGTCGGAGGGACCAGTGGCGCTAGTGCTCGGCAGTGCGCCCCAGAGTAGCTGTAGCTACATCGTAGCTCATCCCCACCAATGTGTGAATGGGTGATTGTGTTGTGAAGCGCCTTGGGGGGGTTGTAGAACCCTAAGAAGGTGCTATACAAATACAGGCCATCTGCCATATGTGGAAATGTCATTCACAGAGCGGGCATGCATGTATGAGGACGTATTCAGACTGATGCCGAGTTGGTGACATTTCTCATGGAAAAGTAAATCTTTATAATTCTGAATAAATGGCACAGTGCAGGGTATCCGCGCTTAAAGGTGTTTCCATGGAGACGTTCAGACCAGTTCATCCAGTAAGACCGATGGTTAGCTGGCTGATTTAAAACGTAAAGTTTAGATCTCCGCCTCTCGAAAGAACCAGAATCGAAACAAGGAATTGGAACTGGAGCCGGAATCGTTCAGATTCAAACGAAGGCCGACCCCAGATCTGAGTGATAAATGAATCTTAAATATTCTAGACTAGGGACACTGATTACTAGGAGAAAGTAGAGAAATAACAAAGATTTCTATTTCAGAATTTGATAACGACGGCGTAATCGAGCCAGACACAGTTGATGCGCAGGATATGGGCGAGTTTGAAAACACGGAGGTAAAATGTCCTTCATGACTAACAGAAACGTTTTAAACTACTGTAGACGTGACTTGGAACATCTGTGTTGGTAACTTTCTTCAGATAACCGAGGAGATGATGGATCAGGCCAACGAGAAGAAAATTGAGGCCATTAATGCCCTTGGAGAAGGTAAATAAACACACAGCGCACCCCAATCCTAATCTCTAATCTCCGTTGATCCAATTTGTTCTTTTTGTTTTCGTCCAGGCGACCTGCAGAAGGCGCTGGATCTTTTCACCGAAGCCATCAGGCTGAATCCCCGCTTAGCAATCCTTTACGCCAAGAGGGCGAGGTGAGAACCCCGCTCAGTTTAGATCATTCTTAGCTGCTCGTTAGCTACGCCGTCTGCTCGCAGTGAAACGAGCTGCCTTCTTTGTGTTAGCGTCTACATCAAGATGCAGAAACCCAACGCAGCCATCAGAGACTGCGACCGGGCCATCAGCATTAATCCAGACTCTGCACAGCCCTACAAGTGGAGGGGGAAGGCTCACAGGTACAAAAACGTCTCACTGATGTTCCAGCAGGTCTTGAAACGTTTACACACGAGACAACCACACACCCGGTGTGTAAACACACAACCCAGTTCTTGTGTGTGTGTGTGTGTGTGTGTGTGTGTGTGTGTGTGTGTGTGTGTGTGCGTGCATCAGGCTGCTCGGTCACTGGGAGGAGGCTGCCAGGGATCTGGCTACAGCCTGTAAACTGGACTACGACGAGGACGCTAGCGCGATGCTGAAGGAGGTTCAGCCAAAGGTACGGTGGAACCGATGCTTTGCTGTGTTTCTGTTTGCACGCTGCAACATTATGGGATGTTGACAGGTGGTAGAAGATCGGCGGATCTGATGCAGTTCAGTCAGAGCAGATGTTTGTGGTCCCTTAACAAGAGACAAAGGGATAAATTTGCCTTTGATTTCCTTCGAATCTCTTTTAGGCTAATAAAATTGTGGAGCACAGACGCAAATATGAGCGTAAGAGGGAAGAGAAGGAGATCAAAGAGAAGCAAGAGCGCGTAAAGAAAGCCAGAGAGGAGCACGTGCGGGCTCAGAGGGTGAGTTCTGGAGATTCATATACATGAAAGAAATCATCTCAAGACTTTATGAAATCTGTGTGGTTTTCTTTGTGGTGCAACAGGAAGAGGAAGCACGGCAGTTTGGAGGTGGATTCTTCCCAGGTGAGGTCAATGGAAGCTTCAGTGGAGAAGATCTTGCATATTTCATGCCACTGGACCCACCATGATTTATTTACCATCTTATTGTTGCAAGCTCTAAAATCCATCAGACGTTCGTAGCCGCAGGAAGATGATTAAAAAACGTGACTACGTTGCCATGGTTCCTGACTCTGTTCTCCTGCAGGTGCCGGTGGTTTCCCGGGTGGAGCTCCTGCTGGCATGCCTGGTCTCGGTGATCTCTTCAAGGATCCTGAGCTGCTGAATGCCATGAAGGTAATTTGCTGCTCAGCATCAACCCTTTGCTAGTTTAAACAATCACGTAGACCATTTATTGGTTTTTCTGTAGAGATGGGTCATCATTGTTTTTGAACCCATAGTGAGGTGTTTAAACTCCATGTTGGCTAGTCCTAAGTCATTAGCACCGCATTTGTCTCTAAAAACAAATTGTTTGGTTTTATATCAATTTCCAGGACCCTGAGGTGATGGCTGCTTTCCAGGATGTGGCGCAGAACCCTGCCAACATCTCCAAGTATCAAAACAATCCTAAAGTCATGGCCCTCATCACCAAACTCAGCTCCAAATTTGGAGCTTCCCCACAACCGTAAACGGGCCCGGAACCAAATCCAAGTGCAAACGCGGCGAAGCAGACTGGAGAGCGGCGCTTTTCGATTACTCACTGTGTTAAGTTAAGCAGGAGCTGGTGACGGGTCAGCTGGAGCGAGGTAGAAGTTGGGCTACTTTATAAACAATGATCCTAATCAACACCTTAGTTCTATAGCAACATCTAATCAAAGCATCCCGACGGTTAGGAATGATGTTGGAATCTGGGATAACCTTGTTTCAGCTGGAACTTCATTTAACAGCAGGTTGATCTTTTTTTTTTATTGAAACGGCTGCACTGCTAGATTGCCCCTCCCCCCTCGTATTAAGATATGAACGTTTCTACAGCCATTTAATACGTGGTTTAACCTCTGACTGTCTCTGAACACAGCTGAACTCTCACGAGCGTTGGCATGTTTTGTTATTAATCTGTTATAAATGCAAATAAAAGGATGTCTGTCTCACCCTGTTGAAAAAATATTCACAATAAAACTATTTAAAAACATTTTGTTCCATTTTATTGGTTTTTAAATTAATCTGATTAAATAAACTAAAATATTAAATAAGCATGTGAGTTATTTCATTATTCAGGCGGTATGTGTAGTCCAGATGTTTAATCCAGCTGTGCTGCTTGTTTTGTAGCTTGAGGATTACAGCCGTGTCAGATCTCATGTCATTCCACGTGGCTGTAGATGCTCGTGACTTTCGTCCCAACACAATGTACCTCATGAACTAAACTATGAAGGTGCATGGTTGAGCATATCATGTGCACTTAATCTAGTTTTACGACTTCAATTCAAATGTGATTACATCCTCCTGAAGACTGATGGTTTTACAGTTTATTGAATTACAACATAGCAAAACATGTAAAATAACATCTAGGTATATGAGCAGGAAGCAAAATGGAAAGTGAAAGGTTGATGCTCGCAGAAGCCAAGGAACAGGTCAATATCACAACTAGTGTCCGTATCTGCGAAAGAAAAAACGAAAATGTGTTTGAGTCAAGCATCAAACAATCCTCAAAATCAAATATGCATTAATGGATCCGACTCACTTCTGAAACTCCCACTCCCTGTTGTCCAGGGGACACACCTGTCTGGTCTTCAGCCAACGGGAGATACAGTGGAAATGGAAGGCATGCTATGGAAGGTAAGGAAATGTTTAAACGACTGGATAGCAGTTTAACAAAGATGCAAAGACTGAAAAATAAGTGATCTGCACTTGTAGAGTGCCTTTCAGAGTCAAATGACCCATATCTATCATCCTACTGAAAGTTGCACCTTAGAAACTCACATTGCAGACACCCCAGGCCACAGTGCACTCTTCTGAGGTTGCAGAAGCTTGGTTGGCCTGGCACTCTATGCCTGATGAAGGATGAAGAATTGTGTAAGAGGGCTGCCAACAACTCACATGCAATCAAACACCCCTATGTGAACTTACACAGATCCATGATGTGGTTCCTACAGATAGCACAATTATCCACCACTATGTCCCAGGCCCACAGTGCAACAGCATTCCACTGGAACAAAAATCACATTCTGTTCATAGGAAGGTAACTTAAAATGAAGGACCTCATACCTGGAAATAAAAACCTTAATTCTATGGCTCATTGTAGGGTCTCTGACATTCAGTACTAATTCAAAGTTATCTTACAAATAAAGTTTTTCAACCTTTGATTAAAAAATGCTTCCATGGACACCTCAATCTAGAAAAGGAGTTAATTAAAATCTGATTAATAAAATCCTTCTCTATCAGTACCGTTACTTTTAAATTATGTAATGAATAGGAGAAAAAAAACCTTGTCATCAAAACTACTTAACATTTTATCCTGAGGAAATGTGACAGTCATTTAAATACTTTAAATCTTGGGAAATTTCGAGATGTACAGCTAAGCTGACTAAGCTAATTTAGCATGTAGACTAAGAGATTAAAGAGGTATTTGTCCATTTTTAAATCGTGCTGTTATTGTGTAACTACTGAGAGTTTATCATCGCTCTTATTTCTCTACAAGTTCTAGTTTAGACTTTAAGGCCATAAACAGAATAATGATTAATTATTTCTTGTAGCAGGCTAACAGCTAAACACCGATAACGGTGTTTAGCAAGCTAGCGTTAGCTAATGTTGGGCTAAACCTTTCGGCGTTGCTGACAAAGTGCACCGTTTAGTTTAGTCAACACAGACAAACTTTCAACTATCGTACCTTTTTCACTTCAAAGCGCTTCTTGCTTGCTCCACTATTTGTACCGCTTGGCGTGTCAACATCCATTGCTGCTGCCATTTTGAACTCTCCGGAAGCGTTTATCTAAGTTTTACCGGAAAATAGCGTCACTTCCTGTTCGACCAGATTAAGCAAATTTTCGAAAGAAAATATTATTTTCTTAATAATTTTTGAAAAAACAAAATCAGGTTGTATTTCTGAATTGTTACCGTTGACACTCTTAATATTTGAAGAAGTATTGGTTAAAAGGTCAGGTTCCACCGAGATTTGAACTCGGATCGCTGGATTCAGAGTCCAGAGTGCTAACCATTACACCATGGAACCCCTGCTTGTTAACATTTCTCTGTAAAGAATTTGTCAAATCAATAGCACATGTATTGCTTTTATTCATTGCTTTTACACACCCTTAATTTCTCATGCAAAAAAAAAAACTTCTCATGCTGTATAGAAAGGTGTATCTATCTGAGCTACACACTGCGTCATACTCATCACACTACTGTGTACCACACACTCCCCTAGCTACAACGCTGCAAATGAGCGAGAATGGGGAGTTGACGCCCTCCAGTGGCAAAAAACCAACATAGCAGACATAACCTGTAACATAATAGAAATGCGGTTCTTTATACTGGTTGTTCTTTGTATATAATAAACTTTTAATTCAATTACTTGCAATCTGTCGTTTTATTTGATTGACCTAAATAATGCAAATAAATATATCCATCAGAGTATTAAAACACCTGCGTACTCAATCCTTTAATTTGCGCTCTCTGCTGGAGAAATCGGGTTGCTGCAGGTACTACATTCATACAACTTAAAAATTACGATTTTTAAATTGGCGTTAAAAACACAGTTAGTATAAAATCGGAAAATACACAATAAAACAATTTAACTAATGAAACTTGATAAATGTATTTCAGTTATTCGTGTTAAACAAGATTAAATCAATAGGCTAAAGAAGCTAGCTATCAGCCCCACAAACATCCGATTATACGCCCACTGGCGGCCACAGGGCAAAACTACATCTACGAGAGGACTTCATTTGCTTCCCATTTGGAAGCATGGGCATGGCTGGCTTCGCTAAGATTTAGAGGGATTTTTATTCATTTTAAAAATGTAATTCTTAATAGGTGATATGAGATACATATATTTAGGTACTAATATTTTTATCAGCATGAGTTTGTCAAATCAAACCCGTCTGATGTAAAACTATTAGTTCAAGACCAATAAACACCCAACTACATCTAATAAACACACACAGGGACATTCGTGTAGAAATTATTCGTTATAAGGTACAAATTTTTCAAACATGAGAACTCAATCTTTTAACATTATTATATTTTCCCTGGCTGTCGTGAGTATTTTTCGCCCTCTAGCGGCCGAAAACTGTTACTACAGGTAGCGTTCATAAAGCTAAACAAAGCATTACACTTCCTGTAGATTCCTTCAAAACAAAACATACCATTTAAAATTATTAAGGGTTTTAAAGTGGAATTAACAGCAAAGTTAGTCTAAATAACAGGAAAACTGATAGAATTATTATTCATGTTTTCATTTATCATGCTTTATGCTTTTATTATAATTAAAGATTGTTTTTCATTTACCATGTTTTATGCTTAAAGAGCAAGTCAACCCCTAACAGAGTCTAACTCCACTCCCACTTCATGTTTGAAAAATGCAACATATGCTGTTGCCTGGCAGACCGAGAGGGCGGAGCCGCTAACAAATACACACACACTCAGGCTCACGACAGCATTGTGACATCATAATGTACCAGTTTACATCATAGCATACTTCTTAGCCAATAGCGGTGGCAGATTTAAATTAAAATACAGTGCAGAGTTTTTACCTGACAACGGCACAACACTGCCAGTTTTAGGCAGAATATTTAAATTTTAACTAAGATGCACTGAAGTACCAAATTATTGACGACACGTGTCTGCAGCACGATTAAACACTCGTTTATTTAGTTTATCAGCAAAAAAAAGTTTATTTGGGGGTGACTTGCTCTTTAATGATTTTACCATTTGAATGCTTAAACAGTTGCTGTATTGTAAAGTCCCCTCATGAAACTTTAAGGGTGTTAAATCTGACCTAATATGACCATCGACATATATACGATGGTCACATTAGGTCACTGCATTTGAATCATTAATTAAGGTCTGATTGACCTTACCTCCTTAGGTCACGATGTGACCTAAGGATGACCCGTGGAGATCTGCTGTTCTGTCAATTGCTGACTCGTGCAACTGTTTGCTACTCATCGTGTGATTAGACACTGGAAGTTCTTTGTGTAATAATGAATGCTCTTTGTGTGAAACTTGTAACAATTAAAAACTGAGAGCTGCGTTTTTCCCCCCCATTCACAATCAGCTCTCAGGCATGTACCTAGGGAGCTCCCAGCTTGTAATAAATAGAGGTGCTCGGATTCCAAACACCAGAATGGTTTAGAGGAACTGTCAGCTCAGTGGAGACTGAGTTGGTGTGGCCTTATTCCATTCTCCTCGAGCTCAAACTGAATTCTGACTTTTGTCTCTCTTTCCTTGTGTTGTGTTGTTATATGGTGTCTCAGGTGCTTAAACCTGACAAAAGCCTGAATCTCGTCACCTGTACAAACTACCCAACTACTGAAACTCAATAAATTTATTTTAATTACTTGTGTTCAACCTACTGCTGGAGCTATTAGCAGCTAGCGATCAGCACTACAAAAATCAAATCACACGCCCTCTGGCGGACACAGGGCGAAAATAAATCCACAATAGAATTAAGAGGGATTTTAGTCTTAAAATTAAATTAACATAAAATAAATATATTCAGGAACAAAATTTTACCAGCATAAGTTTGTAGTTCCCAATCAAACATGTCAGATATAAAAGTTTGTTTTAAACAGAAAAAGCATTGATGTATTTGGATTTCACAATTAAAACTACTGAAATAAAATAAAAACCAAATACAAATTGGTACAAATTTGATTAAAAACCACTGAAAAACGGAGTAAATGTTTGATCAAAACAGCTGATTTAACTTGATAAACTTGTTTAATCAAATTAAACTATAAGCAATATATTACAATTATATGGTTTAAAGGGGAAAGTTGAAAATAAGTCTAATTTAATAGCTACATTATAAGAAACACAATTCCAAATCACTTTTATTCCCAATAAAGCTGTAGTAACCTTCCAGTAGATAATATTTATGTTACAGCGGTCCAACACATCATTACCGTCTACAGGTGGTTCAGAATGCCTGTGCTCGGCTTCTGACCAAGTCCTCCAAACACACCCACATCACCCCGCTTCTCCTCTAGCTTCACCGGCTGCCAGTCAACTTCAGGGTTCATTTCAAGATCCTGGTTCTGGTCTATAGGGCCTTACATGGACAAGCACCATCTTACATTGGTGATCTTCTTAGTCCCTACACCCCCAGCAGGTCCCTGAGGTCCAGTGATCAAAGCCTACTGGTTGTGCAGCACCAGGCTAAAGGTCAAAGGTGACAGGTCATCTGCTGCTGTGGCCCCCAGACTCTGGAACTCTCTCCCCCTGAGCCTGAGATCAGCGGACTCAGTGGTCTCCTTTAAGAAGCAGATGAAGACTCACCTGTTCAGGCTTTTGTGTGACCTTCATCACCACCCTCTCCTTATTCTGCTCTTTCTACCAACTCCGCCTTTCTCTTTCTTTGCATTTTTTAATCACAATTCTTTATTTTTTTCTTCTTCTAATTTTAACCATATTTTTAAATTAATTTGTTGCGTTTTGAATTTTTTGTTCTTGTGAAGCCCCTCGTGATTTTTAACTTCAGAGGCGCTATAGAGTAAAATATAATTTCTGTAAGAAATAACCACCTGTACGCTATAAGCTTACGACATCATGTGACATAACTGTTCCGCTGTGAAAATAATGTAAAATGTAAAAACATGAAAATCTTCTTGATAAAACAGCATCTAAAAAATAAATCATCTAAAAATACACTTTTTTCTCTACCTACCTCTATTGTGTCATTTCCCCAAACCTAATGGCACCCGCACCCTCCATAAACACACAAAGAATAAAAATGTTTAATTTTACCATTTTTTAATGTAAATTTCAGTTAGTTGAACAGTTTTATTTGGATAAATTCCTTCCAGTTTGCAGGAAAACCACAACAAACCGACAAGCCAGGAATCACAGAATGACAAAACTCAGTTTTTATTGTTTCCCATCTTCTTGTTCTTTGCAGTTGTTGCAGACTTTCTCTGATGCGAACTCTTGGCTGGTCTGTCCAGTTTGGCCTTTTGCGGCCTAGTTCTCACTCTGGGAGACCTCAGGGCACTGGGTTTGGCTTTCTGTAACTTTGCAGGTCTGGGTTCTTTAACTGCCTCCTTGTTTGGAGGAGACATTTTCTCTGGGCAGGCTGTGAAGATGTTAATATCCCTGACCTGCTGACCTCTGAGCTCAAGAGGGTGACTACACATTGCCGACACCTCCAGCCTCACATTTTTCATCCACCTGATCAAAAGATAACGTAAACAATCAGAGATGAACAAGCTTTTTTGTTTTCAAAAGTAGGTGAATGCTCTGACCTGCGAAGGGGGAGCACATTACAGTCACACAGCAGAGGGTTGTCTCGCAGGTCAATCACCTCAAGGCTGGTGAATGAGCTCAGGTCAGGGAGAACCTTGAGGTGGTTTCCCCTCAAAGTAAGAGACTTTAGTCCTGGACCCAGGCCCAGCAGAGCATCCTCGGACATCTGGTGGACAGAGGAGCAAAACTGATTTCTCTAGAGGAAAAATCCAACACCTCAACACCTACTTAACCCAAATAACACAGATTAACACCAAAAACGGAAACCAACAACAAATTAAAGTAGTATTTTAGGACTTTTTTACCTGTTCTGTTTCCATCTGGTCCATGAAAAGCCTCTTAAGACTTTGGGAAACGGGTTCAAAAGCCTTTGGTCCAACCCTGGTAACCGGGTTGTGAGACAGGTTCAGCTCTTCCAGATTTGGAGCCTCAAAAAGAGCATCGATAGGTACCTCGGTCAGCTGATTAGAATCCAGGTGAACAGTTCCAATGGAAGCAGAGCACAGAGCACCCTTGGCTATGCCAGTTATGGTGTTATTACTCAGGTAAAGTCCTCTCAGTGTTGGAGCTACTGAAGACAGCAAACCACTGGGCTCTAGTTTGGAGATGGCGTTTCTCTCCAGATGCAACACGAACAGATTTGGCAAGAGAGACAGAGCTGCAGGAGAAACAGACAGAAATCATCCCACATTGGCCTAAACACACCAGAGCTTACCAGAACCAGTTACTGACCCGGTCCAGGGAAGTGTGTCAGCCGGTTCCCCTCAAGGTGAAGGTAGGTGAGCATTGGGACTCCTGCAAAAGCTCTCGGGTCTAAGGTTGTGAGGTCGTTGTCGGACAGATATAAATACAGCAGGCCTTTCATTCCCTGGAAGGCCCTGCCTTCCATTTCACGGACTTTGCAGAACTCCAGGTGAAGAGACACAACTTGTGCAGAGCCTGGGAAGCTGCTGGCAGGGATGAAGTGGAAGTGGTTGCCACGGAGATCAAGGAGTTGCGTTGAGGAGGGGAAGCCTCGTGGGATTTTGGTATGACCTCGGCTCTCACATGTGGCATGATGGGCTTCGGTCTGAGGGTCAAAGACAGGTTTTAATTTGACCTGACTATTCTATTCTATTCTATTCTATTCTATTCTATTCTATTCTATTCTTGGTTTTATCTGTCATATTGCTGCTGCTGACATATTCCATGGCTGCCTTCACTCACGCAGGTTTCTGACAGAATTTTACTTTAGTTACATTTAGTTTTTCCTGCCTACTGTCACAGAGTGCTTGATAAAATTCCGTTTCAGTGCCGGTGACGAACACATCTCCAGTACTTCTGATTCTTTAGCAGTTTTGGTCTCCAATGTTTTCTGAGAAACATTTGAATTTTATGGGTTAAAAGCAGAACTATCAAGGGCAAGAAAACCATCAAACACATAATATACAAAAATAAGCATCACAAAGAGACTCACATCACAATCACAGTTAGATGGACACCTGACTGTCTGTCTGGGCTTGGTTGTTGATGTGATGTTTCCTTTACTGTCCTCCTCCTCCAGAGCCTCCCCCCTGCCGCGGCAGCGTAGATCCAAGGAAGTCACCGCCTGCAGAGGCTCATCGGAGAGGTGAGGTGGTCCAGCACACGCTCCCATCAGCTTCACATGCCCAGCAGTCGCCCATTCCCTCAGGGGTCTCAGGTAGCAGTTACAGTAGATCGGGTTGCCTTTAAGACACATGATTTAATCATGAACATTTTTCACCTTGTTTACTTCTTGCATCTCAGTAGGAACACAACTGCACCAGTCAGGCTGAGGTTGGTTAACTCCTTTGGTCCTGAGAGGGGCTCCAGGTAGCGAAGCTGATTGTGACTCAGGTCAATGTGGGAGAGGAGGTGGGCGTGGGCAAACGCCTCATCTGACAGGTCCTGAAGGGCCATGTGGTGAAGGTGGAGGTGTGTGAGCTTCCCCATGGAGACAGATTCTTCTCCCAGGTAAATCATGGGGTTGTAGCTCATGTCCAGGTGAGTGACTTCAGGGAGTCTTAACAACAGATTAGGAAATAAGATGTCATTTTTAATACGTTTTATAGGATAGAAGTGAAGGAGGGGGTGAGGTGCTGCCATATATTCACGTTACTTGTCCATGCATACGTTAAAATATTTTTCACACCACATTAATATGAAAAAATGACTTAAAATATAGGCTAATTTATTTATGAATTATAAACCATGAATACATTTTTTATCCCATTGGATTGACCCGTGTTCCTCCTCCCAACACTGGTCCAGTATCACGGCATTGAGCCAAGATGCTCCAACTTTTTACATCTCTGCTTTAAACCAAAAACGTTCTAGTCTGATTAGCAGCTGAAACCATTTGACTCAGAAAGTGAATGTGAAATCTAGGAGGGCATGAAGTCCTGTGGAGAAGCCATTAAAGGTTGCATGAAGTAAGACTGACATCCTGTGGTCAGTTGTGGGTACTGCAGTCCATGTTTCAAAACAAACGAGTTTCTGAGACTCTGAACAGTTGTTGCCAGTTATTTACAGATCAGCACAAGATCTTTTTATTTATATCGATGACAATTAAAGACGAGTCACACAGCAAATTGACAAGTAAATAAATAAATTGTTACTGTAATATCCAGTTGTTGCTAAATGAAAAAAGTAACTTGAGATATTTTTTAGAGCCAATTCACTGTTCAGCATTGTTAGCTCATTGTTAACCTCTAGCCTTCTGCACCCAACATTAGAGGAAAACAAACGGATGTTATGGCTTCTTAGGGTACAAGAAATAACTTCTGGGTCGCTCCTGTTACTGGCTTCATTCTTCCACAGTGCTGCTGCTTTTTTGCAGTGTTTTCCCGCGCAGACTTGGCAACCCCATGGGCTCAATATTACTGGCTCTGGAACCAGGAAGTCTGGAGTTGAAACAGTTGTAAACAATGACTATGGCCCAATCCCAATACTTGCACTTCGCACTTCTGCGCCCTTTGATTGCACGATCCCGGCCAGGGGTGAGTGCGAAGGGTTTCTCAATACTCAAGTGTGAACATTGACCATAGAGCTCCGGGAGTTGACGTCACTTCTCCCGGCATGCAACAGTTCAAATCGAAACAGTACCATCTTGGCAGGCAGAAGCCCGCAGCTGGACTATTTGTTATTGTCAGAAAACTCAATCAGACGGGAAATATGGTAGATTCCTGTTGTGTCCTCAGATTCAGGAACAGACGCGGACGACATAAGGAATGAGCCATCTACAGGATTCCCCAAGATCCGCAACGCCGCAAACGTTGGATCATTGTAATAAAACGCACTAGTGACCGAGCTAAAATAAAGCTGTGGGATCCCGAGAGTAAAGGTTTTCGCTTATGCAGCGACAACTTCATATCAGGTACTTAAACCAACGTTTCCTCAACTGCATATGGTATTTATTTTAAATGCTTTTATTACGATTCTTAGTGGGCTTCCTAAACTTATTTTGGCGTGGCTTTTTCTGCCTTATTACTCACAGCAACAAGTAAACATTACGTAAAACGTTGCCTCGTGATTTCTGCATGCTGCCGTTTACGTGTTTTATGATCACAGCAATTAACCGGCTAAGCTGTATTTAATTTTTAAGCAATGGTTGATCAGTTGTCAGATCACACATAAAAAGCACTTTGGATTGCTATTATCTGTCTCACCGAGACAGATCTCAGACAGATCCTGAGACGATCCTGCCTGACATTTTTATTTTGTTCACGTAAAAAAATCAAACTAGTGATTTCTCTTGGCGTTCAGTTTATACATTCAAACAGCAGAGCACTCTATTTAAACTACTTACATGTAAATCTGTTATTTGTCCATCCATCCATCCATCCATTTTCATCCGCTTATCCAGAGTCGGGTTGCGGGGGCAGTAGCGTCGAGAGGCCCAGATTTCCCTCTCCCCAGCCACTTGGGCCAGCTCCTCCAGGGAAATCCCAAGGCGTTCCCTGGCCAGGTCCGCTCTGACAGCTTCTGGCATTTTTAAAAAGTATCCCAGGGGCACGGTAAGGGTCGGAGATGTTTAATCTATTTAATTTCTGACTATATAAAACGATTTATTCGGTTTTAAAGTGTGAAGTAAACTCCGACGAAGTAAAATCCAAGCCGATCCCGTTCATTTTGTTTACCTTTGTTGCCTGCCAACATGACGTCTACTCTCTGAGAGTCACGTGACGTCCGGAGCTCTATATCCCTTTCGTACCCTTGATCCACACTTCGCCCAAGTCTGCATCCATGCAGAATTTGGTGAAGGGTATTACCCACAATCCATTGTTGCATGGGAATTTGGAGAAGAAGGCAAAGGAATGGCTCAAGGGCCTTTTCTGAAAACATGTATTTTCAAATGAAAGTAATTAATTTTGAGATGATTAATGGTATTTATTCATGCTCTGAATGTTTTAGACTAAGATTCAATGTGGACAGCCATGGATTTAAAGTTAGAATATGGAACATTTTAATAAAAAGCTATATAAAAAAAAAGACCTCATTCTGCACACCTCCGGAGGCGTGCCGAATGAATGTACATTTTTTCCTTTTAAAGTTATATTTAGAAGGATAAATAATAACATTTTTATTCTGTCGGGAAGGACACCGTTTTCATGTCTACATCTACCAGCCACTAGAGGGCACCGTAGCGCTAAAACGTTCGCTCAGCAAGGCGAGGTTGGGACTGTGTAAAATCAAATCAAATCAAAGATACTTTATTAATCCCAGAGGGAAATTAGAGTTTCAGTACACACAATTCAGAGATCAGACATACATGGGCAAGACACATGACAAAAATTGGTGACTGTGGTCATTCGCAACCCTGAGTTGCGCTACCTTAATAGAGATAAGAGGGTTATATGAGGATTGGTTCAGGTGGAGGGAAAAAAAGGCACTTCAGAGTTACACTCCCACCAGGAGGGCAGCTTTGCTCTGCAAAAAAACACATCAGACAGATATGCAACAGACTTCAGGCAATACAACATAAGTGTCCACTAGGTGGGGTGGTGGGTTGGGACTATCCCCACTTCAGTTCCTGCAGCCACGATGAAGCAGCGCATGTCACCTCAGTGTGATAGGGGGATGAGCATTGAGGGTTGGAGGGTTGCAGTGACCCTGGAACATTTCAGCGACCTTCCCACAGTCCCGCCCAGGCTGGGAAAGGAGACAGAGTTGAGTTGCCATAGCGACGGCACATTCCACATATCTTCTGAGGGGGAAATTTTCGTTGGAGCCTTGCAGGCTCAAGGGCGCCAGATGTTTTGGGGCCAGACAGAGATAATTTCCTCTCTGTCTTACAGTTTGTTGGTCCTCAAACTCTCAGAATCCCAATAATGGACGTTAATCTATCCCAATCCGTGCTGATTCGTCCACTCTCTCCTTGATGGCATCCATCTTTTGTGCCAAAGAATGAATCTCCGCCAAAGTCCCAAGTTTATGATTCATCTCGACAATTATTTGACAGCGCGGTGCAAACCATCTCTGAGCTCCGGGATCAGGCCAATATTCCTCGACAGCTTGTTAATTTTCCAGTAAGCCAGGTAGCCTCCAAGGCCAATGAGCAGGAAACCTGACACCAACACCACAAATATCCACACGTCTTCAGAGTCCTCCACAGACAGCTGAGTTAAACAAATCAAGTTCCACTGTTTTCAGGAGTCCATGATGTGTCCAACTGGGACTGTCCCGGAGGGGCATCTGGGAGCCCTTTCTCCCGTTCTCGTCGTTGAAAAAATTTTATCAATCGCGTTGAGAGACCAACTGACGAGATCCATTTAAGTGAATTTCAGTTTCCAGAAAAATGGAAAAACAGCCGTGCACCCAGCACACACAGACAGACAAAGGTCTTGAGGATAAGATGAAATAAGCGTCTGCACTCTCCAAGAGCCGGAAGAAGTAAAATGGCAGACTTGACAAGTCAAGCAGCAGATTCTGAACCCAGAAGATGTTCTAACAGTAAATATTGTTGAAAAATGAACTTATTAGTTCATTATCCTGTCTGATTTGTCTCCGAACATGATGCTGAAACATGTCAGCAGTGAACCAACATTCCAGCAGCTGGAAAATTAGTCCTGTTGTTGCAAAACCACCTCTGAACACCAGAGTTTGCCAGATTGCCCGTGTTACTTTTTAAAAGGTGGAAAACTGACAACCCCCAGCCAGCTGGGAAGGAAATCAGTTTCACTGTAACCTTCCTTCCAACAACATTGAGACGGTAGACTGTTTTGTGATTGTTTCACTGTAGAATCTAGGGATGGACAGCATATCGGCATCAATATCGGCCGATGTTAGTCATTTTTTAACATATCGGTACAGGTTTGATAAATAAAACTGGGCAGATATTAACAACCGATTTTTTTTCCATCTTGTCTCCATTTGTTTGCCTGTTTCAGAGGGTGAGGGGGGTGAAGTGTAATTGTTTAGTCATGTGAACAGTGAATGAAATTCTCTCAGAACCGTAAATGTGAGTTGTGTGTACATAATGATGTAAATTCAGTTTGAATAATTATCATTCTGTTGATTTTAGAAGCATTAATGTCAGCATATCAGTATCGGCAAATATTGGTTATCGGCCATAACAGTGATCTTAATATTGGATATTGGTATCGGCCCAAAAATTTCATATCGGTGCATCACTAGTTGAATCTTTATTTATGGCACCTTTAAATAAAATGTTAAACAAGACATGTTGACATGGCCACAAAAGGGTTCCCCTCTGTGCCCTCCCCTAGTTCCGCCAGTGCTTACTTCCAGCATAATCAGGCTATTTATCCCATTTGTACTTTTTTTTATACATTGCAGTAGGTCAAAAGCTCCTAAACATGCTATAGCTACTGTTAATTATTCTCCCACCTGGTCATGGTTTGCGTGGGGAAGAACTGCAGCTCATTGTGATCCAGGCTGAGGCGCCTGAGAGAAAACAGTCCAGCGAAGGCTTCAGGAGCCAGGTTGTTCAGGGAGTTGTGGCTAAGGCGGAGCCGCTTGATGTTCTGCAGACCCTGGAGAAGTTATGACTGTTGTAGGATCACGTCCCTGATGGTGTTTTGTGTTTGGAGTTTTTTTTAACTACCTGGAAAGCCATGTTGGGGATGTAAACCAGCTGGTTGTGGGTGAGGGTGAGCATGTTGAGGAACCCCAGCTGAGCAAAGGCACCAGGCTGGATCTCCTCAATGCGATTATGGTCCAGGTGCAGCTCCTTTAAGGAGGAGAGGCCATCAAAGGACTCCTGCAAAAGTTTTTTTTTATCTCGTTATTCATCAAAACACATAAGTGCTTATTTTACTCACTCATCTCACCTGGTAAAGGACATCGATTTTATTGTTTGCCAGGTTTAGGGAGAGCAGGCGGCCAAGAGAGCGGAAGGCGCCCTCCTTGACCTTGATGATGTTGCAGAGCTGCAGGTTGAGGTGTGTGAGGTGGGGTGTGTGTATAAACGCTTCCTTTAGTATCATCTGTAAATTGTTGTTCCTCAGGTTGAGTTTAACTGTGATCTGAGAGATTAAACAGAGTGGATCAGATCCCGGAGGCACAAGTGACCAAGCTGGTACGACGCCCACAGTGGAGATTTCTTTAGGATGCTATAATGTGGCATTTACAGCTAAGCCACAGAAAATATAGTCACTTGTGAGCCAAATACAGATTTCAGAGTCAAAACAGATGTGAAACTCTTAAAAAAATACAATAAAGGGTCACAATTTAGCATTTTATATGCAGAAAAACAGTTTAAAGGGAAAACATCTTGTCAAAAGTTATCAGAGCTGATGCTTGAAAATGTTTGAAATACTCCGTTTAAAAGAAAAGCTAAAAGCTTTGAATTCCTCACCTCATCTATAGTTGGAGGAATTTCCGTCAGGTTTCTGCCAACACAAGCTACGGAGAGTTTGGCGTTGTCACAGCTGCACTCTTTGGGACATTTTCCCGCTTTAACGGGAGAACCCGACGTTAGAACCAGCAGGACGACAGCAGCAGAAATCCACTCCATCTGTTGAAATGTGTTTTATTCACTTCATTAGGAAGTTAGGTTTGGGTTCTGATGGTTTCTGCAAAAACTGCACATTTTGCACCAGCAGCCTTCTCTGAGTAACAGAATTTACAACTTTGCACCTTTAGACTTCAGCCAATCAGATTAAAGGTTTGAAAGCATCATTACAATCGTATAGAGACGAATGAAAGCCTTACCTTCAAGCAGAGGCTTGTGTGAAAGACTCGTAAAGCAGCCAGGTCTGGTGTCTACAGAGGGTTTTATTCCCGTGTCCTGAAAGACCAGGCTGGGCTAAATTCTTCTGGTGACCCCTGATCTCTGCGCTTCCTACAAATTAACACGTTGGCTTTACATTTTCAGGTTGGTCAAAGGCCAGAGAACAAGGAGCAAAAATACCTTATAATACAAGAGCAAACCAAAGAAAGAAAGAACAAATACAGGGTATCTGCAGGTTTAAGGGAGCCAAATTTAAGACTTTTTAAGACCTTTTTTAAGGCCACTTTGACCAAATTTAAGCTTATCTTGAAAAATTAAATTTAAGCTATAATTTCCAACTATTGCCTGGAACCGGTGCTAACCACGTCGTGAACGTGGGATTAGCCATCCAGTTACCATTAAACTTGCACTTCCCCATGACGCAAACTCCCACTAGCATGCTCATCTAAAATTAGCCCCCTTTCACAACCAACCAAACGTGTACGGTTCCGCTTACGCCAATATCGCACACAAAAAGTGCTGAACTAGAAATTCACGAAAATTTTATAGAAGTAAAAGAATCTTGTTTATAGGGTCTTTGGTAATTTAAGACCTTTGGAAACTATTTAAGGATTATTTGTCATTTAAAAATAAATAAACAAAAAAAAAGGATTTTTTGTCATTTGAGGATTTTTAAGGCCTTAAATTTGGAAAAGCAAATTTACGACTTTTTAAGGACCCACAGACACCCTGAAATGTGTTTCAGTTCCTTTAAGTGCAAGAAAATAAAAATCAGAAACGTCTTTTATCCTTTTTATTTTTGTGATTTCCATACATTCATGTCTGCTTTAAGTTTAAAAAAGCAAAAACATTTCAAAGTTTTATTTTTGCAAATAAATGTCAAAACACGCTACAACCTGTGTCGCAAAAGATACACTTCAGTTCATTTAATACATCTGGTTTTCATTTAGGACCACATTTTAGCCGTCAGGAAATATTTGATACAAAAAGAGAAAATATTAAAGTTAAATATGAAATGGTGAACAGAATAACTGATGAAACCAAACGCCTCTCCAGTCAGAGTTCTTACACACCAGAGTATAATCTGGGAATGGAGCGGTTTGGTGTCACCAGCTTCAGATTGTGTTGAAGGCGACGCCTCCTGATGCTTCAGCTTCAACATAAGAGCAAATATCAATTTCAACAAAACGCATTCATGTCCACGCCCTGTAAACAAACCTAAGACAGCAAAGCGGAGATGGTCTTCTTAGCACTGCTTCGTCCGACTCCTGATGAATTTGGGTTCATTTGTGCTGCTTTTCAAAAAGGTCCAAAAGGGGTTAAAGTTCAGCGCGAGCGAGCTCAGGCCTCAGCTCTGAGGTCGCACTCTCTGCAGGGTGGACTGGAGGTTGTTCCAGGCATTTCCACACGACTCCAGAGCTTTGTTACCCCTGTGAATAACAGTAAGGTTGTTTTTAGAGAACCAACAAATGGCAAAAGCAAATCAACAGCGAGCCGACCCTAGAGACGATGAACCATCCTGATCAGAAAAGGTCCATTAGCTGATGAATCACACCAAACATCACAACTGCTCTATCCTCAGTAGGGGTGAAGTGAGCTGGTGTCCAATTCCAGCAGTCATCAGGCAAGAGAAAACCTGGACAGGTCTCCACAAAACTAGTCTCTCACTTACTTACTTACTCTCGCTCGCACGCACATGCACGCGCGCGCACACGCACACACACACACACCAACTTGGGAGTCTCCAATCAACCTGACACGCATGTTCCCGGTTTGTGGGGAGAAAATGGGAAAAACCCATGCATGCATGCATGAGAACACGTTAACTCAGTGCAGAAAGGCAGCACAGGTGGGATTTGAACCTGCAACCTTCATGTTACGAGGCAACAGAGCTACCAACTGGGTCATCGTGCATTCCATAACACCAAACAAGTATCAGGAAAACAAAAGTACCTGAAAATAACTTCTGAGTGTATCCAGTACCTCACAGGGCTTCATTCAGACGATTGGTGATGTAGACGTAATGCAGCCAGGACATGTTTATAAAACTGGATTCATGTTCCAGAGTGACTGAAACTGCTAACAAGTTTATTTCTGTAAAGGTTCGTGTCTCCAGCAGTCTCAGTGTAGTCTGGAGAACTAGACCAAATTCTTGCTTTGAAAAGTTTGGTCTAGGAACCTCTACAGCCCCTAGCAGTGTTCTGGCTGGCCAATCACAGCGCTCTAGATTTCAAACGCTTCTAGGTTTCAAACACAGAGCTGTGATTGGTCCATAATGGTGGGCCAATTTGTGAACCAATCACAGCGTTTTATCCGCTTTGTGGGCCCATCAGGGCCCTCTATTCGTCTGGAGGGTGGGATGATGCAACAGAGTGTAACAAGATGGCAACAGCTGGTTTAAAATTGCTTTTACATCAAATTTGGACTATTTGGACCTGGGCTTTACTAGAATCAGGAGCAGAAAGATGTCTTTAGGTTCTTTTTTAGAAAAAAGGATGTATTTTTGCCTTCTTCAACAGCGGACTGCCTTGTTAACCAACATCCGTTGCGGTGAGTACGTCACGTTGTTCACTGTCCACTAGCATGCAGAGATCGTTTGAAAGACAACGGTAGAACCCGCCCCACCACCGAGGGCCGTCAATGGAGCGTTGCCAGGCTAGTCTCCGTGAGCTTATAAACTACACTTACCCTGGGGTTTCACACTGGAAGCATCAGCAGCGCGAAACTGCAGCCCAACGGTTTACTCGCAAACTGCAAAGCGGTTCTTTTCACAGGAAAAGTCGTGGCCACGGCACGGCTTCTTCGCTGGACTCACGAGATCACAAAATCCCTCGAGACTTCAAAGGTTACGGTTTGTTTATGCAACCAAACCAAAATGAAGGAAATCATGTTTGATGTCGTACGATGCGGTTCCTTTCCACCGCCAGGATTAAAGCCATGAAATACACACCACTGCACTTCTGGAACGATACCGGGACTAAATGAGCTGTTGGGTCACACGCAAGCTACATATATGAAATTGCATAGCTGCAGTACTTTTATTTTGAAAATTACCGGGGATTTTACACTGAAACAACTGCAGAAATAGACGTGTCCCAGAAGCGACTTGCGGCAGAAACAGAACCTGATCCTAACTTTAGTGGTGCTTCTGGGACGAACCTGAAAACAGCCGAGTCACGGCCGGTCTGAAACACTCCATGGACTATAATGGATTCTATTTGAAGCAGCGACGTTCCGCGCCGCTGATGCTTGGAGTATGAAACCGGGGTGGTTTCACACTCCAAGCATCAGCGGAACGGAAGCGAAGCGGCACTGCTTCAAATAGAATCCATTATAGTCCATGGAGTGTTTCAGACCAGCTGCAACGCGGAAATTTCCAGGCGGTCCCAAAAGCGGCATGTCGCGCCGCTAAAAGATAGGATCGAGTTCTATTTTTTCCGCGAGCCGATTCTGGGACACGTCTATTTCCGCAGTTCCCATAGTGCAAGACAGGAAACTACACAGTTTCAGTGTAAAATCCCCGGTTATTTTCAAAATAAAATGCATCGTTGCGATGTTATAACTTACGTCAGCACGTGTGACCGAACGGCTTTGTTTACCATCAGTTTCTTTCGAGAAGTGCAACGGTGTGATTCCTCGTGGGGGTTGCGATCTCTCGATGAGGAAGGTGTCGGAAGTCTCGAGGGATTTTAGAATCTCGCGAGTACAGCGAGGCGCAGCGAGGAAGCCGTGCCGCGGCCAAGACTCTCCCGGTGTGAAAAGGACCTCTTTGAAGTTCGCGAGTGAGCCGCTCCGCTGCTGTTCTGTTGATGCTTGCGGTGTGAAACCAGCTTTAGTCTCCAAGCATCCATTCTCACGTGTCTGCTTGATCGGGGTCAACGCTCTGCATAATCATCACATTTGGCTCTGTGTTTTTTTTTTATTTATTTGGGAACAGTCGTTTGTGTTTAAGCGAGCCTTTTCGCCTGGGCTGCTGACTGAGATTTGTTTATCCTGCTTGTGCGGAGAGAGACGTGTCGCACCCACCTAGGGTTGGGCATCGAGCATCAACTGGAACCGGTTCCAGCATTTAAGTTTTTCCCCGAATCGTTCAAAGTTTTTTATTTCGATTCCTGGAATGCCGACCAGAAGAGGAATCTGCGGCCGATCTCCGTGAAAAATAAACCTGATCTGTAAATTGTGATCAAGGCTTTTCAGAGCTGATCACACCAGCTGTCTGTGTGCAGCACGAGTCCCCCCTCCCCCCACCCAGATGTAAACAAACGCGTCTGTCGAACTTTTACTCCGTAAACTTTAACTACTGCAGCTTAGAGGAAACGTGTTAAATATGTCAACACTGCGGATTTAATGGAAGCTTTAAAGAACGAACGTGTGAGGCGAGTTTGTCTCACTGCAGAAATAAAAACACACACGGAGCTTCAGCAGTCAGACGCAGCCGCTCACCAACACTCGTGTGTGTGTGTGTGTGTCAGCAGGCTGAACAATAACCTGTAGAATAATTAAAGTCATCATGCTAGAGCAGCTTCTCTGTGGTGGACCACACCAGCTTCTGCCACAATAAATAATAATGATAATAATAATAAATCACATTTTATTTCCTTTCTGAACTATTTCTGTTGAGTTTTAATGTTTAAAACCTGTTAGATTGTTACTGACAGCAGCTACGTTTAAGTTTCTGTTCTGACTGAACGCTGCTGCAGCATGGAGGTGTAGTTCTCAGTCATCCTGGACATGATCATCCTGAGAGTTTTAGCTGAAAACAGCTGGACGTTTCTGGATATGTTGGAGACATTTAGCCTCTCATCCCAGAGGCTGCTTCCAGACTTTGGTTGTGGTCAGAAACAAACACACTGGTTGTGCTGCAAGTCTTTTTCTTTTTTTCTCTTGTTCTCCAAAACATGTTTCGGTCTAAATGAAGGTGATGTTATTGTTCATAGAATTAAAATTCATGTTGAAGTTAAAATTATTTCATCAAGTAGGACCTGTGGTTAGCTAGCTCATGTAAAGCACGTCACGTCTTGAAAGAAACGGAATCGGGAATCGATAGGAACCGGAATCGAAACGAGGAATCGGAATCAGAATCTGAATCGTTCAAAATCAAACGATGCCCAAGCCTACACCCACCCTAATAGTGATCACCAGGTGAGTGTCCACCATCACCACAGATGAGAAAGTAATTGTTCTGTACCTGGAAGCTGCCAGCTGATTTGCTCATTTCACCACATCCTTACCGAGACATGAAAGCCCTCAGGACCGCCACACTCTCTTTGGGAAAGTAGTCCTGTCGAACAACATGTTCCAAGGCGTGGAGGTGACCCGAGACCACCAGCACAGGCTTGACTTTGTCCTCACTCTGACACACACAGAGGACAACACAGAATGACAGACGAGGGGCATGAAGACATTTTGAGTATGGAGGAAGAGAGGAGAGCAAAAGAAAAGCCGTCGTTTGAAGGGGTCTAAGCAGGTTACCTTGATGAGTCCGAGCAGCACCAACAGAGATGATATGAAACAGTAGCCTTGAAACGATGGAGTGGTGAATGCTTTATTCAGAAGGCCATCTGTGAGAAAAAAAAAGCATCTTTTTAACAACACATTGAATAAACTCTGGAATCAAACCCTTTATAAGTATAGCGCAGGACACAAGTCTTTATTTCAATCCTGGGCTTTCTGTCTGAAACTGTAAATCAGCAGGATTCGACCTTGTAGAGCTCGGCGTATGACCGAATCATTTTAGTTTAACCCTTTTCTGCACAAACTATGAAATCTTCAACCAGGATTTTTTAAACATTTATTTTCATTACCATATTTTTCGGAGTATAAGTCGCACCAGCCATGAAATGTATAATGAAGAAGAAAAAAAACATATAAGTCGCATTTTTGGGGGAAATTTTATTATTTTTATTACAAAATCTGAGACCAAGCGTTTCACATTGCAAGACAAGTACCGGTAACAATAACAGAATAAACAACCAGGGTGCAGCAGCGCACCACGGTCTCCAGCAGAGGATGGCGGTGTTTCAAACCCTCCCAGCGGGGCAGAGGAGCTGAAACCTGGTACGGAGCCGGCCCGCAGCAGCGCGCAACGGTCTCCGGCAGGTGATGGCGGTGCAGGGGAGCTCATTCCTGGTACGGAGCTGGCCCGCAGCAGCGCGGTATACATAATTTGGTATACAAGTCACTTTGGTATACAAGTCGCAGGACCTGCCAGACTAAGAAAAAATGCGACTTATAGTCCGGAAAATACGGTAATCTTTAGGTATGAATGAAGCAAATTTAGACTAAAACATTTAATTTGCAAATAATTCATTACTTGTCCGCCTCAGTAGACGGCATACGTTCTGAACATGAAATGTGTTGGCTTGACTCACTAGAGTCCAATGGGAAATGCAACAACAGCTGTACATAATAGCAAAAACATAAAAATAAATTGAGTAGCTGTCCACTGTAACGACCATTATGCATGAAAGGGTTAATATCTGTAAAAGTAACTCAGTTAACCATTTCATGTGTTTTCTAAAGTATTAACTGTAGCAGCCATCTTTAATTGTGTACAATAATTACTTTCTAAAAGTTTCATTTAAATCCATCCAATGGTTTGTTTATTTAACCAACTTTCCCAAGAAAAACATCTCCTGCTTTTTGTGCGTTCAGCAGCAGGAGACTGTAAAACCCGACTGGGTTCAGTCATTAGAAAGTTCCGCTCACAGTAAAAAAAGATCACAGGAGACTAGGACTGCAACGATTCGTCGACGTTGTCGACAAATATCGACAATAGAAATAGTCGACGATAAACTTCATTGTCGACGCTGTCGCCAGACGGGTATTTTCCTGCCGAGTGAGGCATCTCACTTCATTACAATCTCTGCCGTGAGTCGCACATGCACATTAGCTTCTCTGCTGAGCGCCAAAAAACAGAAATGCCGGTGTCAGTACAGGATCTGCTCGGGGTCCATCGACTGCAGATGACATCAAAGTACGGCAAACCCACTCGGACAAAATACACTACACATCTTTATACTGTTGGAAAGAATTTAGCAGTTTCGTTATTAAAATAATGTTTCTTACGACGTAAGTTTGTGTTTATAATGGTATTTGTAAAATAAAACACTATATTGTATTCATAATGTTGAACTCCTCTTTGAGTACATCCCTTGAAGGATCATAGGTATTAGCAACACCTGTGAAATTGTATTTGCAGGAAAGAAGTGTGTCCCGTTTATTGAAGTATTTTGTGTTTAGAGTTTTTGACGTCTTGTCCATGCGTAGTTCAGTTACGCTCATCGCTGCTAGCCAAAACTCTGGGGTTAAAAGTTTTCTGGCTTTACTAAAATACCTGTCTGTACTTATTTGATTGATGGTAATTTTAATTTCTATCAGACTCCAAATGTAATCATTTGGCACGTTTCTAATTCATAATTTGTAAGAATGTAATCGGTGATATTAGCATTAGCATTCCTATGGGTTTTTCCATGTATATTAGCATTGCGCTAACCACTCGCTGCCAAATTGCAGCCTTTGAAATTAGAAAATCTCCTTTTGTCACATCGCAATTTAATTGCACATGCAATTAATCGTTCAGCCCTAATATACATGCAGCTCTATGCTAAAAGTGTATTTTCAAAGAGGTAATGATGGATTTCTTTGTAAAAGTTGTCCATCTTTCCTACAGAAAAATTTGCCTGGACCAACGTAACGTGATTACGTAACTTCCATAAGGTTCATGTTCAGCCAATCAACTACTTTGACGTCATCAGCAGTCAAAGGACCCCGAGCCAATCTTGCACCCGAGCAGATCCTGTACCGACAGCGGCGTCCAACACCGCAGCAACGCGTACCAAAGCATCTAAAGTTTGGGAGCATTCTAGCCTGGATTCGGCGAATAAAAAGATGACCTGCATTATTTGCAAAGCAGTCCTCGCGTATCACGGCAGCACCTCAGGGATGCATGAACACTTAACAAGAAAGCACGTCGGACAGCTGAATGAAACAGTCTGACTCACCTCGGTAAGATTTAAATAACACGAAAGTCAACACGCTTTGTTTTGGATGTACGTCGTACATATGTTTAAAATGTATTTTTGCTTTTAAAAAAGAGATTTAATGTTATTCCCGACTGTGCCTGACAAAAGTATTTTAATTTTATTAATGCCTTTATGTGTGTATTGACTGGGCACTGTGCCTAATTGGTGTTAGACAGGACATTTTTATTTACTTTAGTATGAATTAGCCTATCAGCAGCAAAGTTCAATAAAATATGCATTTGCATATGTCGCAAAATATGCGATCTGAGTCGACTGGGTCTGCATTTGGTTAAAGGGACTTTACGGAGTTTTGAATTTTTATGCGAGCGATTGCCCCCTCAGGCTAAAAGCGTAACGGCAACTTCAATAGTAGGCTCGTGCACGAGGCGCACATGCTGTACGTGCACACTCCTTAACGAAAATAACAGCTGAGACAGTCCTGTGTGTGTGTGTGTGTGTGTGTGGGGCCCGGAGGACAGAGGACAGGAGAACGCGCAGCTAATTAATTAAATAATTTGGTTCTGTAGCTTTCTCTTCAGCACAGCCGACAAAGGTTTAAGATGGGTCAGTCCTCCTGCATGCTCAGATCATTCCCTTCCCTTGCTTGAAAAATTGTTCCAAAATGAAAGTTGAACCCACATCTTTTTTATCTGTGAATTCAAAGCCGTTCGGCGAGTCTCGAATAAAAATTTGGGTATCTTACTGTAAAAAAATAAACCATTAATGTAAAAAATTAACTCTAAATAAACTATGTCCACATCCGGAATCAAACCTAGGTCTTCCGCACGCGAGTCCGACGTCTTACTAGGTCTTTTGTATCTGTAGTATTTATATCCTTGATGACAGATAAAACAACGTTCAAAGAACGGTTCGGAGCGAAAATGGCTATTTTGTTGCTAATTTGCAGGAAATATCAAGAAGAAAGTAGCTAAGGGTCCTCAGAAATGTAGCTAGGTTCATCACTAGGCGTTAGGAACAGCGACAAAGTGGCACTGCCTCACTCTCTGCTGCTAAAGCTACGGATAGCAAATGCTACGGGCTATGCCTGAGCGTGAACGCGCATGAAGCAGCCTGCTCGACCTGAGCATCTCTCTTTTTCTGTGATTTTACAGAAAAAACAGGCAATCACAGTAAAAATACCAGGGCTCATTCTACAGGACCAGGGCATTGCAGGAGAATGTATGAAGAAGACATTTATTATTTCTATACATGTTTTGGCTGTCAAACTTCCATATAGTCCCTTTAATTATTAAAACGTAATTAAAAAAAGAGCAAACGCGTGAGCAGACAATCCGATCAACACCCAGATCAACAGCTAGGAGTCTTACCGATGGTGTCTAATACAGCGTTCTTCACAATACTGTTCTCATCCTTGTACACAGACGCAATCTTGAGGAAAGCTTCAGCTGTTTTGGTTGGATCTGCTACATCCACCTCAGAACAGAAGAAAAATACACACTTCATCATCTGAAAGAGTGAGCTCAGTAACCTTAGAAACACTTCTGATTGAGAAGCTCAAACATTTCAGTGGAATGAACGGAAGCTGGTGTCCGTTTACCTGCTGCTGGATCAGCAGGGCTCTCGCAGCGCCCAGCTTCAGCAGCTTGTCAGGAGACGGAAAGCTGAGGAACGAAGAGACATCTGGTGGTCGGGGTGCCGATGTAGGAGTGGACAGCTGTGGGAGGGAAATAAAAAACAAAAAGATGCATCCTGGTGAGACTTGTTTTCAGAGCGATGAAGCTAAACAGGATGTGAATAAACCTATCCTGATTATTGTAAACAACTTTACCTTGTTGCTGCTGCCGTTTTCCTCTTCTTCATCATCATCTTCTTCCTCCTCCTCCTCTTCCACTTCCTCCTCATCCACATCTTCTTCCTCGTCCTCCTCATCTTCTTCATCGTTGTCATCCTCATCTTCATCAACTGACTCACCCTCGTCATCACTGCAAAACATTCAAAAACATCACTGAGGAAACGTCTCCAGACATGCGGTTGGGTATCGTTTAAACCACAAACTTCACTGAGACTTCCAGATCCAGGTGCTCGTTAGATGCAACGACATTAAAAACAAGCGCACTACCAGACCAGTGGCTTCACTAAAGCAACCCGAGAGACTCATTTAACTCATCCACTGCCAATGACGAGTAAATTAGTCATTGCATGTTTTTACTGCGTGGGCGTCGGAACGAGCCCCCGCTCCGTGAGTAGGGTTGTCACGGTAACCGGCGTAGTGGTAAATCCCGGTAAAAAAGTTGACAATAATAATAAGTCTTGTTTTTTAAAACCTATATTATCTCGGTGGATTACCGTGGCTGCGGTGTAGGCGCGGTGACCCTTACCAGCCACCGTATCATCTGCTGAAGTTGCCGGCGGCACATGCGCACTTTGTTGTTTACAACCAAAACTTTCTTGAAGCTAAAGCTGAAATAATGGCCAAAGGAGGAGACGGCAGCGCTCAGGACATTTATTATCCCTCAAAGAAGACAAAGTGGGAAGTACGGGCATCTTTTGGATATTTGAAGAATGCCGAGGGACGGTTGATAGAAGATGGCTATCCTGTTTGCAGCACGTGCAGAAAAAGTGTCTGTGAAAGGCAGCAACGCTTCAAATCTCATGACACATCTACGTGACCATCACCCACAACTCTACAGTCAACACAAGGCAAGCTAATGTTAGCGTTTTAGCTAAACTGCGTGATCCGAGGATTTGGGTTGAGGGAGAATGCAACGAGTGGCTATATAAAGCCGCCGCAGCGCCGCTGCCTGCATATAAACCGTGTCGCGGACACACCCATGCTGAAATGACGCTATGCATTACGGGGCTCCCAGGGGCAGATAAGAGTTGGGCTCTCTCCGAGAATAATTATGAATTTAACAATGATTACTGCCTGATGACATTTGCCCACATCTGCAAAGCTCACTGGAAGGACACAAACCGAGGACGATATTTTCCTGATATAGGGTTTATTACTCAAGTAAGGGTAAAAAAGTATCTGATTAGAAGGCTACTTGAGTACTGAATATCATGTGATCTAATATTTTTAAAATGATGACATCAAACAGACAAAAAATAAGAAGTTATGGGCAAATATTGGTATTCTGAAGACTAAAGGGGAAATATGTAAACAAATAAACAACATAATTACAAAATAACAAATTTTAGGCAAAATTTTGACACAAACTGAGGACAATATTTTCCTGATATACAGGGTTTATTTAGTTTCCTGAAAATGTAGCACGTTTAATAAAAAAAATACCGCGATAATACCGAAAACCGTGATAATTTTGGTCACAATAACCGTGAGGTTAAATTTTCACACCGTGACAACCCTAACCGAGAGAACAAACATCTCAGCTCTGAAGCTAATCTTCATCCGCACACGTCACGTGATCAGGAAGCAGAACATCCATGTGTTAGGAGATTGTTTTGGGCCGCTGCTGTAAAAAATAAAATAAAATAAGTGAGGCGCGAACCGGAAAAGCTTCTGCTGATCACAATTCGACAACGGATTATGAAAGAACGGATAACGCTCAAAACGCGCGGATTCTTCCTGATGTAAGAGGTGAGTCTCCTCTTTGTTTTGGTTGTTTTGGCATCGACATCATGCTAGCGCGCAAAGTTCTGTGGCTCTAAAAAAACAAACAGTAAAAACAGTGAGAAACGCTGGCAGCGAATGAGTTAATATTTTCTGTGCTTCTCCAACTCCTAGCCCAACACACATTGGGATGAAGCTTTAGGTGAATCTAATCAAGAAAAAAAATACAATATGAACTTAATTATTACAGCACATGGATCTTAATGTGATTACCTGAGTGGAGCAAGGCGCTCACTCATGTTCATCTCTGACATGGTGTCTTTCAAAGCCTTGCAGCCATCCTCTCCAAAACAGTTCCCTACAAATCAAATTATAACAACGATCAAATACATCCAGAATCTACTTAATGATTATGATTGAGTTTGTAAGAGACGCTGAAATATTCTGAAATCTAAAGATAAGAACACATGAAGGGCAGAGCGTCAGTACCATTCAGGTCCAGTTTCTCCAGCTGGTCTTTGTTCTTCAGAGCCTGGACAACAGCCAGAGCTGCGTCTGCTGTAATCTCACCGTACGACAGGTTCAGTTCCTGTAAACAAACAAAAACATTCACTAAGATCAAAAGGAAATCAACAATAACTTTTTAGGAAAATATTACTTTAGCATATTTTGATCTGGTATACTAGGTCTCACTCACACCGTTATTTACTGACGGCAACAACACAGAAATGTAACCGATTGTGTACCGTATTTTCTCAAGTTTAAGTCGCACCAGCCATAAAATGTATAATGAAGAAGAAAAAAACATGTATAAGTCGCATTTTAGGGGGAAATTTTATTATTTTTCTTACAAAATCGGAGACCAAGCGTTTCACATTGCAAGACAAGTAGCGGTAACAATAACAGAATAAATAACGGGGGCGCAGCAGCGCGCCACGGTCTCCAGCAGGTGATGGCGGTGTTTGAAACCCTCCCAGCGGGGCAGGGGGGCTCATTCCTGGTCCGGAGCCGGCCCGCAGCAGCGCGGTTTACATAATTTAGTAGATAAGTAGCAGGACCAGCACCAGCCAGACTATGAAAAAAAGTGCGACTTATAGTCTGGAAAATACGGTACGTTTAAATCTGGAGGGAAAAGGTAACGCTTGTTCACCTTGAGGACCGGCAGCCCCTCAGACACGGTTTCTGCGATAGCTTTAGCTCCTTCTGGTCGCACCAGACAGTCGCCAAAGTTGATCACCTGGATGCTGCGGAGGTGTTTCAGTGCCTGTCAGAAAACAATAAAAGCATACAGGTGCTGGCCAGTAAATTAGAATATCATCAAAAGGTTGAAAATATTTCAGTAATTCCATTCAAAACGTGAAACTTGTACATTATATTCATGCAATGCACACAGACCAATGTATTTCCAATGTTCATTACATTTAAATTTGATATTTATAGGTGACAACCAATGAAAACATCAAATCTGGTATCTCAGAAAATTAGAATATTCTAAAGGCCAATGAAAAAATGTTTGTTTCTCTAATGTTGGCCAACTGAAAAGAATGAACATGAAAAGAATGTGCATGTATAGCACTCAATACTTAGTCGGGGCTCCTTTTGCCTCAATAACTGCAGTAATGCGGCGTGGCATGGACTCGATCAGTCTGTGGCACTGCTCAGGTGTTATGAGAGCCCAGGTTGCTCTGATAGTCGTCTTCAGCTCCTCTGCATTGTTGGGTCTAGCGTATTGCATCCTCCGCTTCACAATACCCCATAGATTTTCTATGGGGTTAAGGTCAGGCGAGTTTGCTGGCCAATCAAGGACAGGGATACCATGGTCCTTGAACCAGGTGCTGGTGGTTTTGGCACTGTGTGCAGGTGCCAAGTCCTGTTGAAAGGTGAAGTCTGCATCCCCATAAAGTTGGTCAGCAGCAGGAAGCATGAAGTGCTCTAAAACTTCCTGGTAGACGGCTGCATTGACCCTGGACCTCAGGAAACAGAGTGGGCCAACACCGGCAGATGACATGGCACCCCACACCATCACTGACGGTGGAAACTTTACACTGGACCTCATGCAACGTGGATTCTGTGCTTCTCCGCTCTTCCTCCAGACTCTGGGTCCTTGATTTCCAAAGGAAATGCAGAACTTGCTTTCATCAGAAAACATAACTTTGGACCACTCAGCATCAGTCCAGTCCTTTTTGTCCTTGGCCCAGGCGAGACGCTTCTTGCGCTGTTTCTTGTTCAAGAGTGGCTTGACACACGGAATGCGACACCTGAATCCCATGTCTTTCATGAGTCTCCTCGTGGTGGTTCTTGAAGCGCTGACTCCAGCTGCAGTCCACTCTTTGTGGATCTCCCCCACATTTTTGAATGGGTTTGTCGTCACAATTCTCTGCAGGGTGCGGTTATCCCTAGAGCTTGTACACTTTTTTCTACCACATTTTTTCCGTCCCTTCGCCTGTCTGTTAATGTGCTTGGACACAGAGCTCTGCGAACAGCCAGCTTCTTTAGCAATCACCTTTTGTGTCTTGCCCTCCTTGTGCAAGGTGTCAATGATTGTCTTTTGGACAGCTGTTAAGTCAGAAGTCTTCCCCATGATTGTGGTGCCTTCAAAACAAGACTGAGGGACCTTTTAAAGGCCTTTGCAGGTGTTTTGAGTAAATCAGCTGATTAGAGTGGCAGCAGGTGTCTTCTATATTCAGCCTTTTCAGAATATTCTAATTTTTTGAGATACCAAATTTGGAGTTTTCATTAGTTGTCACTTATGAATATCAAATTTAAATGTAATGAACATTGGAAATACATTGGTCTGTGTGCATTGCATGAATATAATGTACAAGTTTCACGTTTTGAATGGAATTACTGAAATATTTTCAACCTTTTGATGATATTCTAATTTACTGGCCAGCACCTGTACAACTTTATATAAAATCTCACTTAAAAAAAAACACCATGAACTTATTTGCTCTGAGATGCACAAAACAACCACAACTACAGAAGTCCTGTTGGAGGACATGGAGCCTACCTTAGCCATGGCGATAGCCCCTCTCTCAGTAAAAGTGTTATCATTGAGGTTTAGGATTCGCAGGGCCAGGTTGTGCTGCATGGCCGAGGCCAGGGCTGTCACTCCTGGGTGATTGATGCCATTCTGGGGCATGTGAACTTCCTCCAAGCTGCCCATTATCTGGGAGAAAACACAGTGGTGCATTTACTTACCCAGCAACTTAATGGCAATTCTAGAATAAAGCTTTGGGACAAGATGAGCCACATAAATACAGTTAAAAAAACAAACTGTTATGTTACACTAATTTGTGAGATCTTCACCAGCTCGTTTCCTATGATGATAATCTGTTGAGAAATGGTTCAGAGCAGCAGAGCGTTTTGTACCTGAAAGGCTTGAGCAAGCGCAGTGGCTCCATCATTTTCCAGACGGTTCCTGCCTGCAACAAACACCTTCAGGCTCAGGGGGGCGCCATCTGCAGTGGATTTTTGATGACACTGCATCAATGAAGCAGCCAAGATCTGAGGAAAACATAGTAGGGGACAAAATAATACTCCGTGTGTCCTAAGGAACATTTACACACCCGTGGATCTAGCCTACTGATTCACCTTGCCACCTCCGATGCCCATGCCACAGTTATTGAGTCGTAGTTCCTGCAACGTGTAGCAGGCGGAGCTCTTTAGCAGTTTTTCTATACCCTTCACACCATCTGGTCCAAAAGCGTTGTCACTGAGGTCTAAAACAGTCAGCCTGGCACCCGCGAGCATCAGCGCATCACCCAGTGAATTCTAACATAAAAAAAATTAATCTGTTATAGGATGATCAAAGCCAAACACACCAGCTAGGAGACATCCATGTGGTGAACTATTACCAGGGCAGGAGGGATTTCAGAGCGCAGCCGACCAGTGAACATGTCACTCCAATAACAGCGCTGAAAGGAAATAGAGATGTGTCAGAACACAAGGCAGGCTCCGTCCTAGGGTTGTCACGGTAACCGGCATAGTGGTAAACCCCGGTAAAAAAGTTGACAATAATAATAACCACCTTGTTTTTAAAAAACTATATTATCTCGGTGGGTTTACCGTGGCTGTGGTGTAGGCGCGGTGACCCTTACCAGCCACCGTATCATCTGCTGAAGTTGCCGGCGGCACATGCGCACTTTGTTGTTTACAACCAAAACTTTCTTGAAGCTAAAGCTGAAATAATGGCCAAAGGAGGAGACGGCAGCACTCAGGACATTTATTATCCCTCAAAGAAGACAAAGTGGGAAGTACGGGCATTTTTTGGATATCTGAAGAATGCCGAGGGACAGCTGAAAGAAGACGGCTATCCTGTTTGCAGCACGTGCAGAAAAGGTGTCTGTGAAAGGCAGCAACGCTTCAAATCTCATGACACATCTGCGTGACCATCACCCACAACTCTACAGTCAACGCAAGGCAAGTTAGCGTTTTAGCTAAAATGCGTGATCCGAGGATTTGGGTTGAGGGAGAATGCAACGAGTCGCTATATAAAGCAGCCGCAGCGCCGCTACCTGCATATAAACCGTGTCGCGGACACCCCCATGTTGAAATGACGCTATGCATTACGGGGCTCCCAGGGACAGATAAGAGTTGGTCTCTCTCCGAGAATAATTATGAATTTAACAACGATTACTGCCTGATGACATTTTCCCACATCTGCAAAGCTCACTGGAAGGACACAAACCGAGGACAATATTTTCCTGATATAGGGTTTATTACTCAAGTAAGGGTAAAAAGTACCTGATTAGAAGGCTACTGGAGTACTGAGTATCATCTGGTCTAATATTTTTTAAATGATGACATCAAACAGACAAAAAATAAGAAGTTATGGGCAAATGTTGGTATTTTAAAGACTAAAGGGAAAAAATGTAAACAAATAAACAACATAATTACAAAATAACACATTTTAGGCAAAATTCAGACACAAACGGAGGACAATATTTTCCTGATATACAGGGTTTATTTAGTTGTCTGAAAATGTAACACGTTTATTATCAAATACTGTGATAATACCGAAAACCGTGATAATTATGGTCACAATACCCGTGAGGTTAAATTTTCACACCGTGACAACCCTATCCTACTGAAAAAAATGCTTCACTGTACGTGACCCCAGAGCATCAAAAACTATTTGGTCCAGAAGAACGATTGGTGTTTGAAACGGCAGTAGTGTATGACTCAAGTAAAAGTTTATGATGAACAAACAGAAAAAAAAGTCTAAACCTTGAAGTCACTCTTCGTCTCCAGAGCCTTGGCAATGGCTTGTGCTGCCACCACACCCAACGTGTTTCCCTCCAGTCTGAGAGCCTGTAATCCCTCAAAGTCCTGGATCTCCTTCACCATGTCCTCCACTGCACGGAGAAAGTCGTTTCATTCCAAAGTTCCACAGATTTAAACATTTCTGACTTTTGCACTCTCACGGGGAACAACAGATCATTTACACTCACCTGACTGGGCATCATCCAGCTTTCTTCCCTGACCTTTGTAACTCAGCTCTCCATCCTCCACTCCAGCCTTGGCTAGCGAGTCAGCCAACTCTGCAACAATGTCTGTCGCCATCGGGGTGCCTGAAGCCAAAACTCAGTAGTCGGTCTTTGTTTTATTTCCAAATAAACACAGGTGGATATGCATCATCAGGAAATAATAGCTCAAGGATTCACCCTGCAATCGGTGGGTTGCTGGTTCAAACCCAAACTTAATCCCTGTCTGTTGTGCCTTTGGGAAAGACACTACTGTCCTTACCTGATGGTAGTGGTCAGAGGAATCTATGGCGCCGTTAGTGTGGCAGCCTTACCTGTTTGTGTGTCCCAGGGCAGCTGTGGCTACAAAGTGGCTTATCACAACCAGTGTGTGAGTGTGTGTGGTAGGGATAGACCAATCTGCTGGCTATTTGCCATTTTTTTACCTCTTTAATTCAATTCAATTTTATTTATATAGCGTCAAATCACGACAAGTCATCTCAAGGCACTTCACATAATAAACATTCCAATTCAGGTCAGTTCATTAAGCCAATCAGAATGTTTTTTTTTTCCTATACAAGGAACCTAGCAAATTGCATCAAGTCACTGACTAGATTTAGTATTGCTGATCTGAGTCAGGCACATTCATGGGCAGCAAGATGCTAATGCCGATTTTTATCTAAACATTTTTACGTTCCTGAAAAAACCCTGCTTATAAATGCTTTAAAACATTACTTTAAATTGAGATTCATTTATCTATTTTACATTTAATACTTTGTTGGTTGGTAGATTAGTTTGACTTTTAGGTTCCAAATGTGGCAAAATTTCTTAGTGTAAGATTTTGGCAAACAAATTAGGAAAAATGTCTCGAGATCAGCAATAAAAAAAATCACCCCCCAAAAAAATCTGCAACACATACTGCACCGGCACTAGAAAACCCCATATCGGTGTGAGTGTAAAGCGCTACACATATGCAGGTCATTTACCATAGGTATCCACTAAAACAGCGTGGTAACCCAGCAACCATACGTGATTGCACAAACACAAAGACTGTCTCGCAGATGACTCTTAACAACTCTATTCTAGAAAATACATCCGCTTGAAACCAAGTTTGAGGGTAAAACTAAGTAAAGACACAGCGTGAAAAAACAAAAATGTCCTGAACCTTCTCTATAGCAATGTTTGACCCTAACCAAAGCATTAGAAGATAATATAGTAATTGAATCCAGTTTGACTCAGACCCACGTGTTTGAAATGCGTCCAGTCATTACACCATCAGTGTGTGAATGAACGAATGATGCACTGTTGTGTAAAGCGCTTTGTAGTCATCGGACTATGAAAGGCGTTATACAAGTGCGGGTCATTTATCACTGACGGGAGCTGACGCGCAAGCTTCATGCTAGGGTGTAGAATTCACATTGAAAATACCTAACGGCTAACGTTAGCTACGACAGTTAATATTCACAACTTCGTGTCCGGGGAGCAGACACGACCGGTTCGGTGCTTCTTAGAGACATAACAAATGAAAATAGACGTTTAATATGAAATGGTACCAGCATGACTCACTCTTGGCTCAACACGTTAAAAAGCGGAAAACTTAGCTAGCTAGCGTTAGTGCGCTTCATGAGACAGCATGCTTACAAATAGGCTCTGAACATATTCAGTGCGGTTGGTTGATGGCTTAAATGTGTTATCTCAGACTGCCATAATCTCTTTACCCAGAATAATTCATATATTCCAAGTAAAAACTATTATTACCTTTAACACTCCTGGTGTGAATGAATCGGGTATAGCGACGCACTCCCGCTCGCTCCTGCCGTTTAAAACCTAATACTGCCGCAAACTACCTGATTTAACGACCACATAGTCAAGGGATTTGTAGTTCAATTGGACTACAACGATGTGTTCAGGAGCTTCACAAATGTAAAGACCTAAAGCCTATGCCTAAAGCGCATATTTTCTTTGGCTTTTTGCGTCTCAATCAACAAAATGATTTAAATAGTGATAAACACCTCACTACTTCTGCTTCTGAACAGCTCAGCCTCTTGGTAACGCTTATGTTAATAGTAGGAAATCTCTACTGGGGTTTCTGTAATTTTCTTTTCTAAATTAACTTGCAATAGAATTGATTTATATGTTTTTTTCTGTTACTCTGCTGTATTTCTTAATAATCCTCATATATTTATTCCAATATCCCATTCCATTTATTCAATTATTCCAAAAACACAAATAAAATTAATCATACGTGCTATTTTTTGACCGTCGTTAATTAAATGGTCATTATCACAGAACGCACAGATATTGCTTTACATAACACAGTACTGACATTTGATTTGGTAAACTGGTTCAATTGCTAATTAACATGATTATTTATCAGTTAATAATTTAGCAGAAATCTGTTTACACATCTAGACGTGGTAAAAAAAAACCTTCCTGAATTTCTAGAAAAAGATGATTTATGTGATTTTGAATGTAGCATAGTTGTTGGTGCCAGGCAGGCTGGTGACAGTATTTAAGAAACTATAGATATACTGGGATTTTCATCCCAAACCATCTCTATGGTTTACAGAAAACAGTCCAAAACAGACAATGCCGATTGAGCCTCAGCTGTCAGGAATGACAAATGGCCTGCATTGACATAGCACCTTCTTAGGGTTCTACAACCCCCCAAGGCTCTTGACAACAGAATCAGTCATTCACCCTCTCACACACACATTCACATGCTGGTGGGGATGAGCTACGATGAGCCACAGCTGCCCTGGGGAGCACTGACAGAGGTGAGGCCTGTCGAACACCGGCCTCCCTCTGACCACCACCAGCTGGCAAGTCGGGTTAATGGTCTTGCCCAAGGACACAACAGCAGCATTCTCTTGTCAGAGCCGGGATCTAACCTGCAACCTTCCGATTACTGGATAACTCGCTCTACCTCCTGAGATGAAAATGTTTTGTCAATGTCCAGTGAGGCTGTTCAGACTGGTTCTAGAAAATCCAGTAGCTAAGATAATGACTAGTTTCTCACTTTTCAGAATCATTTTGTCACACCCTGTCCTGTCTTCTCCTAGGTTTTAGTCTGTGTCTCCGTTAATTGCTCCCACCTGCCTCTTCGTTTCCCAATCACCATAGCTCCCGCTCCTCGTGTATTTAAACCCCTTCTGTTCTGTGTTCCATGTCGTGTCATTGTTTCAGTGTCCAGCGTGTCTCGGAATAAATCATTGTAAGAAGTCCTACCTGTCTGCCTGTTTCCTCCCCGGTCTGGATCCTCGCCTTTCCTCGGCTTACTTCACCGGCATGCGTGACACATTTGCTTAATCCTCCCACTGTCTTTATGGGTGACCCCGTGAGAAAAGTTGGCCATTGAGCAGGATTGATGGTTTATCCCTTGAGGTCCACGTGGCAGGGGTGAGGTGGTGCGGTGCTCACTCCTGACCCCTGCCATGTGGACCCAAGGAATAAACCATCAATCCTGTTCAATGGTCGACTTTCCTCGCGGGGTCACACCCATTAAGACAGTGGGAGGGTTAAAAATTAGAAAACTACATACTTTTTTAAAAAAATTTACACTTCTGAAGTAAGTGCTATTTTGTGTTGGTCCATTATGCAAAATGTCAATAAAACATTTTAGGTTTGTGGTTGTATGGTGTGGCTGAGCAGTGGTTAGAGCTGTTGTCTTGCAGCAAGAAGGTCCTGGGTTCGCTTCCCGGCCTGAGATCTGTCTGCATGGAGTTTGCATGTTCTCCCTGTGCATGCGTGGATTCTCTCCGGGTACTCCGGCTTCCTCCCACAGTCCAAAAACATGACTGTTAGGTTAATTGGTCTGTCTAAATTGTCCCTAGTTGTGAGTGTGTGTGCATGATTGTTTGTCCTGTGTGTCTCTGTGTTGCCCTGTGATGGACTGGCTCTCTGTCCAGGGTGTAGCCAGCCCGATTGCCCGTTGACCGCTGGAAATAGGCACCAGCACCCCCCCCCCCCCACACACACACACCACCCCCGTCGACCCTGCATGGACAAGCGGGTTCAGAAAATGGATGGACGGGTTGTACAGTGTCAAAATGTGTAAAAGTTCAAAGGGTATGAATACGGTTAGGGAATTTATCAATAACTCAATACCTGCAGTCGAACAGGAAAGGAGACAATAAGCAGACAAAGTCACCAGATGGAAATCAGGGCAGAGCACGAGGCAACTGCCAAGAGATTTGCCCTGAGAGTTTATCTTATTACATGAGATAAGAAAAGAACAGAGGTGTGTGTGTGCACGTGTGTGAATGGGAGTGAGGTCATGAGTGAGACACTGTGTGTGTATGGGAAGAACAAGAATGTGTGGGTGTGTGAGTGTGAGAATGCTTTCAGGATTAATGATCAAGAAATAATGGAACATAAAATTTCCATAATACCTTTGCAAGGCACTACTCACGTGTGTGTGTGTGTGTGTGTGTGTGTGTGTGTGTGTGTGTGTGTAATGGGCAACACATATCTCAAGAAAAAGCAAACACAAATCAAAAGGAAGCAGCACAACCAGTTTTTCAGTAAAACTGATTAAATATTACAGTTGTCAGTCTACCACAATGCCAGTGAACCCAACCCTCAAGAGCAAAGCCTCCAGCCCGGCCCTTTTAGAGTTGTCAGAACTAGTATGCATTCACCTACCTTCCATATTTTTTACCTTGGAACGATTTTTCTCATTTTAACTCTTAACACAAAATGTAACCAGCAACAATCACATGGTAAATATCTGAAACACGAGTTCCTCCAAATATACATTTATTTAAGATATTAGTTCATGCAAGTACTTGTGAGTATCTGGAGCTGAAAGCACACATCTAAAAGTGAAAATGTTTTCCTTGCTAGAAAGGCAATGAAGTCCCGGTACAGTCGGGGTTGTTGTTTTATGAAAATAATAATTTAAACAAAAACCTACAAGAGAATATCTCAAATATATGCACATATAACGATGAAAGAAAAGTAAACTGGTTATTGACTACAAACATCTCAATACACAATTGAGCTAACAACAAACATTGCATCTGTGCAGCTTCAAAGCAATCTCAGCAGCTTTATTTTTTGACATTTTTAATACCTTTCAGAATGAGCCATTTCAATGTTGTCACATTAAAGAGCAAATTACAGGTTAATTTTTTTCTAATTCATATAAAATACTGTCCCAAAAATACTATTTGAAAAGCTTATTGTGGATATTTCATTTAACAGCAGAGTTTTTCTAATAAAAGTGGCCTTTCTCAGCAAAGCTTCTAAAAATGCTCTTTTTTCTAAATCTGAACCTCTGACGTAACCAAAGGGACTTAGAAGCTTGGCTGCCTTAGCTCAGTGTGGAGTGGGTAGTTTTAGGGTAGAAGTCATGTTATCCAGTCAGTGTGTGTGTTTACTAGTGTTGGATTGTGTTCATGTTGGTAAACTAGTGTGTGAAGGCTGTACCAACTCCAGCATGTCTTGACATCGAATCCACAAGTTGCCAGATAAGGGAAACAACGCCTCTACTCTATCTCCGTGCCTGAGGGCATTTTGTGCAGCTGTAAAGACGGGAACCGGGACAGAGAGGTCCGCGCTGGGCTCCGGATACCTGTGGCGGGGTTAAAAAAATTAAATGCAGATGTCTGGAGCTCAGATCACCGTCAGAACCAGATCAGAACCAACGGGCCAGTCAAGTTGGTTTCTGGGTCGGAACCAGATAAGGACCGCCGCCTGGACCACCAGGAGAGGATGTGCGGCGTTTAAAAATATCAGTGAGCCAGTCGAGCTGGTTTCTGGGTCGGATCCAGCTCACAGAAGCCCGCATAAGCTCCAGAATCGAACGACAGGCCTCTCTCTCTCTCTCTCTCTCTCTCTCAGCTCAGCGGGCCAGTCGAGCTGGTTTCTGGGTCAGAACCAGATCAGAACTGTCACAGACATCCGGGAGAGGATCATGTGCAGCTTTTAAAAATATCAGCTCGACTGGCTCGCTGGTGTCTGGGTCAGATCCAGCTCACAGAAGCCCGCTTGAGCTCCAGAACCGGATGACAGGTATCTCTCTCCCTCTCTCTAAGCGCTAAACTACGTTACGTGAATGGAAATTAACGAGTATGGGACAGTTGACAGACGCTCATTAAGTTATAATTGTCAATTATTAATATTCAATTAACTGACCAATACTATTGTAATTGTCTGGTACATGATAGTAATCTGTACAGTGTTGTGATGTTAACTGACAAGCTGCCCCCCCCCCCCACTGCTTCTCACATCGCAGCACAATCTCTCTGCTTTGGCCGATGGTTTCTCCCTCTGGTTTGTCTCTGCTCTCAGGGGCATGCAGCAAACTCATAACTTTATGGTTTTGGACGATCAGAAGTAGAATGATAAACATTTAAAGTTTCCTCTGTGTCAGAGCCGCATTAGAATTCATAGTTTTCTCTGGATTGAGCTAACAGGACTCCCTCAACTGACGTCACTTGGTTTGGCAAAGAAGAAATTTTTTTTTAATTTCTCACAAAAATGACTTTAACAGCTTAAATTATTTATGTATGTGTAATAAAACATTTTTAAACGAGTTTCTATTAGGCTTTTTTAAATATTGGTTCATGGGAGTCTAACATACAATTTGCTATTTAAGGAAACAAGCAGTTATACGCTTCACCCCCCAGATTATTCATCTTAACAGTTTATACAGAATGTTCAGTAAATTTATAGGCATCCTAACCAAATGCCTGAGCCACCTCAACTGGCTCCTATCAATGTGGAGGAACAGCGGATCTACTCCAAGCCCCTCCCGGATGACTGAGCTTCTCATCCTATCTCTAAAGCCTGATTTATACTTCTCCATCTGCATCCGTGCGGAGACACGCAACGCCATTATGCGTCAGCGCAAGTGCTCTCCGACAGGCTCACAGAGGGTGACAGAGACATGCCCAAATTTTTTAACACCCGTCGAATGTGGGAGGCCGCAAGCTTGCGATTGGTCAGGACGCCGCTTCTTGTAAATTTGTCAGCGGCTCTGTTAAAAAGTAGAGAGATATTAAGCGGCAGACCCAGAACAGATTGAAGAACGCATCGCGGAAAAAGTCTGAAAATATGAAGGTTTATTCATCCGTGACTGAAGGAGTACAAAATAGGGAGCAAACGTGAATGGAAATGATGGAAAACATGGGTTTAGAGGTGGCGACCGCATGAAGCGGTGGAAGAAAATGAAGGACAAATTTGGGAATTGACCTTACCAGGAAGGCTTAGAAGTGTGATCCCCCTGTAACTGGAACGGACCCTGAAGTCCCCCTTTTTAAATAGAGGGGCCGCCATCTTGGTCTGCCAATCCAGTGAAACTGCCTCGATCTCTATGCGATACTGCAGAGCCATGTCAACCAACACGGACCCACAACATTCAGAGCCTTAAGGAACTCTGGGCGGATATCATCCTTGTCACAGAGAGGCTTTTTGACCACCTCAGTGACCTCAGCACCAGAGATTGGAGGGCCCAACCCAAACTCCCCCGAGTCACTGGAAGAAGTGCTGGTGGGATTCAGGAGGTCTTTGAAGTACCCCACCCACCGATCCACTATGTCCCGATTTTAGGTCAACAGCACACTGTCCCCACTAAAGACAGTGCTGTTAGCACACTGCTTTCCCCTTCTGAGGCACCGGATGGTGGACCAGAACCTCCTCAAAGCCATATTGAAGTCTTGCTCATCATTCGCTGCTTAAAGCTGGGGTCTGTAGCATGATGTCACCCAGGAGAAGAGGAGATTGTTAAACTTTAATGACTATAGCCAATTCCATTAGAATGTTTCATTGACAAATTTATTCATGAGTGCATTTGAAATGTGCTACATAAATAAAGTTAAATTGAGTTTATCTTCTGTATGAATTTGCATGTGTTTGTTTAAAGTTGTCTTTTGGGTAAATCTCTGTCCACACTCAACACAGGTAAATGGTTTCTCTCCTGTGTGGATTCGCTTGTGTGTAACTAAATTTGTTTTGTGGCTAAAGCTTTGTCCACATACAACACAAGCAAATGGTTTCTGGCCTGTGTGGATCCTCTTGTGTGTAACTAAATTTGTATTTTGTGTAAATCTTTGTCCACAAAGATCACAACCAAAAGGTTTCTCCCCTGTGTGAATTCTCATGTGCATTTTTAAATTGGCCTTGAGGCTAAAATGTTGTCCACAGACATCACAACCAAATGGTTTCTCTCCTGTGTGAATTCTAATGTGCTTGTCTAACGTTGTCTTTTGGGTAAATCTCTGTCCACATACAACACAAGTAAATGGCTTCTGCCCGGTGTGAATTCTCTTGTGTGTAACCAAGTTTGCCTCATGGCTAAATCTGTGTCCACATAAAACGCAAGAAAACGGTTTCTGGCCTGTGTGGATTCTCTTGTGTGTAACTAAATTTGTCTTTTGAGTAAATCTTTGTCCACAAATATCACAACTAAAAGGTTTCTCTCCTGTGTGAACTCTCATGTGCCTTTTTAGATTTGCGTTTTGGGTAAATCTTTTACCACAGTTTTCACAACTGAATGATTTCTGTGCTACAAAGATTTTTCCAGGTGAGTCTACATTTGTCTTCCTTCTTGAACAGTTCTTATTTCTTATAACCCCATTTGATGACCTTAGTTTTGAATGACTTGTTAAATGTTTAAGAAATGACTGATTATTGACAAAAAGTTTATCACACTTAGAGCATTTCAAAGATTTGGTGACCATGTTTGTATCTGAATTAGTAGTCCTCCAGTCATTATCACCGTCTTCAGATGTATGCCCTAAATCTGAATAATGTTTCAGCTGAGAGTCAGGACAGTTCACTTCCTCATCCTCTTCATCATCCTCACTGACGTCGGTCTCTGAAGAATTGGAACAATCTCTGTGAGTCTTAAGATCTATGTTCCTGCTTGATTCTGCTCCTCCACAGTCCTCTCTGCCAGTTTCTGCTATCATCTGGTCATCTGAGCCCCTGGTTGGATGACTTCCAACTTCAATATGGTGATGATGAACCTGTGACAACACAGGTTTCTCTTCATCCCCTTCACTTTTAAAATGAGTTGTGGTGTTGGCATCAGTCTCCACCTTCACACCAAGCTGCTCTCCCTCCAGACTGGTGCAGACTTCCTCTTCTTCCTCCTTTATGTAGAGGGGTTCTGAGTCCTGCTGCTCCGCATCAGGGCTCCATTCTTCAGGAGCTTCTTCTTTAATGAGAACCATCTGCTGAATATCTGCAGGAAGAACCAATACTTGAAACGCATGTGTATGTTGGGAACTTCCATGATTATAGCTGGAAAGCAACACCTCTTGTGCGTGAAAATGCACCTCTAGCCGGCCAACAGAGCATAAACACGTTGTTTTACAATTATTATTCTCATCTTATGCTGTTTATTCATATATATGTATTTTAAAGACTTACTTGTCCATAAAAAATGTTGCTAAATCGGCCTCTGTCTAGGTACATCCACAAACAAGGGCACATGCTGACATCTGTATGTAAGAGGATGTCCAATGCTAGTGGCTAATGATGATCAGCACCAATTCAAATTGCATGGGGCTCTATGGGATGGGGCGGGTTTATATTGTAATAAATGTTTGCATTAGGGTTTATAGAGAGCCTAAAGCCTGGGGCAGACCGGAGGTGGAAGTGCCATGCAACGTCGCGCCCGCGATTTTGAGAAGTCACTAGGGCTGAACGATCTCAGAAAATAATCTAATTGCAAATTTTTTTCTTCAATATTGCAATTGCGATTTAATTCACGGTTATTTTCTCAAGAGGCTTTTCTCATTTTTCAACTAACGGAAACAAACAAAAAAAAAAACGTACAGAATATAAACAAGTTTATGTATCTATATATTTATTTTTGTATTTGAAGGTGCCACCCTTTGCAGCCAGGAGCACATCCCTTGAAGAAGCATAGATATTAGCATCAATTGTGAAAATTTATTTGCAGGAAAGAAGTGTGTCACGTTTATTGAAGTTTTTTGTGTTTGGAGTTTTTGACGTCTTGTTCATGCAGAGCTTCTGTCGTTCAGTTATGTCCATAGCTGCCAGCCAAAACTCAGTGGAGTTTAAGTCTCTTACAGTTTTCTAGATTTACTAAAATATCTGTCTGTATTTATTTGATTAATGGCAGTTTTTAACTTTTTATTAGACTCCAAATGTGATCATTTGGCACATTCCTAATTCATAATTGTAGGAATGTAATCAGCGATATTAGCACTAGCATTCCTATGGGTTTTTCACTTTATATTAGCATTGTGCTAACCACTCGCTGCCAGTCAACTCGCAGCCTTTGCAATTAGAAAATCTCCTCTTGTCACGTTGCAATTTAATTGCATATGCAATTAATCGTTCAGCCCTAGTGATCACACAAGACGCGCGATGCCGCTGAGCGCTTCTTGGGAAGTTAGTAAGTAAGGAAGTAAATTTTATTTATATTGCACTTATCACAGACATAAAATCACAAAGAGCTTCACATAGATCAAAACAAAATAAAACAAAGTCATAAAATCATAAATAGATTTAACATCATAAAATCAAAATGCTCTCAAAGTCTCACAAGATGCTCACAAGATCATGCGAGACTTGAGAAGAGAAAGTGGGAAGTGACTATTGTTTATATGTGATCAGACTTGCCATTGTGTTTTGTGAAACTCGAATTCATTAAAAACAGGTAAGTACGCCATTTATTTGAATATTTTAGGATTAATAATACTTTAAAGAGCAAGTCACCCCCAAATTAACTTTTTTTCTTCTGATAAACTACATAAATGTGTGTCTAATCGTGCTGCAGACACGTGTAGTCAATAGTTTTGCACTTTAGTGCATTTTATTTAAAATTGTAATTTTCTGCCTAAAACTGTCAGTGTTTTGCCGTTGTCAGGTAAAAACTCTGCACTGCATTTGAATTTAAATCTGCCATCTCTATTGGCTAAGAGGTACCCTAGAACGTTAGCTGGTACCATATGATGTCACAATGTCGTTCTGAGCCTGTGTGTGTGTGTGTATTTGTTTGCGGCTCTGCCCTCTTGGTCTGCTAGACAACAGCATTTGTTGCATTTTTTTCAAACCGGAAGTGGGAGTGGAGTAATACTCTGGTAGGGGGTGACTTGCTCTTTAAAGTTATCAAAACTGCGGCTGGGTTTTTGCCAGCCATTGAGTTTGTGCTGTAAAGCCATTCCGCGTCATGTCTGTTTTAAAGTACAGCACAATGTCGTAAACAGACGTGGCGCTGCTGAGCTTGAGATAGAACTGGCGCGTATCTTGAGCGCCTAGGCGCTGCGCTTCTGGGATGTGGCGCTCCCCGTGTGCACACTCTCATTAACTATAATGGCTTCTGTTTAGAATGACGGCGTCCGCCTCTGGTGTGCCCCAGGCTTTAGTCACACCCATCTAATTCCAGACTACGGGTCCCCTTCTGTCAAAAAAAAAAAAAATTTAATGGGATCTCAATAGGCCAATAAAATTTATTTTCTGGTCCCATTTTGTACGTGCCATGAGTTTCACATATATCATATATGCAACGTCTGATTTGTAGTAATTTTAATTACTAATTTTTACAAGCTAATTAATCCTAAATTATGTGACAAACATAAGCCTAATATACACTCCTCTGTCTGCCTGGGTGGAGACACGTAACACCATTATTTAACTATTTTAATTATGTTAACTGGCCATCATTCCATTCCCACAGGTTGGAATCAGATCTGACTTGAGTTCCATACCACCACGTTCTACTGTTTGTGCGAGCGCGTGCACGAGACATGCTTGTGACGGAACTGCATGAAAGATACACCCCAGTTTTAGTTCTAGGGCTTTTATGATGATGGCTGTCTGTGCGTTTTGATGCTGATTGTCAAAGCTCTATAATAAAGACCCCAGCGCTGTTTGAAGAGACAACTGACGTTGTTCTTAAACCACCTAAGCCCTCAACAGGTGGAGGAGAATGTAATTGCACCACCTTGGACCAGATGTGTAACTGTAAAGGTGGCAGAAAAGCACCACGCCCTCTGTTGTCCTGGTTCAGAATTGCTTTGCAACACTCCCCAAGGGACAGAGAAGTTCGAAGAGAAAACCTCTCCGTCAATGCGTCTGCGCGACTCCACACTCGAGCTGATGGAGAAGTATAAATTAGGCAATAGTCAAAACACATAATTATTTATCATAATTTAAATTAAATGTGTTATTCAGGGCATAAGGCAAAGCAGACCAGAAATAAACTTTTATAGCACCGTTCACTTACTTGATTATTTTTTGTTCAGGGGACTCATGAGCTGACTGAAAGGGGAGGAGACTAAAGCTTCTTATGACCATACAGTGTTTGATACACCACAACTAAAAAGGTAGAAAACCTGATATTTAATTGACCTCACGGGCTGTGATGTCATGTGACAGCCACAAGTTTCATAAAGCACTGACGGCTATCCCACGTCTGGAAATGGACACAAATACATCTGTAGAGGTAGAGAAGGCCACTACTCACTGTGGGGGAGGACGATGTCCTTGGTGGAGACAGACATCACACTTTTAAGAGCAGCAGGACCTCGGGTCCATGAGGCTGTAGATGAAAGGGACACAAATATTAACCTGATGACTGGGTTTCAGCTAAACCAAGACTCATCCTGATGTTGCAGCAGTGTGTCTGGGACAATGATGACAAATCTCATCTGGAGGTAAACAATATTCATTTAGCAGCCTTCAGGTGCTCAGGTGTCCTCAGAAACATAGCATGATAAGATTAAATTTCACACTTCTTCTGAACAAACACCATTTTCCTTTGTTCAATGACAGGACTTTAAGCTGCTGATCACAAAAAAAAAAAACTCCAGACAATTAGTTAACATACAAATAAAACCTTCCTGTGCATTAGCTTCTGATAGAAAATAAACGGTGAAACACTAGGTTTTGAAAATCCTGACAAATCTACATCACACTGCCACTTAACATTCATGGACTCACCCATCTTCACTCATGATGGGGAAGACTGTTGTTTTAGCATCCAGGAAACAGCAGACAATGTCTCAACTAGTAGAAGCTAACCATTAGTAGCTCCACCACGCAGCAGAACTCCTCCAGACTTGTAGTATTTGTGGAGATAAAACATCAACGTTGCAGATCAAACAGAGTCAGTGGTAGAGCCGTGTTGCTTTTAGCCATTCAGAGGAGACATGTCCAGATATCAGAAAACAGGAGTCTAAAACTTGCCGTCAGAAACTCTTCTCCACTTTCTACTTCCTCTAACTGGTGCGCCGGAGCTTGTTTCCCCAGAGTATGACTTACAGGCATTCACTCCTACTAGAAACCACTGCAAATCTATTGATTAAACGTTCCACGTCTTTACAGAAATGTGGAGAAGCAAGTGTCTGAAGTCTGCTAGTGTTTTGAAAATCATTCCAGAGAAGTAATACATAAGAAAAAAGGGCAGATTCACCCAAAAATCTATTGCCTGCATTATATCACAGTACAGGATAAGACTATCACTTTTGATAAATGATAAATGACCTGCACTTGTATAGCGCCTCTCAGAGTAAGGACTCCAAAGCGCTTTACACTACAGTGTATCATTCATCCATTCACACACACATTCATACACTGGTGGAGATGAGAGGCGAGGCTGCCGAGCACAGGCGCCACCGATCCCTCCGACCACCACCAGCAGGCAAGGTGGGTTAAGTGTCTTGCCCAAGGACACAACAGCAGAATTCTCTGTCCGGAGCCGGGATCGAACCTGCAACCTTTCGATTACTGGACAACCCGCTCAACCTGTTGAGCTACTGCTGCCCTTTTGTGAACCCCTAAATACCGTAATTACCCGAATATAGGACGAGTTTTTTTTTTATTAACAATTATGCAAAAGGGGGGGGGGGGGGTCGTCTTATAATAGGGGTCGTCCTATATTCGGGTAAATACGGTAATTCCTGAAAGGGGAAAACTCTCAATTGCTGCTTTAGGACTTTTCAAGAACTCAGCGATTTATATAAAAGTCTGTTTTTGTTGTGTAACACAAAGTTGCATTGAGAACTAAGTCCAGACTGACATGCATAGTTAATCAGATCATCCAGGGATGCACAGTTAATGCAGAATAAACCAATACCTGCACAATGCATATGTGCAATTTTTTTTACCAATCACTGCTACGTTTATATAGCTTTGTCCATCACCTACAACCCCTAACTTGCTTTCACTTCATTCTCAAGCAAAACCCATATGATGTAAATGTATCTCGCCTGGGCCCAGTTTTTCAAAATCCGCTAGGATTTTGAAAAACAGGTTGGATCAAATCTTGAAAATGGGGTTTTTCAAAAGAAAAAAGGATTACATATTAGATCACGTAATCCAATCTTGGTTTTGATTCGGATCAAACCTTTATTTTGGTGTATTCAGAACTTTTTGTAGGATTTGGATCACTTTGATCCAAAAAATCTGGATTAAAGTGATCCCATCAGAAGGGTGGATTCAGCGTGGATTTCATACCCAACATGTAATGAAAACTTTAAAAATATATCAAATAATACTATATTTGGATTATGCAGTATCTTACAAGATATCCATTTATATATAAGATTTTAATTGTATTTGTTCTTCCATCAGGCTACAGTGATTAAGTAGGCTTTAACGTGTTCAGCCTTTCAGCAAAGGCCTACAGCAAAGTAAAGTTTATCCTAATAAAATAATCCCCCTAACAGCTGTCAAAATTCACCATAAACAATCAATTCTATTCTGTCACTAATTGATATATTCATCACAATCAAAAATATTGTTGTTTTTAGAATATTTATTAGTGATGCAAGTAATGATTACAGAATAACCACAAAAAAAGCAAACCAAGGCCAGACTTGAGATCTGCCTCCTAAAGGCTACGCTCAGACAAGCTGGTCTCTCCACATCAGAGTATTTGACATAAAGTCTTTTTTTAATTCAAACATGCTATAAATATACTTTTTAATCATTTTGTAAATAAAGCTAGATGAAGAAGCACATTTTTATTTTATTCAGTCATTTAAAGAATATTTCACACTTAGATATTTTACTTAGTTCTGATAGCATAGTCCAGTTTTTCCTCATTTACAACTAATCAACAACCAGCAGTCATTTTAACACAAATATCTCTTGAATATATTTTTTATTTAAATGTCTTGGGTTTTACGAGGAGGACCTGAGATATAAATGCATATATACGTATTCATGTCTATGATTGACACTTCATGCATTAATAATATTAAAAATGCTGGGCCTGTTTGAAAATATTACATTAAACACTTGCAGCAACGGAGCTACGTTCGTAAATTTTTCTTTCCACATCAGAAAGACATTACGTAAGTTGAACTGGCCGTTTTCTAACAAATGTGATTCATTAAATTGCAACCATATCTCAGGAGTGAAAACAAGAACATTTGAAATTAGTTTAGTTACGTTAGAGGTGTTTTGATCAGGCATTGACGCAGCCACCCACTGAAACATATTTGCCTAATACACCGCCCCACTCTTTAACAGCTAGAAGTGAAGCTACAGAGTAAAAGAGCCAAATCCATTAACTACATGAAAATTATAGCGATATTGCAATTAGCGTTGATAGAAAATAATTCGAATATACAAACCTAATCCATGAAAACGGATTGTAGTAGCGGCCAGCTAGCCCCGTGGCTTTGTTGCAAACAGGATCCCAAGTTACGAGGTGCTTTCACAATAAAAGTATACTTCCGGTGTTTTAACATGAATAATTTATTTGAGAACATAACCTTAGCTAGAAAAAATAATTATAATCTAATATAGAGTATTGATTTTTTGAGTAGAAACCTGTTCTTTAATGTCCCATGATGGTCTCCCAGGTGCAAGTTATTGAATGAAAGCATATCCACACAAGATAAAATACAAATATAAAACAGAAAGACTGTACAGATGGGATTTGTACAAGACAACACAAACAGACTATCCACTACAAATGACAGCACAGATTTACACACTTCTAGAGTTTGTTGGGAGAAGTGTTGGTTTTAGATCGGGGGTGGACAAAGCCCTTTCCTGAGGGGAGGAGAGCCGTCATCCAGCATGTTAGTGTTTACCCCGTTTTAACACTCATCAGCAGGTCATTTGCAGGCTTCTGCAGAGCTTGATGAGCTGGTGAACCAAGCGTATTGGAGTGGGGAAACAACAAACATGCTAGAGTTGCCCACCCATTGCTGGGAGGAACCATGTATGGCTATAAACATTTACACTTAGGAGACCCAAAGGGCTAATGATGACTTTGTGGAACAAATGATCAAAAGCAATTATATCCAAAAAGTGTACCATCGCCAGCTCTCCTTAATAGTTCCAGTCAATGTAATACGTGTGTGTTGTGGCAGTCGCCTTACAATTTGCATTTGAAATTTCACAACGAACACATGATGCAATTGTTAATTTTCCTTTTAACTCACCAGTGAACCTGTGGAAATTGTGGAGTGATGCTACATGTGACATGCATTAACCATTTTTTTAGGCTGATAGATACAGGTGCTGGCCAGTAAATTAGAATATCATCAAAAGGTTGAAAATATTTCAGTAATTCCATTCAAAACGTGAAACTTGTACATTATATTCATGCAATGCACACAGACCAATGTATTTCCAATGTTCATTACATTTAAATTTGATATTCATAAGTGACAACTAATGAAAACTCCAAATTTGGTATCTCAAAAAATTAGAATATTCTGAAAAGGCTGAATATAGAAGACACCTGCTGCCACTCTAATCAGCTGATTTACTCAAAACACCTGCAAAGGCCTTTAAAAGGTCCCTCAGTCTTGTTTTGAAGGCACCACAATCATGGGGAAGACTTCTGACTTAACAGCTGTCCAAAAGACAATCATTGACACCTTGCACAAGGAGGGCAAGACACAAAAGGTGATTGCTAAAGAAGCTGGCTGTTCGCAGAGCTCTGTGTCCAAGCACATTAACAGACAGGCGAAGGGACGGAAAAAATGTGGTAGAAAAAAGTGTACAAGCTCTAGGGATAACCGCACCCTGCAGAGAATTGTGACGACAAACCCATTCAAAAATGTGGGGGAGATCCACAAAGAGTGGACTGCAGCTGGAGTCAGCGCTTCAAGAACCACCACGAGGAGACTCATGAAAGACATGGGATTCAGGTGTCGCATTCCGTGTGTCAAGCCACTCTTGAACAAGAAACAGCGCAAGAAGCGTCTCGCCTGGGCCAAGGACAAAAAGGACTGGACTGATGCTGAGTGGTCCAAAGTTATGTTTTCTGATGAAAGCAAGTTCTGCATTTCCTTTGGAAATCAAGGACCCAGAGTCTGGAGGAAGAGCGGAGAAGCACAGAATCCACGTTGCATGAGGTCCAGTGTAAAGTTTCCACCGTCAGTGATGGTGTGGGGTGCCATGTCATCTGCCGGTGTTGGCCCACTCTGTTTCCTGAGGTCCAGGGTCAATGCAGCCGTCTACCAGGAAGTTTTAGAGCACTTCATGCTTCCTGCTGCTGACCAACTTTATGGGGATGCAGACTTCACCTTTCAACAGGACTTGGCACCTGCACACAGTGCCAAAACCACCAGCACCTGGTTCAAGGACCATGGTATCCCTGTCCTTGATTGGCCAGCAAACTCGCCTGACCTTAACCCCATAGAAAATCTATGGGGTATTGTGAAGCGGAGGATGCAATACGCTAGACCCAACAATGCAGAGGAGCTGAAGACGACTATCAGAGCAACCTGGGCTCTCATAACACCTGAGCAGTGCCACAGACTGATCGAGTCCATGCCACGCCGCATTACTGCAGTTATTGAGGCAAAAGGAGCCCCGACTAAGTATTGAGTGCTATACATGCACATTCTTTTCATGTTCATTCTTTTCAGTTGGCCAACATTAGAGAAACAAACATTTTTTCATTGGCCTTAAGAATATTCTAATTTTCTGAGATACCAGATTTGATGTTTTCATTGGTTGTCACCTATAAATATCAAAATTAAACGTAATAAACATCGGAAATACATTGGTCTGTGTGCATTGCATGAATATAATGTACAAGTTTCACGTTTTGAATGGAATTACTGAAATATTTTCAACCTTTTGATGATATTCTAATTTACTGGCCAGCACCTGTATTACCAACTATGCCACCATAGCCACACAGAAACAACCACAGCAATTCGAGAAACGTGATTGGACAGGAATTCGAGAAACGTGATTGGTAACCAAGACTCGTGCTCTCATTGGTTCCACCCAAGTTCCTCCTACCAACGCTAGAATTGAGACAAAATGATCTGTAACACTGTAGATTTGAGGTTTGTACCTGTAGAATAAAATGTATGTTTTGAGTTTTGATTTCAAACTCGTACATTGATTTTTTTTTTTTTTTGGAAGTCTGCTAGGTAAAAACCGAAAGTTTCATGTTTCTGAATGAATGTTTGATGTTACAAAATGAGTAAATGTACAAAATAAAAGTTTGATTTTACAAAATAAAAAATACATGTACAAAATGAAAATTTCCTGTTACAAAACAAGAAATACAAGCACAAATTGAGAATTACAAGTTAGAAAACTAAAGTTACAAGTTACGAATCCAAAGTTACATGTCATGAAATATGTTCCAAGTTACAAAACTTGGTACAAGTTACATTGAATATTGTCCCAATCCTAGCTCCATAAACAAGTAGCTTTACCTGAGATAATGGACAGACTATTTAACCTGCTAACTAATACAATTTAGTCCTTATCCACCTTACTCCTGAGCCAGATTGCATTATTCAACTATGGGCTTCAAGTAAACAAACGCCAAACTGGAAGTTGGTCAAATATTTCATGCAAGGGCTCACGGGGGCTAGGAATACAGCCTGATTTCACATTTTCCATCTGTGTGGGTGCGGAGACACGCAACATCATTATATTGGTGCAAGGGCTCTCCAAAAAGCTCGCAAAGGGTGATGGAGACATGCTCAACTGTTGTCCTATTTTAACTATCCATCGAAAGTGACAAAGACTGTGATTGGTCAGGACGCCGCTTCCTTTAAATTCGTCAGCGGCACAGCCATTGCCCTCCCTCCAAAAATAAAGATATTTAGTGGAAGACACAGAACAGAAAAAGTCCAAAAATATGAACGTTTATTCACCCATGACTGAATGAGTACAAAGATGCACAGCAAACGTATATATGTGGATGAAAATAACTGGAAATGTGGGTTTGGAGATGGTGACCACATAAAGAGGTGGAGGAGAATGACAACCAAATTTTTCCATGTTAAAAAGTCTCTGAAATACATAAAAACAATGTAAACACATTAGTGAATGCACCATCTTGGACTGGATAAGTGACAGTAATGGTGGCGGGATAGCCTAGAAAAGCCCTACGCCCACTGTTGTCCTGGCGGGGAATTGCTTTACAACACTCTCCAGGCGATGGAGAAGTCTGAAGGGAAAATGTCTGTCAATGCATGTGCCCGACTCCACTCTTGAAAAGTATAAATCAGCCTCACTGTAGATGGGAATCTTGCATATGGAAGAGTAGTTTTCCTGCTGTATCCGGTCCTGTGTGTTCTTTGGGACTTTCCTTACAGCCAAGAGCATTGTCTTCAGACTGCATCCTCTCCAATGAAGCAAGAAACATAACACTCCTCCTTCACCTCTGAATTTTCTAAATCTGAAGACAGATGAGTGCTGCTGGATCCATAAAGATCTGGTCCAAGATGCGTCTCGAGTCTTCCACAGACCCTGTGCAATAATTGTCAATCACAAACATTTCTATAACAATGTACCTAGTTTCTCAAGCATTTCATTGTTTATGAACCTTACACCTGGTTTTGTGTAAAAACAGAGTGCACTACAATAAGTAATACACAGGTCTTTCATTTCAAAATGTATATCTAAAACTTACGGAGCGTTGCCTGGGTCTTGATGGGTGTCTTGTGGTGGTTGGCTGTCCCACGTTCGGTAGTACTCACAAAGGGGACAGTGCTGCACCACCGAGATGAACGTCTCGATTTGTCTCGTTTGAACGCTGCATGAATGCTTGCACACTGGACACGCCTTAAATAGCTCCATAATGCTGGCCTCATGAACAATATAACTTTTTACAGGGTGGGCTGGATTTGAAGCCACATCTCTATAAATAAAATACAACGAGGGTGAAAATCATGATACACGGCACAAGAAAACGTGTAGACCTTCAAAAAAATTTGAGTTACTCACAAAATGTCTGTTGAGGCGGTGAAACCATTAGCAGATCCAGCAGGATCATTAGTGGCATCCAGCCCTTTAGAAGCCACAATTAAAGCGTTGCCCTCAACCTCCTGCTCTTCCTCCAGGTGAGGCCGCTTTCTAGGTGTTGGGCAAGGCAGCGGGGTGGTAAGGGGCATGTCTTGTGTTCCAGTACCACAGTCTCTGGTGGACATGATGGCTTGGACACCTTAGCAGAAATGTTTTATGGGTTACAGACAAATGTCAATACACTTGGTGCTTGAATTTGAAATGCCTCAACAGGTGCAACAACTAGAGAACAAAACGGACCAAAAGACATTTGTGACGGACTGAGTATGTACCTTTGCTTCGGACGTGAGACTGTAAAGTATGCAGAGACAGCTGTGTACCAACGGTGCGTTTCTTAATCTCTGGCGGTTCTGTTTGACAACCAATTTCTATTTTTGCCTGAAACTGTAGTAGCGTTGTAGCCTGTAGGAGAAACGAGAGGGTGGTGGGAATATAGCAGACATTTAGAAACATTACATTCATGTTGTGACGAAAAGTTTTCATTCAACAGCTGCAAAGTCTACAGACTGATAACAGCAAAGATCTTAAATTTAGTCTTTTGTTAGAGAAGACGCCGTGTCACATTATGACTAGTGCTGCCACGGTTAGTCGATTCATCAAGATGACTTCGACAAACAAAATAGTCGACTATAAATTTAAAGGGACTTTATGGAGTTTTGAATTTTTATGCTCGCGATTGCCCCCTCAGGCCAAAAGCGTAACGGCAGCTTCAATAGTAGGCTCATGCAAGAGGTGCGCATGCTGTACGTGCACACTCCTTAACGAAAATAACAGCTGAGACAGTCCCGTGTGTGTGTGTGTGTGTGTTTGTGTGAGAGAGAGAGAAACACAGAGGGGAGTGAGCTAACAGCTGTACGTGTAAACTCAACGAAAATAACAGCTGAGACAGTCCTGTGTGTGTGTGTGTGCGTGTGTGTGTGTGTGTGTGTGTGTGTGTGTGTGTGTGTGTGTGTGTGTGTGTGTGTGTGTGTGTGTGTGGCCCGGAGGACAGAGGACAGGAGAACGCGCAGCTAATTAATTAAATAATTTGGTTCTGTACCTTTCTCTTCAGCACAGCCGGCAAAGGTTTATGATGGGTCAGTCCTCCTGCATGCTCAGATCATTCCCTTCCCTTGCTTGAAAAATTGTTCCAAAATGAAAGTTGAACCCACATCTTTTTTATCTGTGAATTCAATGCCGTTCGGCGAGTCTCAAATAAAAATTTGGGCATCGTACTGTAAAAAAATATACCATTAATGTAAAAAAAAGAAACTCTAAATAAACTATGTTCACATCCAGAATCGAACCCGGGTCTTCTGCACAACAGTCCGACGTCTTACTAGGAGAGCTAAAGGCCAGTGACTTCTCTTGTATCTGTAACTTTTATATCCTTGATGACAGCTGATCTGAAACAACGTTCAAAAAACGGTTCGGAGCGAAAATGGCTATTTTGTTGCTAATTTGCAGGAAATATCTAGAAGAAAGTTCTACAGAAAGTAGCTAAGGGTCCTTAGAAATGTAGCTAGGTTTGTCACTAGGCGTTAGGAACAGCGACAAAGTGGCACTGCCTCTCTCTCTGCTGCTAAAGCTACTGATAGCAAACGCTACGGGCGATGCCTGAGCGTGAACGCGCATGAAGCAGCCTGCTCGACCCGAGCATCTCTCTTTTTCTGTGATTTTACAGAAAAACAGGCAATCACAGTAAAAATGCCAGGGCTCATTCTACAGGACCAGGGCATTGCAGGAGAATGTATGAAGAAGAAATTTATTATTTCTATACATGTTTTGGTTGTCAATCTTCCATAATGCCCCTTTAAACAAGCATTTGTTTAATAAATTATCGAGCTACAAAAGGACTTGGTTGGTGTTGCATTTTCTATTTGTCCTAGAGAAGAAAAAAAAACTTCCATGAGTAGACGTAAATAAGGACTTTGAGTGCTCCAGATCTACAGTCCAAAGCAACAGATTTTGGAAAAGAGAAGAAGCAGGTGAGGCAGGCTGGAATGAGCGGAGATAAGTGTCAGGTGTGATGTGTGACAAAAGGGTTTCAGCAAAAATGAGAGGTAAGGTGTAGAGGACAGTAGTGAGAGCAGCCATCTTTGGTTTAGAGACCGACAGGAGAGGAGGCAGAACTCAAGATGTTGAGGTTCTCTTTGGGAGTGACGAGGATGGATAGGATCAGGAATGAGTCCATCATAGGGGCAGCTCATGTTAGATGTTTAGAAGATAAAGTCCAGGGTTTCCCCCAGAAAATGAGTCAAGACTGGCGGCTTCGGCCGTCAGAGGGGGAGGGGGTTGAGAGCTCCGTCCCGCAGCGCTCCTCCGTGAGAGCGGGGGTGGCACACGTTCCGCTGCTGTTTCTCACCAGTATCAGCTGATGGAGGGCTCTAGTTTTGTTGTGCCGTTCGTGTCCGCGGACACGGTAGGGTTGGGGAGGGGGGCGGGGCATGACGCTTATAGCCTGGCGGGAGGCCAAGCAAAGCCTGGCGAGCCGCCAGGCTTATAAAGCGCTGGGGGAAACCCTGAAGTCAGAGAGTCCAGACCAAGATGGTTTTGACTAGGGCTAGTCTGATATAGCGGGCCGAAATTTGACCCGGTTTTAATGTATATCAGCATCGAACAATATAAATCCTTAGTAAAGCCGATTTAAAGTCGGACACATCCCGGGAAGCCCGGTGCTGCAGCAGAATTTCATTTAAAGTACACTCACGTTCCTGAATAACACCTTTTAATAACTGCCCCAAAAGTTAGTTTAAACTAAAATGTCTTCTTATTTACCAATTTTGAGTAATTAATACTTTGTCAGTTAACTAATTTTTTTGATTAAATTCAGTTAGAGGTCTGATTTTAACACTGAGCTGTGAACAAAATTAAAATTTAACAGCTGGTTAAATTCAGAGTTCAAAAACTGACTCAGGTTGAGACATTTTGCGAATCAACTGATGTTATTAGTGACATTTTAGCATGAAAATAAAAGCGGAAAACGTCTAAATTCTGATCATAAAAACCGGCCCAAAATATCTGCAGCACAAATTGGCCATTTGACCTATCGGTGTCAGTATTGGCAAAAGAAAAACCAATATCGTTCGACCTCTAGATTGCAAATGTCCAGAGGAGGGACAGTAATTACATAAGTAGAAGGATGCTGTGAGGAAGACCATAAAGGAGATTTATGGATGTGATGAAAGAGAACATGAAGCTAGTTGGTGTGAGGGTAGAGGATGCAGAAGATAGGAAAAAGTGCAAAAGAAACCCAAGTCATTACTTCCAAGTACTTACATCTCCCTCCTCTGCTGACTTGCCACGGAGCGTAGGTACAGCTCTCTCTGTCAGAAGAAGTTTGCTGGCTAATCCCGCTCGGTATTGTCCAAGGTTCACAAAGCAGTCTGCCTCGAAGTGGTTCGCACACACCGCAAGATTCTTGCCGATTGTTGCTGGGATGTCACCATCAAAAATGAAACTGAGCCATGCAGTTCTCCGAAGGGTTTTCGTGGTTGGGAGAATGTGTAGACATTTGTTTTGTTCCTTGCAGCCAGCAATACAACACTTCATGTGTGACTTGCCTTTGCCGTTAGCCCTCGCTGCGCTCTGCGTCTTGTGAAACAAAAATGATAAATCTTCAACTATTCTGGAGGGTAGGGGTTGGGTAGGTAAGGCGGGGTGACTAAACCTTTGATCTTGTAAATCACAAGTAAAGAATTTCTCTCCAGTGTGGGTTCTCATGTGTGCTCCTTGATCATCCTCACTGATTTTCAGGTCCGAAGAATTTATGGCCTCGGTCTCGTCCTTCGCGTTGAGCTGCTTTGCTTCCAGACTGGTCAAGAGTTCTTCCTCTTCTTTCTTTATGTGGAGGAGGTCCGCATCCTTCTGGTCCCCGTCAGGCCTCCATTCATCAGGAGCTTCTTCTTTAATCACCACCATCTTAACATCTGCAGGAAGAACTGATATGCATGCGCATTATGCAGTGTTAACTTCACATTCGTGCTTTTCATTGCTTGTGTTATTGCTGAGGACACTAAATTCACTGGCGAAACAATGCAACGCTGGAAGTACGAGAACCTACAACTAAAACCCTAAAACATCGACGTCATTCTGATTGGCTCCGAGAAGACAGAAAACCAAAAACACCCAACAGGTGACTCCTTGCTGGTACAAATAAAACCTGGTGCAGAGAACCTTTGTTTAGTTTGAAAGCAGTTCCAGCATTAAAATATTTAAAATATTCTGAACCACAACATAAATTTAGATGTTAAAACCAAAAAACGTTATCCCTGCCTCATCAGAGTTCTTTCCAAAGACATGCCTCAGCACACCATGTTCAAACACCTCTCAAGTCAGCTTGATGCGTAAATATTTGTTTAGCACCTTCTGGAGTTCTACAACCCTCATCCATGCACTAGTGTACGGAGGCAGCGATACCCTTCTCCATCCATGACCTCTCGTTGTATATTAAGTGTGTCAGCAACTCACCACTAGAGGTCAGTATCGCTACACTAAAGGTGAAAAGAGATCTCGGAGAATATTGAATTATTAGAGCAGAGAGCAAGAGTTTTGTGTCCAAATCTGACATTTTACAATAGACTAGATTAGAATAGACTTTACTGATCCCACAGTGAGGAAATTCACTTGTTACAGCAGCACACACACTTAGAGAACAATTCAAAGAATAATAACAAAAGTACATGTATATATATATATATATATACATATACACACATAGGCAGTAAGCTATTATTGTAACCTTCGACCAGTAAAAATTATAAAATGAAACTTGGCTTCCAGAACTATACAGCATACTATAAGGGACACAGACATACCATATAAATCCAGTATTGCACAAGTATTGGGCGACGGTGGCACAGGAGTTAAGTGCTCACCCAGTAATTGGAAGGTTGCAGGTTCGAGCCCCGCTCAGTCTGTCGCTGTGTCCTTGGGCAAGACACTTAACCCACATTGCCTGCTGGTGGTGGTCAGAGGGACCGGTGGCGCCTGTGCTCGGCAGGCTCCCCTCTGTCAGTGCGCCCCAGGGCAGCTGTGGCTACATCGTAGCTCATCCCCACCAGTGTGTGAATGGGTGAATGACTGACTGTGTTGTAAAGCGCCTTGGGGGGTTCCAGGACTCTAGAAGGTGCTATATCAAATACAGGCCATTTACCATATTGAACACGTACTGAAAATTCCCAGCAACATTAGGCAGGCATCTTCTTTTGTCATTTTTAAGTCGCTCCTCAAGACTCACTACTATTCACTGGCTTTTAACACTGACTGATTATTCTTATCCACTCCTGTTTTTAAGCAGTGTTGTGTTTTATTTATTTGACAACGTTTTTGTATGTTTTAATATATTATCCACGTTTTTACTGTTTTTAATTGTCTGTATGTTTTTATCTGTGTGTGAAGCACTTTGGTCGACAGTGTTGTTGTGTATAAAGTGCTATATAAATAAAGGTGGATTGGATTGGAATTGCATTGGTGTTATTGTGTACCAGGATAATGCCAGTACCAGTTAAACTGAGTTATACATTCTTACTGCAGAGGGGATGAGTGACCTACGGTTACATCTAGGATGTCTCAGTCTGCCTCTGAAGGAGACTACATTGTCCATCAGTGGGTGGGAAGGGTTTTTTAAGGTGGAGGTCATATTCACCACCATCCTCCTTTCACACATCTCCTCAACTGAATCCAGTGGCCAGCCCAGAACCAAGCTAGCTTTGTTAACTAGCTTGTTCAGTCTCTGCATGTATTGGTCAGGGCAGCCTGCTCCCCAACAGACCACAGCAGACTGGATATCAGAACCAACACCAGAGTGATAAAAGGATTTTAGCAGATTGGAATCAACTCCGAAGGAGGTCCTTCTTGGGCCCTGTCCACACGCAGACGGGGATCTGCCAAAACGTAGATATTTTTCTACGTTTTGGCCTGTCATCCACACGAAAACGGAGTTTTTTCACACGAAAACGGATCTTTTTAAAAACTCCGGCAAAAGTGAAGATCTGCGTTTTCTCAGTTTTGGGTGTCTGCGTGTGGACAGACAAAACCGGAGTTTTAAGGTCCGCAACGTCACTTTCCGCGACAAAAAAAATGCTGACATCACGTGTGCGACCTGTGTTTACACTAGCCAGCATCATGGAAGCCTTCAGAGCTGCGCTCTGTCACTACCCGATCCATCAATTGTCCAAGCGCTTTCTGCTTGTTTGTTTTTACAAGCGGAATTACTGCTCCTTGCGGAAGACCACAGACGGAGGACGAGGTTAAGAACGGGGGAAGTACTGCCGCCTACAGGTCTGGCATGTCCTTAACAACGTATTTATCCGGGTACGTGTGGACAGAGTTTGTTTTTAAAACGCGGTGGTGTGGATGCAAGTTTTTGGAGGGGCGGATATTCGTTTTCAAAAAACCCCGGCTACGTGTGGACTAGGCCTTGTACAGAGCAGCTGTGTTGTTGGACCAGTTCAGTTTACGGTTGAGGTGAACACCCAGGTACTTAAGCTATCCACCACCTCACTGTCTGCTCCCTGGATGTTTACCAGTCAGTGGGGAGGAGTGTTTCTCTGGAAGTCAATCACCATTTCCTTTGTTTTACTGGTGTGCAAGTGAAGGTGGTTACACTCACACCAGTCCACAAAGTCCATGATGACTGACCTCGAATCCAGGTCATTCCCCCCAGACACACAGCCGACAATGGTCGAACCATTAGAGAACTTCTAGAGGTGACAGCTGCTGGTGTTGTAGGTGAAGTCTGAGGTGTAGGCGAATAGAAAAAGTGAGCACCATACCCTTACAGCACCATTTGAAGCACTGTGTTCAGCAATAAACTAAATAGTGCACCAAATAATCTCAATTGATCGACAAAAAAAAAATCTCATGTTTGATAAAGACCAAGTTAATCTTGGTAGATTTTACAAAGCACTAACAGCTGTCTCGGAGTTGGTATTAGACACAAATTGACCTGTGATGTTTGAGAAGGCTACTCACCATGAGGAGGCATGTTGTCATTGTTTGAGACAGACATCACACGTTTTTAAACTGCTGCGGGATTTGTTATTGATGCTAAGGCAAACCGATCTGTCACAACAGCAGACAAAAAATTAAAAAAAAACAATGAAAAGGGGGAAAATGGCCTGAACAAAAACAAAATGGGTCAATATGGTGCTGAGGTTCCAAATAAATCACAGGACTTAAAATAAGGAGGAATAGTTGTTCACCAAAACATAACAATACAATGAATATATTTTTCTTGACACATTTTAGGCAAGACTATTTGGAAAAGAAATTTGCATTTGCAGTTTTGATCAGACATTAAAGCAGCCACCTAAACAATACCTCGCGTGCAGTCACCAACCTGTGAGTTTTCACTATCAGCTAGCAAGCTAAGCTACAATACTGTCGAGCAGCTAAACTCATTAGCTACCTAAAACAAGTCACTAGTGCATATCTACGCATCGATAGAAGAGAAATGCATATATACAAAGCAAACTTATAAAGTTGTTCTTTGAAGTTAAAAAGTGCAAATTACTGCGGTAAGGCGCAGGGTTTAACAAAAGACGGTCGATTAACTACGGAAGTTACCTTTCTTCTTCTTCAGCAGTTTTATGGCGGTTGGCAAGCAACTTCAAGGAAGAATTACCGCCACCTACTGGAGTAGAGCGTGGTCCGGGTAGCTAAACACTATCAAATAACTGAGTCATCAAAGAAAATCAAAATATCATCAAATAATACTAATACTAATAAATAATAGCAATAATAATAAAAAATTCAAACAAGAATACTACCATAACAAAAAGCAGCACCAACAAAACACCAAACAAACAACAATCCATGACCAGCAAAAAAAGTTATTATTCAGCCTCCAAATGTGCAAGTTCTATCACTTAAAAAAATATGAAAGAGGTCTGTAATTTTCATCATAGGTACAACTAAGAAAAAATAAATCAAGAAAATCACATTGTCTGATTTTTAAAGAATTTATGTGTAAATTATGGTATTCAATTCCATGACTATAGGACAATTATAACAAATATCACCATAATTGTTGCGTTATATAGGATAGTCCATCGCTACCCCTTTTATCAATTATATCTGTCAATTTCACTGTGTACAGTGTGAAAATCTAAAGTAAACTCATTAATTTTCCTTCTTGTTAAACATTGAAAAGAAAATCTATTTTCCAGGATCCATGGATGTAGGACAGATAATGGAATGGTCGGACTAATAAGTTGACTCTCAGTTTTCCTGCTTACTGTTCCACTAACCATTCAAAACTTTTTACTTCCCTACTGTTGGTTAGGGTTAGGTTTCATGATCATCCAACACACCAGCATTATTTTATTATTTTAGGATGTCATGAACTGGATGAGATTGATTATGACCCAGTAAACCTGCCCCGTAAGTTACTAGCAACTGTATTTTATTCAGTTCCAATAGCATTTTTCCAATTTTTTCTTGCAAAGCCATCACAAAAGTCATCCTAAATGCTACTGTACAAGGACACAATGTCTGGAATTTAAAGCAGTCTAGGTTTTTAAAATCCATGTCTCTGCTGATCCAAATACTACACCCAAAGTCTAGTACTGACCTTATTTATTTATTATTTAAAAAAAACCTAAAAGTGATTCTGTCTGCAAAACATCCACAACTTGTTTATACACACCACATTATACAGTTCTGATCAAAAATAAAAAAAACTCTTAAAAAGTGGCCAAAAATTATAAGTTGCATGGTTGAATTTTAACAAGGCTCTAAGTAGAGCACCAACATGCAAAAAGAAGAAATGAGAGTGAGACCAAACATTTTCTGAGCAGCTGTTTATTAAAATGCTTAAACTGAAACTGCCTGTTTTACAGCTGATTAAAAGTTTAGGGCCATGCACCTTAAAAGCTTAAATTTATGTGAAAATACAGATTCGTTGTCTTTTCCTGTCAGGTAGTGACACTTTCATGACCTTCTGATGGCAAAGGAAAAAAAAAAGAACATGAAGGCAAGGGAGGTGGGAAGAAGAAATGACAGGAAGGGGATATATGAAATGCAGAAGAGTATGAGAAAGGTAAGGGGGGTGTAATAACCAGGTTGAGGGTGGGTCACAGGGGTTAAATGCAACATTGTTGCTTATTGGGAAGCAGCAAACAGCAGAGTGTGAGCACTGTAGGGAAAGGGAAACAGGAACAAGTACTGCTGAGATGTAAGAGGTATGAGAGAGAGAGAGAGAGAGAGAGAGAGAGAGAGAGAGAGAGAGAGAGAGAGAGAGAGAGAGAGAGAGAGAGCGAGAGAGAGAGAGAGAGAGAGAGAGAGAGAGAGAGCAGCTGAAAAGTGAGTTGAGGGGGTTCAAAGTTGGAGGTCATTGAAATGTTAAGAAATGTGAAGTGAAGAATGAATTTGGGCTGTGTTGAGGTTTCTGGATACCGCAGGGTTGAGGAGGAGGATTTAAGGGTGAGAGGTGGGAAATGTGTGTGAACACATACATAGGAAAAGTTTGTCTTACCGAGCATAAAAACAGTAATAGGAATATTCGTGCTTTATTTCAGAGAGAATCCTTATCTGTTCCATATGTGATTTTTTATTGGAATTCCTTTGTCACTGACATTAGTTGGAAAAGAGTATGGACCATTCCTAATAAGTATTTTGTGACAAATAAGGTCAAAGAAGTTTCATTCAAAGTACTTCATAAGTGTTACCCAGCCAATCACTATATGACAAAGTTTAAGAGGGACAATGATGTGAACTGCTGTTTTTGTGGAAGCCACCCTGAGACCGTTCAGCACGTCTTCTGGATCTGTTCACATGCTACAACGTTTTGGAAAGATTTTAGCAGATTTATTATCAGACAGATCTACAAGGACTTCATTTTAAAATGGGAAAATGTTGTATTTTGTTTTTTTCGCAAGCACAGAAAGGAGGATGTATACTTTGTTATAAATTTGTTAATTATGCTAGCTAAATTCTATCTCCACAAATGCAATAACCAAAAACCTAATTTCAAGCACCATTATAGTGACACTCTATCTTACATAAAATTGATTAGTGGATCACTAAACAAACAAGCTTTAAAAACTATAACTATTTGCACTACCTACAATTTATTTGGATGTGTGTAACATTTCTGTAATGCACCCCCTGGCATATGTTTCATGTTCTTTGTTCAATTTTGTATGCAATTTGTTTGTATACTTATCACCTTGTTGAATAAAATTTTGAAAAAAAAAAAAAAGGGTGGGAAATGTGTGCTGGTGTCGGTACAGGATCTGCTCAGGTGCAAGATCGGTTGGGTCCTTCGACTGCCGATGACGTCAAAGTAGTTGATTGCCTGAACATGAACCTTACGGAAGTTACGTAATCACGTTACGTTGTTATCACATTACGTTGGTCCAGGCAAATTTTTCTGTTGGAAAGATGGACTAGCCTTGAAAGCCAAACTAAATAAATGCAATCAAATAAGTACAGACAGGTATTTTAGTAAAGCCAGAAAACTTTTAACTCCAGAGTTTTGGCTAGCAGCTATGAGCATACCTGAAATACGCATGGACAAGACGTCAAAAACAACACAAAATACTTCAATAAACGGGACACACTTCTTTCCTGCAAATACAATTTCACAGGTGTTGCTAATACCTATGATCCTTCACGGATGTGCTCAAAGAGTTCAACATTATGAATACAATATAGTGTTTTATTTTACAAATACCATTATAAACACATACTTACGTCATAAGAAACAAATAACGAAACTGCTAAATTCTTTCGAACAGTATAGATGTGTAGTGTATTTTGTCCGAGTGCGTTTGCCGTACTTTGACGTCATCGGCAGTCAAAGTACCCCGAGCCAATCTTGCACCCGAGCAGATCCTGTACCGACACCGGTCCACACACCCAATTGGTAGGTGGTGTTAATGCACTTAAAGCTGCTTGCAAACCAACCACCATAAAACTAGAAAGAAGAACAAATAAAAATGAAACTAAACAAAGCTGCAGTCCCATTAGTGCCTACTCAACTCTAATCAATTTGGCTCAGTTGGAAAGCATGTCTGTCAGTATGGGTCCGTCCATGGTTGCCACAGACTTTTTAGTACCTGTCTCAATGTGGTTCCAAGCACAACCTACGCTACCCGGCCCGGGCCGACCCGGTACAGATGGGAATGGCCCATAAGCTAGGCCAAAATGCGGCATCAGCGCCCCAGTCCCAATACCCACACTACATGTAAGGCTTCAAGTGGGTGGTAAACAAGTGTGCAAATAACTGCAGAACTGGGACAGTGAGCATTGCGTCGTCGATAGCGACTTTCTAAACAGGGATGCCGGTTGCTGTTTGTGCTACTTTACTGCTTTAAATTATACTAAAATTGATCATTAAAGCAGGTGATTAAGTTACTGGCATGCCATGTCTAAAAATACACACCAGTACTGTTATCAGCTAACACTTTCTTCAACAGACGTGATGCATCTTTCCAAAAGAGAAACATTTGATCATCATCATATATCTACACAGTAATTGAATATTAAATAATTTGATAATTATACTTGAAAAATACATAATTTTAGAAACAACACGAGTCATTTCTGCACCTATTTAAAATTCTCATGCAGCCATGGATTGCGGGTAATACTCAAAGTGCGCACCAACACAGGCTTTGGCAAAGTTCTGATTAAGGTTGAAAAAGGGGTGGAGCCATGGTTCACACTTGATAATCGGGACACCCTACGCACTCACACTACTGGACAGGATTGCGTAATTACGAGGCACAAGGGTGGATGTTTGAGTAATGGTTTTGGACCGGTGACGGTCAGTCACTTATTAACTAAGGGGTGAAGTTCCTGGTTACTCCAAAGTTTATTGTCTGCTATCTTCCTGCCCACAGCCTTTCTGGGTTCAATCTGACAAAAAGCCTGCCACTGAGCAGAATGTTAAACGTCACCACCGTACCCGCCATAGTTGCATTTAGGCCTTTTCCAATGGGACTACTCAGTGTCACTTGTGAGGGTGCGGTTCCAGCTGGCCAGCATTTCCAACAGCACGGTTCTCTATTTTCTACCTTCTTTCCCTAAACTTTTCAGTCCATGCTTTGTTGTGGTTCCAAAGGTTGACCAGGTGCATCGTGACAGTCTCCTGCTGATTGGCTAGGGGGTGGAGTCACTGTTTGCTCCAGAGCTTTCTGGCTGCTGCCCCGCTGCCTGCAGCCATTTCCTAGTTCAGAGTTTGACAAAATGCCATAAAATTAGGCAGAATGTTCAACATCACTGCCTTTTTTCTGCTGAGTTGTGTTTCTGTGTAGCATACAGATCACACTGTTTAATGCTCATCTCATACTATTTTTCTCTTGAATAAAGATTGCGCCCCCCCACTCCCTTTGTGAGTACTGCAGATCCCCCCTTTCCTCCCCCTGCGCTATGAGGGTGGCACCCACTTTCTGCCACGGAGCTGGCAGGGAAAACCAACTTCACTGAGGTGAGCTGAGTTGACCCACGCTGTACTAGGCTGTTTAAGGCTGAGGTGTTGTTAGAATAGACCTATTTACCATACCATACCATACCATACCACCTTTATTTATATAGCACTTTAAAAACACAGCCATACGGCCGACCAAAGTGCTGAACAGTCACACAATAACAGAGATAAAAACATAGAACAGAGCAATAAAATGCAGTTAACAGATAAGAAACAAGCCAATAAAAAAGCTCAGATAAAAACCTCACAATAGTTCAGATAAAAACCATTACAATGGATGATAAAATAAGAGTAGTAAAAACCAAAATAACAGCTAACTGTTAAAAGCAAGGGTAAAATAGTGTGTCTTTAGTCTAGACTTAAAAACTGCCAAGGAAGATGCCAGTCGAACTGCGGCTGGAAGTTCGTTCCACATTTTAGGACCGGCAACAGAGAAAGCTCTTTGTCCGCATGATTTATAACACACTTTTGGAACCTCGAGGAGCAACAGGCTAGAGGACCTGAGTGTGCGACCGGGAGTATAAGTCGCAAGAAGATCAGACAGGTACACGGGGGCAAGACCATGGAGGGATTTGAAGACAAAAAGCAATATTTTATATTGGACCCTGAAAGTGATGGGCAGCCAATGAAGGGATTTTAGAACCGGAGATATGTGCTGGCGCCTGTCAGTACGTGTGAGGAATCTAGCCGCTGCGTTTTGGATGAGTTGAAGTCTGGCAAGGGTTGACTTATTGATACCCAGCAATATTGCGTTCGAATAGTCGAGCCTAGATGTGATAAAAGCATGAACAACTGATTCCAATTTTTTCCTAGATAAAACTGCTCTTAATTTGGACAGACGGCGGAGTTGGAAAAAACAGGATTTTACGGTGGCACTGACCTGGGCATCCATCCTAAGAGATTAATCCATCTTTACACCCAGGTTAGTCACAATGGTTTTTAGATTTTGAGAAACAGATGAAAGATCTGGGGTTTGGAATGGGCTAGATCTGACTGGATTAAAAAGGATAAGTTCAGTCTTGGAATCGTTGAGATGCAGGAAATTTGAGATGGCACTGTCTACATGTCACCTCATGCTACTTTTGTGTCCGATACAGACTCCTATATTCTACTCCTTTTATTAAGTAATGAAAAATTTTGTGTGAAGAATCGTGATGCATTTCAGACTCAAATCGAATCTTTAGGCAGATAATCGGAATTGGATCGAATTGTGAGGGCAGGTAGAGATGCACACCACTAGTACTAATAGAAATGCACCTCAAGCAAATACATGTGAACATGAACTGGGGGCACAAATTATTATGACTGAAGAACTGATACAACAGACGACGTGTCACTGATAAGTGACAATATGTAGTTTTTATCTTTAATCTCTGGAAATATCTTTCAAAATGTTGTTGAAAATTAATTTAAGGACTTCCAGTATTAACAAAAATAAAATATTGGTGGCTTCGTAACATATAACCATAAAAATAAGGTCTAAAATATATGGGAGCAGGCCTAAAACTCTGGGCGACGCCATATTAAATGCAATGTTTCCTACTACGGGAGCCCGTGAGGACAAAATACATTTACTGATTTGTAACAAACAGTTACAAAAATTTCACCATTAATAAACGTTGTTTTATACATTTACCTCTTCACTCATTGCCAGTGATTAAAGGGAGTCTGATGTGCTTTTCATTTTGCTGAAGTTTGCACTCCCCGGGCCTTTTTGACCCTAATGGGCATCTGTTGATAAGGTCCAACTCTAACACAGAAATACAGCTTCCTCGCAACAACTTAGGTATCTGCTGCCCTCTATAGCCAGGAAAAATACACACCGTCACTTTAACTAGAAGTAATGAAACCATTTAGAAATAATATAGCAATAACAAAAAATGCACAAACACCCACAAATGTTGACATGCCTAGAGGGTTGTGGGTCCAAAAAGAGTCTTTAGGCTAAATTTCTATCCAAGAAGAAAAAAATTGTATTTTAAGTTGTCTTTCAAGTAAATCTATTCTGGTGGGATTATTTTATGTGAGTCAAAATGTACATTTTGGATGTTTTTATGTCCACATAGATCACATGCAAATTGTTCATCTCCTGTTCGGATTTTCATGTTTTCATTTAAAGTTTCACTTATGGATAACCTCTGTCCACATACGACACAAGAAAACGGTTTCTGACCTGTGTGAATTCTCCTGGATATCGCTAAATCTGACTTGTGGGTAAACGTTTGTCCACATGTAAATATTTTCTCTCCAGTGTGGATTTTCATGTGTTTAGTCAAATGTACCTTTTGACTAAACCTATATCCACAAAAATCACATTTAAATGGTTTCTCTCCAGTGTGGATTCTCATGTGTGTGTCTAAATGCACCTTTTGGATGAACCTGTGTCCACACAGAGCACAAGCGAAGGGTTTGTCTTTAGTGTGGACTATCCTGTGCGAGTCTAAGTGTGCCTTTTGGCTAAACTTGTGTCCACACATCTCACAAGTAAAGGGTTTATCTCCGGTGTGGATTCTCATGTGTTTGTTTAAAATAGTCTTGAGGCTAAAACTATTTCCACACATGTCACACGAAAATGGTTTCTCTCCTGTGTGGATTCTTTTGTGTGATTTTAAATTTGTTTTTTGGTTAAACCTTTGTCCGCATACATCACAAGCAAACGGCTTTTCTCCTGTGTGGATTCTCATGTGAGAGTTTAAAATAGTCTTGAGGCTAAAACTATTTCCACACATGTCACACGAAAATGGTTTCTCTCCTGTATGGATTCTTTTGTGTGATTTTAAATTTGTTTTTTGGTTAAACCTTTGTCCGCATACATCACAAGCAAACGGCTTTTCTCCTGTGTGGATTCTCATGTGAGAGTTTAAAGTAGATTTGTAGCTAAACCTTTGTCCACATATTCCACACACAAATGCTTTGTCTCCAGTGTGGACTACCATGTGTGAGTCTAAATGGGTTTTTTGGCTAAACTTTTGTCCACATGAATCACAAGCAAATGGCTTCTCTCCTGTGTGGATTTTCATGTGTCTGTTCAGATTACATTTTAGATTAAATGTTTTTCCACAGTCATCACATCTAAAAGATTTCTGTGTTCCCTTGCTTTTTTCATCTGAGTCTAAAGTTTTCTCAACTTCTAAACAATTATTATTAACTGTATAACTTGCAGACTTCATACTCGAAACACTTTTCTCACGACTAAGAAATGACTGGTAGTTTAAGTGTTTATCACACTCAGTGTTGATAGTTTCGAAGTCAAACTCAGGGTCCATACCCTCCTTCCAGTCATCAACACCATCTATAGTTGCTGACCTTGAGTCTGAAAAGTGCTTCTGCAGAAAGTTGTGATTATTCACACGATTGTCTTCTTCACCCTCACCGATGTCAGTCTCTGACGAGTTGGATTCATCTTCTAGAGTCTTTAGATTTGGGTTCCTGGTAGTTTCTGCTCCTCTACAGTCCTCTTCAACTGTTTCTGCTTTCATTTGATTAGTTGAGCTGCTCGTAGGAAAACCTCCACCTTCTTCTTGGTCAAGATGAAGGCGGGACAACACAGGTTTTTCTTCATCGCCTTCATTTTTCAAAGGAGCAGCAGTGAATGAAAGCCTGGTGGCATCAGTCACCTCCTTTATATTTAGCTGCTCCCCCCCCAGACTGGTCCAGAGTTCGTCCTCTTCCACCTTTATGTGGAGGAGCTCTGGGTCCTGCTGGTCCACGCCTGGCTTCCATTCATCAGAAGATTCTTCTTTAATGAAAATCATCCGATCATCTGCAGGAAGAACTGAAACAAATGTGCATTATAGACATGGATAGAAAAGGATGACATTATGGTCACTTAACTTTCACTTGTGTTCAGGGCCGGAGTGGGACACATTTTCAGCCCTGGAGTTTCAGACCCCAGACCGGCCCACTTAATGAATTATTATTAAAATCATGTTAGAACTTTATATGTATAGTCTACAAAAGCACACTACTCGGTAAAGCCTTGTAATTCAGTGCAAGAAAGAGTTGCTTTACAATGTAGGTTTATTTGAACATCAGTGCACATCTCCAACATTGTTCTTTACAACACATTCTCTAACAATATAACAATCTACCTTTTGTTCAAACAGCTGTTCTGAGATTTTCAAACCTTTAAAATGAAATGACTCAGCACTCCCTTTCACACTTTTTCCAGTTTCCCTATACTCACCTGCACACAATTAAAATAATCATCTGTAAAGCTTTGGCACATTTGATATGGAAAACACATTTTTTGTAACCAATTAAAATATTTTCTATGGCAAAATATGCAGGCTTATTTCATTTTACTTTCATTCTAATAGCGATCTGTTGTGGGCTTTGTGCATTTACTAATAAAAATACAACAGGTCACTACTATTATTTGGACATTAAAATTATTATAATGAAACTAATGTTTGCTTGTTTGCACATGAGTTGGCTCACCTTCTATCCCAACAGGAGCAATACCCTCACTGCTGGCTCCTGGCTCTTCTTCTGACACTACATTGTGTGAAAATTGTCACAATTCAGCATTCATTTTCCTTTTTACACGCTTTCTGATCAATGCTGAATCATCTAGCATTTTAGAACACTTTCATATAGAGCCAGGATAGTTTTCATCATATAAATTTTAATAATATTCAGTTCACTGACTCAATAAGTAATCCTACCTGTACATGTCCACTCTGGAATGGTGGGTTTCTGCCTGGTGCTTATTAGGCCTACTGGATCTTGTGGGCTACAAGACAGTTTGGTGGCATCAGTCACATCATACTGTTAACTATATTACATAACGTTATGTCATGACGCCATATAATTCATTATTGATGCTTAATTAACTTGAATGGTGATTTGCAGCCGGTAAAGTTTAACATCTTGACAGGCCCGGAGTGGCTAATCGGGAGGGTCTGGAGAATTCCCGGTGGGCCGCGCGATGTTTGGGCCGCATGGGCCGGTGCTCTCGTTTTTGTTTTTTATCATTTTATTTTTATTTTTTGGTGCCGGTGTTCAGTCATGGCACTGAGGCCGCCGGGCTGATCTCATACGCTCCTCCCGGCTGTCTCTACCTGCAGGCTGCAGCTCGTTTTTTTTCTTTTTGCCCAATATGCGCCTGTGCGCACCACGTGACCTCGCAGTTGACGGAAAGATGGAAAGTAGAAAGAGCAAGGGTGGCGCGGAGAAGGCAAGAATTAAAAAGAGGAAAGCGCTGGAAACAGATGCAGCTAAATGTGCAAAAATGAGCACATTTTTTTCTCAAACAAGCTTGCGGTCTTTAACTTCAAATGAAGATAAAACGGGTAAGGCAAGTCAAGATGTTAAACTTTACCGGCTGCAAATCACCATTCAAGTTAATTAAGCATCAATAATGAATTATATGGCGTCATGACATAACGTTATGTAATATAGTTAACAGTATGATGTGACTGATGCCACCAAACTGTCTTGTAGCCCACAAGATCCAGTAGGCCTAATAAGCACCAGGCAGAAACCCACCATTCCAGAGTGGACATGTACAGGTAGGATTACTTATTGAGTCAGTGAACTGAATATTATTAAAATTTATATGATGAAAACTATCCTGGCTCTATATGAAAGTGTTCTAAAATGCTAGATGATTCAGCATTGATCAGAAAGCGTGTAAAAAGGAAAATGAATGCTGAATTGTGACAATTTTCACACAATGTAGTGTCAGAAGAAGAGCCAGGAGCCAGCAGTGAGGGTATTGCTCCTGTTGGGATAGAAGGTGAGCCAACTCATGTGCAAACAAGCAAACATTAGTTTCATTATAATAATTTTAATGTCCAAATAATAGTAGTGACCTGTTGTATTTTTATTAGTAAATGCACAAAGCCCACAACAGATAGTTATTAGAATGAAAGTAAAATGAAATAAGCCTGCATATTTTGCCATAGAAAATATTTTAATTGGTTACAAAAAATGTGTTTTCCATATCAAATGTGCCAAAGCTTTACAGATGATTATTTTAATTGTGTGCAGGTGAGTATAGGGAAACTGGAAAAAGTGTGAAAGGGAGTGCTGAGTCATTTCATTTTAAAGGTTTGAAAATCTCAGAACAGCTGTTTGAACAAAAGGTAGATTGTTATATTGTTAGAGAATGTGTTGTAAAGAACAATGTTGGAGATGTGCACTGATGTTCAAATAAACCTACATTGTAAAGCAACTCTTTCTTGCACTGAATTACAAGGCTTTACCGAGTAGTGTGCTTTTGTAGACTATACATATAAAGTTCTAACATGATTTTAATAATAATTCATTAAGTGGGCCGGTCTGGGGTCTGAAACTCCAGGGCTGAAAATGTGTCCCACTCCGGCCCTGCATCTTGACTTGCCTTACCCGTTTTATCTTCATTTGAAGTTAAAGACCGCGAGCTTGTTTGAGAAAAAAATGTGCTCATTTTTGCACATTTAGCTGCATCTGTTTCCAGCGCTTTCCTCTTTTTAATTCTTGCCTTCTCCGCGCCACCCTTGCTCTTTCTACTTTCCATCTTTCCGTCAACTGCGAGGTCACGTGGTGCGCACAGGCGCATATTGGGCAAAAAGAAAAAAAACGAGCTGCAGCCTGCAGGTAGAGACAGCCGGGAGGAGCGTATGAGATCAGCCCGGCGGCCTCAGTGCCATGACTGAACACCGGCACCAAAAAATAAAAATAAAATGATAAAAAACAAAAACGAGAGCACCGGCCCATGCGGCCCAAACATCGCGCGGCCCACCGGGAATTCTCCAGACCCTCCCGATTAGCCACTCCGGGCCTGCTTGTGTTGTTGTTGTCAGAGAACCTCTAGAAACATCCCATATGCAACAGACATTCTTATACAGTGGGGCAAAAAAGTATTTAGTCAGCCACCAATTGTGCAAGTTCTCCCCTTTAAAAATATGAGACATGCCTGTTTCATCATCGGTATACCTCAACTATGAGAGACAAAAAAAAAGAAGAATCCAGAAAATTACATTGTCTGATTTTTAAACAATTTCTTCGCAAATTATGGTGAAAAATAGGCATTTGGTCTCCCACAAACAAGCAATATTTCCGGCTTCTGTAAGAGGCTCCTCTCTCCTCCACTTGTTACCTGCATTCCTGTTGTTCGTTACCAGTATAAAAGACACCTGTCCACAACCTCAAACAGTCACACTCCCAAACTCCACTATGGTCAAGACCAAAGAGAAGTCAAAATTGTAGACCTGCATCAGGCTGGGAAGACTGAATCTGCATTGGATAAGCAGTTTGGTGAGAAATAAATCAACTTTGGGAGTGAAGAAATACAAGACCACTGATGATCTCCCTCGATCAGGGGCTTCACGCAAGATCTCACCCCGTGGGGTCAAGATGATCACTAGAACGGTAAGCAGAAACCCCAGAACTACATGGGGGGGGGGGGGGGGGGGGGGGGGGGGGGGGGGGCTCGTGAATGACTTGCAGAGAGCTGGGACCAAAGTTACAAAAGCTGCCATCAGTAACACAACGCCACCAGGGACGTGTCCTCCGGCTTAAGCCAGTATGTGTGCAGGCCCGTCTGAAGTTTGCTAGAGGGCATTTGGATGATCAAGAAGAGGACTGGGAGAATGCCATATGGTCAGATGAAACCAAAATAAAACGTTTTGGAAAAACTCTACTTGTCGTGTTTGGAGGAGAAAGAATTGCATCTAAAGAACCCCATACCAATACTGTAAAGCATGGGGGTGAAAACATCATGTTTTGTGCTGTTTTTCTACAAAGGGACCAAGATGACTGATCCGTGTAAAGGAAAGAATGAATGGGGCCATGGATGGTCACATTCTGAGTGAAAACCTTCTTCCATAAGCAAGGGCACTGAAGATGAAATGTGGCTGGGTCTTTCTGCATGACAATGACCCCAAACACATCACCCGGGCAACAAAGGAGTGGCTTCGTAAGAAGCCTTTCGAGGTCCTGGAGAAGCCTAGTCAGTCTCCACATCTCAACCCCATAGAAAACCTTTGGAGGGAGTTGAAAGTCTGTGTTGCCCAGCGACAGCCCCAAAACATCACTGCTCTAGAGGAGATCTGCATGGAGGAATGGGCCAAAATACCAACAATAGTGTGTGAAAGCCTGGTGAATATTTACAATTAATGTTTGAAGAAGAAGAAGAAAATATTTCTATAGCACCTCTCAAGATAAAAATCACGAGGCGCTTCACAAAAACAAAAAATGTAAAAAAATAAAAAAGAATTTAGAAAATGGTTAAAAATATATTTAAAATGAGCAAAAAATAGACAATTGTGACAAAAAAAATGTTAAAAAGAGAGTGAGCAGGAAAGAGGTAAATCAGTTGATCCTGAGGAAGGTGGAACAGGTGGGGAGAGCAGAATAAAGAGAGAGTGGTGAAGAAGGTCATACAAAAGCCAGCTTGAACAAGTGAGTCTTCAGCTGCTTTTTAAAGGAGACCACTGAGTCCACTGATCTCAGGTTCAGGGGGAGAGAGTTCCAGAGTCTGGGGGCCACAGCAGCAGATGATCTGTCACCTTTGACCTTTAGCCTGGTGCTGCACAACCAGTAGGCTTTGATCACTGGACCTCAGGGACCTGCTGGGGGTGTAGGGACTAAGAAGATCACCAATGTAAGATGGTGCTTGTCCATGTAAGGCCCTATAGACCAGAACCAGGATCTTGAAATGAACCCTGAAGTTGACTGGCAGCCAGTGAAGCTGGAGGAGGAGCGGGGTGATGTGGGTGTGTTTGGAGGACTTGGTCAGAAGCCGAGCACAGGCGTTCTGAACCACCTGTAGACGGTTCAGGGAGGTTC